AAGTTGAAAAAGCTTTAAACAAAATACAACTGCTGATTATGTAACCAAAGTTGAATATATCTTTACATGTGAGGCTACAAAAAAGGCAATTTGAAGAAAGAAGTTCATAACCAAACTAAATGTTATTCCTAGCATTGTTGAACCTATAACCATTTATTGTGACAAAAATGGAGCAATAATAGCTCAAGCAAATGAACCAATGTCTCATCAAAGATTAAACATATATTGAGGCGATATCATCTTATTAGATATTTCATATTTAGAGGTGATGTAAAGATTAAACAAGTACCTACTAAGGATAACTGAACCAATCCTTTTATTAAGCCACTACCTCAACGAAGCATGATAAACATGTAACCTAATGAGATATTAGGTATACAAATGATTGGCTTTAATGCAAGTAGGAGATTGTTGGTATATGCCCTAGAAACCAAATTGGTTTTGGGCAAAATACATTGTCATATTGTGATATTTGATTATATAATAAAGGTCTTAATTTATCATTAAGCTCAAACATTGTTATTACTAATGTTTTTTTGTGGGGTATTTTCTTTTTGAATTTTGGAATCTTCAATCTTCTTCTAAGAAGAAGATCTTCATTATAAGGTGGGTTTTTCTTTTTTTCTTTTTAATATTCTATGAAAAATCATGAATTAAATCAGAATCATTGATTTTTATACAAAAAAAAATTCATCTAAATCAATGACACATCAATTTCTTTTAGAATTTTGGATCTTCAATTTTCTTTCTACAAGAGGATCTTCATTATAAGGTGGGTTTTTATTAATATTCTTATAAAAATCATAAATTAAATCACATTCTTTGATTTTTTATAAAAGAATTGTCATCTAAATCAATGACACATCAAATATAATTAAATAGACCATAAAATTTCAAATTATACAAACGAATTTATAGAGCAATCTAATATTCATTATACATCCACTCATGGAAAATTAACACTTAATCATCAATGCATAAAATAATTTTCTTATAAGATGTCGTACAAGTATTAGTTTAGATGATATACATGTAAATAAAATTTTTATATATTACTATTATAGTATTGATAGTTTAAAATATAATGTATCTTACGTTAAATAAAAAGATCATTCGTATATAATTTAAAATAAATAATTTGTGTAATTTAAGTAATTAAATTAAGTATTGGAGTAAGCCAAATAATTTGAGCTTATTAGAAATTTTTTTAGTGAATTAAAGAATTTTAAAAGTAAAAAATTGGACACTTAAGCATATTTGATAAATAAATTTATTTTTAAAAATATTTTTACTTATTAAATTTTATAATATTAATAAATTAATATAATTAATTTATTATGAATAAATTTATATGAATATAAATAATTATTTTATGGTAAAATAAAAACTTATAATAATTTAAAATAAATAATTATTTAAATAATCAAACTATTTGAATAGAAAAAAATGACTAAACAAATTGTAATAATTTTTTGAATAAAAATTTATAATTATTCATTTATTATAAATAAATCTTTTCTACATAACTAATTTCACTCATTCCGATTCGAGGAATTTAAGATTTTGCTGTGTCTTATAAGCATAATTACTTTTAAGATAGTGTTCTTACAACTCAAAACTATTTTTTTCTTATTTTATTTATTTTCTCAAATTTTCTAACATAGTATATTAATAATATAGTATTTTGATAAAATGTTGTAGATAGAAAGTATTAAGAGGTATTCGGTGGTCAAAAGGGCATAATAATTTTTTTTTAAGTTTTCAGCAAACAATCAAGAGTATTTTTATCATTTACGCTGATTTAATATGTCAAATCAATCTAATATACTCAATGTCATATCAATTTGGTACTATTCTTATTATCCTCTAATGATCTTGTGTTCTTACCTATAAATATGAAAGTTTAGACACCACTAAAGTAAGTTGATCATAGTTCAATTTCTTTTTTCTTACTTTTTTTTTTACCTCATTCTCTTTGACTTACGCGTCATAATGTAAACACAAAAATACATTCTCCATTTGTCTTCTACTGTCTTTCTCTTTTATTTTTTCAAAAATGCCCTGAAGTTGAAACTCGACACAAAAAAAAAAAAAGAATTATATGTTGGTTTTGTCATGTATTCAATCAGAAAATACATGAAGCAAAGAAAGGTGGCAAAAAGCTATGAAATTAGAGACAATCTGTTTTCGCTTTGGGTAGTTTGGGAAGAGTTCAATGTTCCAACCAACATTTTAGCATGGATTTTTGTCTATACCATTTATCAGTTGAGCCTAATGAGTTTTGAATTCTTAAGCACACCCGTCTCTATTTTTTTATTTTTTAATTCGAAAATTTGATTCAATGCTTTTATTTTTATCGATTCAAAGATTTGATTCGAAGTCTCATCCTCCAATTATAGGCTCTTACCACTATGAACCGGATCCACACTTTAATTTCATGTAAAGATAAAGCTCGCATAACGCTCCCCTCATTGAAAACGATCACCATTTTGCTACTTTGAAATTCAATAAAGATTTGAATGCCATTCTGTTTCATGAATGAGTTTCTCTACCTTGGCAAGAAAACAACAAAGCTGGAGCCAACACATCATTATAAAAACGTAAATAACATTATTGGCCGTACAATTATGATTGCATTTTTAAAATAATTATCCAATTATTAAAATTTTTAAAAATATTTTTTTATTATTTAACTGATAATCTTTAATGATCTATTCACAATAATAACACGTAATTACTACGTAATTATCACGAGATATTATTATATCAATAATTTATATTTTTTAAAATTTATAATCTCACGTTAAAAATATCATATGATATATTGATTGATACGATAATGTTATGTCAATATATATTGAGTAATTAAAAAATTATTTATTTAAATTTTAATAATTAAAAAAATATTTTAAAAATACAATAATCAAGCGACCAATGATATATTTTATATATAAAAAAATCGGTGTTATATCACTGTTTATTCTTTGTTGTTTTTAAGGGAGTTAATAGGAAATTTGATCATTTATGTTTTTTTTATAAAATATTAATAATTTATGTATTTATATTATATTTAGATAAAAAATTATATATTATAATTTATATTAATATAAAAATATAAAATATATATTTTTTATTTTGTTAATTTTTTTATTTTTATTAAAATTTTAAATTATATTATTTTTATATTCTTATTTATATTATTTTTGTATCATATTATCATTTGATATTTTTAAATCATATCAGCGTTTTATGTTTTAAATTAATAATGTTTTAAAATTGGTAACTAGAGGTGTAATCGAGTCGATATAATGAGAAATTCGAGTTCGAGCTGGACTCTCAACTCATGGCTCGATATTCGGTTCGAACTCGATTGAGTTTCATTTTTTTAATTCAGCTCGATTCGTGATCGAAATCGAATTACTCGAGCTCGCTAGATTAATATATAAAAATAAGTGTATTTTTATACTCGATAAAAATTCGATTATTTATGCTCGAACTCAAACTCGAATTCGAGATATTTTATTAATTAAAATAATAAAAAAATATTTAAATATAAAAGTTCGATTAAGCTCGTAAGTTATTCGAATCGGATATAAAAATACTCGAACTCGACTCGATCGATGAATCGAGTTACTTGAGTTTAAACTCAACTCGATAATAATCAAATCAAATTTAAATTTTATTTCAATTGAATCTAAATAACTTACGAGTATTAATATATTATTTACACTCGTATTAACAACAAGTAAACTCCAAACTAGCATCGATTAAACTGCTTCACTCTCAATCTTAGTGGCTGTTAAAGTAGTGAGTACAAAGGCAAGATAATATATATGGGATAATGTGGAATGGTTCTTTTATATTTAATAAAATATTTAATGTGATGTATGAATTTTAAAAATTTTTTTATGTAATATCAAAATTATAAATTATTAATTAATATAATAGTTAAAAGATTATTGATCAGTGATATCTCATTATTTAAAATTAATAATATTAAAAATAAATATTATATTAAATAATCATATATCATATTAAATATTAAATATTTTCCAATAATTTAAAATTATTTATAATATTATACATATACATATAATATATAATAGGGTTGTTTGAAGGTAAAGTGACAGTAAATCCCAGTGATGGATAGATGCTAACAAGTTTGCAAAAAAATTTGAAGTCATAGAATAATCTGATACTACTACTTTTGTCTGGTATCAATCAGTCCAACCCATAGACATTCAACTTTGAATTTTGGTGCACTTCAACCAAAAAAAATGACTTTGGAAGAGAATATATTATGGACTGCCTATTAGTAAATAGTAATAGTTGTATATCAAGAAATCAATCAACCAAACTTCAATTAGCCTCTAAGTTCTTAAGTGGGATATGCTTCAGTCAAACTTCGGGCCACTTGCCTTCCATAATATCATGTCCTTTTACATTTGGGATGATAGTCTTGTTCGTATTGGATAGATATTAATTTGATTTAATTTTTTAAAGTTATTTTTTTAAAAATTAAATTGATTAATAATAAAAAAAATTTTAAATTGAGTTTTAGATAAAATCATTTTCATCTGATTTGATACACATAATTATTTTTTAATTATTTATTTTATTTTATGTTTATATTAAAAACAATATTTTATTAATTTTAAAATCGAATTAAATATAATTTAAAATATTATTAATTGAATCAAAATTAAATATAAAAAATAAAAAAATTAAATTAAATAAAATTTAAATATTATAAATATAAAATTAAATTAAATTTAAGATAAATAAAAATTCATTCCGATCCGTTGTCCTCCTCCTTACCATGTTTTAAAGGAGGGAATATTGTTTCTTGTATTCAAGTTTATTTTATCTTAAACAATTTCATTTTGCTCTCGTTCCCTTGAAAATACTAAAAAAATTTTTAATCAGGTTCAGCATTTCCATAAAAATATTTATATTATCAATTTGTAAGTTGTGCACTGTACTCTGAGCAAAAGATAAACCCCTCTGTCGCACCTGTGCACAGCTTCAGAGGTAGGCCATCCAAGAAAGCAAGGTAAAAAGCTCAAACACCATAAAACCAAAACCAGAACCCAAACTCTTTTCTGAAGGGTGAAGCTGCAGAAACCAAACCAAAGGTATATCAAAAACTCAACCTTTTAATTTATGCTCAGTTTTAGCTAAAACCCACCAAGCCCCTACAGATCCCCACTGAACTGCAAGGAAACTGCCATGATTTGATCCAGCAAACCTACTCCAACAAATGGGTTTTGGTTTTTCTTCAAAACCCTTCTTCATTTTCCTCTGGTTTCTTGTCTTGTTTGCCAATCTTAAACCTTCTCCACTAGTTGAATCTGCTTCTGATTATACAACCCTGGTCTACAAAGGTTGTGCAAAGCAGGCTTTCACAGATCCAGCTGGGATATACTCTCAGGCCCTGTCTGCCTTGTTTCAAACCTTGCTTTCACAGTCCATGAAGGTAAGGTTTTTCAAGACAACAACAGGCACTGGTCAAACTACCATTACGGGTCTTTTTCAATGTAGGGGAGACCTCAGTAACAGTGATTGTTACAACTGTGTCAGCCAGCTCCCGACTTTAACTGACAAACTTTGTGGCAAAACCGTAGCTTCAAGAATCCAACTTTATGGCTGCTACATGTTGTATGAAGTTGCTGGCTTTGCTCAAATTTCTGGCATGGAAATGTTGTTCAAGACTTGTGGTGCTACAAATGTTGCTGGAACTGGATTTGAAGAGAGGAGGGATACTGCCTTTTCAGTATTGGAAAATGGGGTGGTTAGCAGCCATGGGTTTTATACCACAAATTACCAATCTGTTTATCTATTGGGGCAATGTGAAGGAGATGTGGGAGATTCAGATTGTGGAGATTGCATAAAGAGTGCTGTTCAAAGAGCTCAGGTTGAATGTGGGAGTTCCATCTCAGGCCAAATCTATCTGCATAAGTGCTTTATTAGTTACAGTTATTATCCTAATGGGGTTCCTAGAAGATCTTCTTCTTCTTCTTATTCACATCCTTCTTCATCTTCATCAGGTAACTGGAAATGGGTCTTGTTGGATTGATTAGTTTCTAGCCTTTTGGTTAATTCAGATCAATGACTTCAAAATGGTTTAACTACCCTTAGCAAAGTTTGGGTGTAATTAATTGATTGAAGTTGTTTTTGATTGATGTAGGGACAGGGCAAAATACTGGAAAGACAGTAGCTATAATATTAGGAGGGGCAGCAGGAGTGGGATTCCTTGTCATATTGTTGATGTTTGCAAGGGGTGTGATGAAGAAACATGATGGTATGCATTTCTGAGATACAAAAATTGATCTGCTTTCTGTAGAAGTAGGTAATATCTTTTTTTTCTTTGGGTTTTTTTTTATTGCTGATATTCATTTATATATCATTCTTTCTTTTTCAGATCATTGAAGGGGCCAGAGTTAATTTAGAAGTGGATTCATTCCTTGTCTTGAAATTTGATATGGGTTTTTTTTTTTGTGAGTGTAGTTGGTGAAGAAAGGGAGGCAGATAAAAAGTGAGAATTTACTGTTATGGTTAGGTAAGAATTTTGAGGGTTAGACAAGCAATAGCCATTGGGGATGAAAAATGTAAACATTAATTTTTTCAAAAAGTTGAAAAGATGATATTACAAGGAACTATAAGAGAATTAATGTATTGTGATCCTGAATGAATGATAGAGGAGGAGATTTTGAGCAATGGGTTTTTGGCAATTTGGCCATATGGGTGTTTTGTCTTCTTACTCTTCCATTTTCTTCATGTCTTTATATGCTTTTCATAAAGCACTTTTGTATTTTCTGATTGGAGTAAACCAAGATGCTTCCTTTATTTTTTTTTTATTTTTCTTACTTTCTTTTGCTTTTGATTTTAATTATACAATCTTTTTTCCATTCTAATAAAATAATTTCCTAAAAAATAAAGCTAGGGTGTTTCTAGAAAATGTTGCCCTAGATTAAGCAGAATCAATCACTAATTTTTTATGCAAGTACCATTATTCTAGTGCTTGTACATGTTAAAGTTCTCTCACATGACATAGAATGGAGGCTAAGGACAGTGACGTCTTCAATTTAGCATTTTTCTTTCTTTCCCTTTACCCTTTTTCAATCACTTCTCTTGTCTTTTCTCCTTTGAGTTAACCCCAAGTTTAGGACCTAAAAATTTTATCTAATAATTGCCAAGAAACCCTGTTGGCTTGTCAAAATAAATCATAAGCAAATAAGTTTGTTTTCCCAATTTTTTTGGCTTAAGAATTTCCATGATCCATTCCAGATTCCCTGTCTAGACTGCAAACGAATGAACAGTAGCTGTAACTATCACAGGGTGGCAGCACGCTGAGCTCTTGTCTTGGACAAGGAAATGCCTGGCAAGTTGCTTTCCATCACCCAAATTTTAGATGGGCAAAAAATGTGATTTTCACACTTCATTTTCATCATAGATTGGTGAAAATAACTTATAATTTAGGTATTTGATTGATTTGAAATTCCTTGGCATGCTATGTTCAATCTTCAAAAAGAATATTACTAAGTGTTAATCATTCCTTACAACTTTTTTCCTAGAAAAAATGGGAAATTGAAAACTTTGAATGCTATCAAAGCTTGGAGGATAAAGAAAGATTAGAGAGAGAAAGTGTAAGAGAGAGAGAGAGTGTGAAGAATTGGCCTCTTCGAGCTTAGGTACAATGAGGCTTTAAATAGAAAATTTTAACTTATAAACAGTAATTATGTATAGTTATCCGTTACAGTGTACAGTAAAATTTTTATTTATAGTACCGTTACAGTGACTTGTTATAGTATCTTTCGTAGTATGTTTTATCTTTTTTTGTTACAATGACGTTTTATCTGCTGTCACAGTGACTGCTATAGTATTTTCTGTCAGCTAGTCGTTGGCGTCGAATGGAGTTTTGTCTTTTTGTGTCGACTGTCTGTTCTGACTTATTCTGGATTAGAATTTGTACAGTTTATCCTTTTATAGCATTGGTTAAATTATAAAATTCTTCATCCAATACGTTAAGGGACTGGGGTGAGTGTGGAGATCTTAAATGTGATTTGTTTCATATCTGCTATCTTTCTTGATACTGATAAAGTAGATCAGTTTATTCAGAGGAAACCTAAAATCTCAAAGGAAAATGCAACAAGAAAAAGGCAGGAAACAGAGGCAGCTGGGAAGTAAGAGCACATTCATTCACATCAACAGTTACTAGGAATTGTTTGTTCAAATATTAGTAGTTTTAAAACAACAAAATAAAAAACTTGCAACTTTAACATAACACAATGGATTGCTTTTGAAATACAGTTTTGAATTGATTTCTTACATATGAATTATGATTGAATGATTGTGATGTGAATGTTTTTCTCAATAGTCCCTTTTAATTTTTTTCATATATTCTGGAAATTTAGTAATTGTTTTTTGCATCATCTAAATTATTATTTTTTTTGACACTCACGTAATTTATTGATAAAAGTATTAAAAATTAAAAATTTTAATTTTAATGATAAAAATTTAATATCTACTAATCTGAAATATAAAAAAAAAAAAATTGGAAGAGGAATTTTCAAAGTGGCTTTAAATTTTGTTTAATTGGATAAAAGTAGTAGCTTTTTTGTGGCTGTCTTGTTTTGTTTTTATGCTTGTTACAATAAAAATTTAATTATTAAAAAACATTTAAATATGCATGATTTCTTGTTTTAAGCAAATTCAAATCCTTTCCTTTCAAAGTCAACAAAAAAAAAAAAGATGTTGGAAGAGAGTATATTTTTTTTTTGGATTTGAACTTATTGAAAATTTTATTATAAAAATTTTATAAATTCATTAAATTTGACATAAATAAATTTATTTAGACCGATTCGAGAAAAAAATATACAAAACAAAACCCAATAATCTCTTCTTACCAAATAAAAATATAAAAAAAATTAATTACTAAAGTGATGAGATTAAATATTGTAACGATAAAATTAAAATCAATGATAGATTATATATTTGGATACAACTGTAACGATAGTAATGAGGTAAAATATAATAAAAAGAGCAAATAACTATTAAAAATATTATATAAACATTTGTATATAATAAAATTTATAATATATATTTGAGAAGTTAATAAATAATTAAAAATTATTAAAATGATTTTTATATAATAAAATGTATTGTATATTTGATATTTTTTGAAGTTAATAAATAATTAAAAATTACTAATAAAAATGATAATTTTATATGATTTATTTTTTAAATAATTTAATTTATTACACAAGTGATAAAAATATTAAAAGCTTTTTGTAAACATTGATAAAAAAATAAATAAATGATAATAAATAATAAAAAAAGAAATTAAAAATAATATAAATGAGGATTGGAAGAAAAATAAAATATTTGGACTCTAACAGGCTTTTTTTTTAGGCTTTTTGAATTTAAAGTTTTCAAATTGATTAATTAAAAAAATATATAGAATTGAGTTATATTTAAGGGTATACGAGAATTTTTGTCTTCAATTGTCGATTGAAAATCTCTACCGGTTTCTTCTCGGTTCCAGCGGCGATTAAGGGCCGTGGTGCAGTTGAAAATTTTCAATCGCCCGTCCAATGATCCAAACACAGTTCGTCGGTGTGAAATATTTTTAATTGCGCCGCACTGGTCCTAAAAGGCGGAATCAAATGGGCCCTTAAACATCGAAGAAATAATACTGCTGATTTGATGTTACACGAGTACGATGTTCCCGTTCGAATCTATTACAGCGAGAACTGACAAAATAGAACCAAACTCTTTAAAACAAAGTCCAGTCAAACCGCAAAAAAAAAGACAATGCCACCATTGCCATGAACTTACTACGAGACCCGACGAGCGCGGCGGCAACATTCAAACCAGAATCCAACTCCGACCCACGAATCCTCCATGCACAAGCTCTGAAATCCCCACGCATTGATCGTTCCATTTACAACAATCTAATCACTCTCTACTCTAAAAACAACCTTCTTGATTTCTCTCTTCGTCTCTTCAATCAAATCCCATCACCCAAGATCGTCTCATGGACTTCCCTTATCTCTGCTTACTCCAATTGCCCACTCTCCCTCAATTTTTTCCTTTCCATGCTTCGCCACCCTATCCTGCCCAACCAACGGACCTTAGCCTCGCTTTTCAAAACCTGCGTTTCCCTCCCTCGTTGTCTGTTCTTCGGCCTTTCATTACACGCTCTTTCCTTTAAGCTTTCTCTCAATGCCCAACCTTTTTCTGGCTCTGCATTGATTAATTTTTACTCCAAATATCGGCTTCCAGTGTATGCGAGGAAAGTGTTCGATGAAATGCCTGAACGAGATGAAGTTTGTTATGCCGCGGTGATTGTTGGGTTGGTGCAGAATTCTAAACCACTTGAATCTTTATCTTTGTTTGCTGTGATGAAATCCTGCAATGTGGGTTCTACCATGCATAGTGTTTCCGGGGCGTTACGAGCAGTGGCTGATTTGGCAGCCTTGGAGCAATGCAGGATGATTCATGGGCACGCGGTGGTTACTGGGTTTGATAAGAATGTGATTGTGGGCTGTGCTTTGGTTGATGGGTATGGAAAAGCAGGGTTTGTTTCTGATGCAAGAAAGGTTTTTGATGAGAATATTGAGGTGCTGAATATTGTAGGTTGGAATGCTTTGATGGCAGGTTATGCACAACAAGGCGATAAGAATTCGGTGGTTGAGTTGTTTCGATTGATGGAGAATGGAGGGTTTGTGCCAGATGAGTATAGCTATTTAGCTGTGCTTTCGGGTTTTTACAATGCTGGTTTGGTTGGTGAGGCAGAGATGTGGTTGAAGAGGATGAAAGTGGAGTCTGGCATAGAACCTTGGCTTGAGCATTATACGTGTTTGATAGGTGCGTTGGGGAGAGCAGGGCGGTTGGAGGATGCAGAGAGGATCGCAATGACAATGCCCGTTAAGCCTGATGCTGCAGTGTGGAGATCACTGTTGTCAAGTTGTGCTCACCATGGTGCAGCAGATATGGCTTTGAGGATGGCAAGGAGATTATTGGAGTTGGATCCTAATGACGATTCAGCTTATGCAATAGCTGCAAATGTCTTATCAGTTGCGGGAAGATGGATTGAGGTTGCAGAAATGAGGAAGTTGATGAAATATCGGAGAGTGAAAAAAGAGGCCGGGAAGAGTTGGATCGAAATCAAGGGGAATGTTCATGTGTTCTGGGCAGGGGATAGGAAGCATGAGAGAACTGAAGAAATTTACGCAAAGTTGGCCGAGTTGATGAAAGAGATTGAAAAACTAGGGTACAAGCCTGTCTGGGACGAGATGTTGCATGAAGTAGGAGAAAGGGAGAAAAGAGAAGCCCTTTGGTATCATAGTGAGAAATTGGCTTTAGCTTATGGGATAGTGAGTGGAGCAGCACCACCAGGTAAGCCTTTGAGGATCGTAAAGAATCTGCGGATCTGCAAGGACTGTCATGAGGCTTTTAAGTACATAAGCAGATTGCTAGAAAGGGAGATCATTGTAAGGGATGTTAACAGATACCATAAGTTTTTGAATGGTAGTTGTAGTTGTGGAGATACTTGGTAACTTATAAAAGTCATCCCATTTTTTCTCAACCAACCATTTGGAACTTGTTTAAGCTTACTCTGTATCTAGTACCGAATCAAATTTATGTTATCATGTTAAACAAAAATAATATATATATTTTTTGTTTTTGCCAAAGTTACATATAATTTTTATTAAAATTTTAAATCAGTATCATTTTTATATCTTTTTTTTTTCTTATCGTGTCGTAGGAGTTGTATTAACAACTGCACTTATCCACTTTAGAACATCCAATAATAAGGATTGATGAGAAAATGAACTGTTTAAACCTTTCCTCCTCTCTAGGGAGTACCTGAACTCAACTCCTAAATTTCATCAATTCTCCACAATTATGATGCATTGCTTCAATTTCAATTATTTCGTAAATTCCAGCAATACCCATCAACACATAAGAAATTTCATCATCTTCAAATTTAATTTAATCCAAAAAACAATCCAATGAAGCATCAACAATAGAAAGAACACTGAAAATTCTAAAATAGCCCATAAATTAAAGCATCGAAGCGATATTTCTCTTTTTACTTGGGAGGGGAGAGGGGAGGGGATGAGCCAAGGAGGCTTCGCTGCTGCAACTCCAACTCATTGAATTGCTGTTCACGATCCATCTCGATGATAAGTGGTACCACAAGGATCAGGAACGTTGTTCCCGCAAACCACGCCGCTTTTCCCGTGCTCTTCAACAACTTCTTAGAGACGTAAGCGGCGTCATTGGCGGCTCTCTTGGTGGCATCGGTTATTGGAGAATTTGATACGGCGCGGGAGAGTCTTGCCATGATGCCCACGTCGTCGTTATTGGCGCCGGAGCCTCGCTTTTTGCCTTGCCCAAACGACGACATCTCTTTTTGTAGATAACGAAACGAAAGGACAGAAGACGAGGAGAAGGATTTTACCGAATAGTTCGTTTTATATTGACCTATAAATATACCTCAAGCATTGCACGGTTTAAAACCACATCGAAACTGAATGGTACAAAATTAACATTTAAAAGATAATTATAATTTTTAGCAATTTATTTAAAAATTAGATCCAGTAATAAAATAAAATAAAAAAATTATTACATTATATGTTAAATATAAAATATATATTTTAATTTTTATTAAAGCATCTCTATTTTTAGTTCTAACTCTTTTAAATTGTGGGATGTCAAAGTGTTAAGCATCAATCTTAAATTAATTGATAATAAATACGAAGATCCGATATAAATATAAAATTACAAAAAATTAAATATTTATTAGATATAAGATAATATTACTTTAACAGATTTTTATTATGTGTAAACGGAGATAAAAGAACAAAAAATTTTTTGACTCTTATAACATATTAAATATTTAACTTAAAATCAATTGATATTCTAATAATATGTTAAATATTTAATTTAAAATTAATTAATAGTAAGTAAAGGAATCTAACTTGAATATAAAATTATAAAAAATTAAATATTTATTATATATAGAATAACGTTACACTAACAAACTCCGTCACATATAAGTAAAGATGAAAGAAACTTACTACTTGACATATTTGAAAAGAGCAATGAAAGAAAATCTTGACTCTAATATCATATTAAGCATTTAATTTAAAATTAATTGATAATAAATAAAAAAATTTAACTTAAATATAAAATTATAAAAAATTAAATATTTTTTAAATATGAAATAATATTATATTAACAATGAAATCATTTAGATACCCTAAAATGATTTAAGTTTCCTATTTTAACAAAAACAAGAGATATCAAAATACACACAACTGCAAGCAGTAAAGGGTGTTGAATATCTTAAGGTTGCATGGATACCATACAACTAGATTAAAAGCCCTCTTGATGTTCTGTCAAAAGTAATGTGATTAGGGGTGAAATCGAATCGAATCGAGTTGATATAGTGAGAAGTTTGAATTCGAGTTCGAGCTTGAGCTTGAGCTCGGCTCTTAATTCGAGGCTCGATACTCAGCTCGAACTCGATCGAGTTTTATTTTCTTAACTCGAGCTCGATTCGTAATCGAAATCAAGTTACTCGAATTTACTCGATTAAGTTCGATTAATATATTAAAATAAACTCGATTCTTATTCGACAAGAGTTCGATTATTTATGCTTAAGCTTAAACTCGAATTCGAGATATTTTATTAATTAAAATAATAAAAAAAATTTAAATATAAAAATTCGATTAGGCTCGCGAGCTATTCGAACCGAATATAAAAATACTCGAACTCAACTCGATAATAATCGAATCGAATTCAAATTTTATTCGAATCGAATATGAATAACTTACGAGTACTAATATATCATTTACACCTTTAAATGTGACCAAAGCCAATGTGCATTTTACATTATAAGTTTGTTGGAGCAATAAGTAACAATTGCAAACATTTTTCCTGGAGACAATCATTATGTTTTTAAATTTTAGTATAGTTAGGGACCAAATCAATCATAATTTATCAACCCTATAACTCCCCTGTCACTTTTTTTTATTCATAAACTGTTTTTTGTATTCTTTTTTTAATATTAAAACTCTCATTTTTTTATATTTTAAAATTATATTTTAAAATTTTTTTGACATTAAAAATCATAAACTTTAATTTTATAAAAAATTTAAATTTTAATATTAAATACATTAAAATAAAAATTTTTTTCTTAAATTTCGTAAAAATTAATATATAATAAATATTTGTGACGAATGGAATATTATTTAATCAAAAACAAAAAAAATATTTATTTTCTCATATTATTTTTTATTAAAATTTAAAACAGTTTAAACCCTTTGGACGATGAGGATTATAATATTTATAAATTTTATATATGATACAATAATATGATATAAAAAATTATGAAAATAATATAATTTAAAATTTTAATAAAAATTATATTTGAATTTGATAACAATAACAATAGATTAAATTTTATATCTCATAACTCTAAAATTGGTTGTATGAAAAATTAAAAAAAAGAATTATATCAAGTTCTAGTTTTAAGTTTTCTTGCTACACTTATTTATAATAAAAAAATATTTTCATCTACTTTTTTAATATTTATATAATTTCTTATTCCTTAACATTCATGTTTAAGAAGCATATGGATTTCCTAAAATTCAAAAAAATATGTTCGTATTTGATGTATCAATATGTGTTCTGATATGATAATTTTTTTATACGGATACATAAATTATCAGATCATTATATAAAAATTTTTTATAACCTATACAAATACAAAATCATTTTATTAATAAAGTCATTAAATTAAATTTCACATCAAGGAAAAAATTTAAAATGTTATTTTATATTATATTTATCATTGTCAACCTAAGTAATCCTACAAAAAATATTGCAACTTTTAATTGGGTTTTAAAAAATTTCCAAGAAGATTCTGATTCTTCATAAACCATTCCAAAAGCCCATAAAGAAATTTGAAACCCTTTCCAAGATACTTCCACCTTTTTTATATCAAAACGAAATTGCAAAAGGTGTGGAAGTGGAACAGATAACAATGGGCGCAAGTTAGCAATAAGCGAAAACCCCTAAAGGTTCCTTCTTTTTTTTTTTCTTTTTTCGTTTTTAAAGTGCCCACATTTATTCCACCGTTCACAGTGACGGCTGCCAAAATTCGGAAATGTTTTATGAAAACAAAATTTTAGAAAAATAATAAAAAAATAGAAAACCAAACCACACAACTGACAACGGAGCCAAAATACAACGAACCACCCGAAAAAAAAAAAAAAAAACAGTGGAGAAAATCTTCTCTTAAATCTATCTTTCTGTAGGTAACACTTTCTTGTCTTTCTCCAAATACCCATCTCAGATTTCTTCATTTTTCATTTTTTATGTTTTTGTGAGTTCTATTTGTTTGGTTTATTGGAGGGTATTAAAATGTGGGAGCTCTATTTGGGGTGGTGCAGATCTTGAGGGAGTGGAGGCAGTGCTAGGATCTATTTAAAAAAGGGTTTTTGATTCTTTGGGGTTTTAGGGAGTTTCAGAAATGGCAACTCCTTATCCCATTCGAGTTACTGCTGCTCAGGTACTTAAAAAGCTACTTCTTTTATTGGTTTCCTGTAAAAAGTTGTGATTTTTATTGTTTTTTTAAGTCTATGGTGGAAATAAAGAGAAAATAAAGTCTGGGTTTTCGTTATTCTTTGTGGGGTTTTTTCAGGTGGGAACATATTTTGTGGGGCAGTACTATCAGGTACTTCAACAGCAGCCACGCTTAGTGCACCAGTTTTATAGTGATGCCAGTACCATGGTTCGTGTCGATGGCAATAACAGAGAAACCGCCACTGCAATGCTGGTAGTTTTGCTTTCTCATTTTTACTCGATTGTTTCTCTACTTTATCAAGTTTGCTTGTAATCTTCAACAAAGCAAAGTTATCTGCTTTTTTGTTGAATTTTATAGGGTTGGATCATATATCTAATTAGAACACTACAATTTTCACAACATTTTAGTACATTGAATGTCTTTAGTGTCCCCTTCCAGAATTCTTGTTATGTCAATAGTCGCATTTTGAACAAAGTTAAACATTTTGATTCATAATTATACACTTCTATGCAAGCAGTGATAAGGGATACTCTTCTTTTCCCAAAATTATATTGTCATCAATCTCTAAGGTGTCTTGGAAATATATGCACATTCTTGTTATGCTTTCTTAAATTTACTTTGATAGTTCCATAACAACGTCCATTTTCATTTATGTTCTGTTTCCCCGTTTTCACGCTGGTTTTTATTGTATGATTATGCATTCGGTGAATGGAGCTATTGGCTTATCCTTTCCCCTTTTTTTCCTCCTATTTTCATTTGGAAGCAAATTCATGCTCTCATTATGTCGCTTAACTTCACTGGGATTGAGATCAAGACAGCATATTCCCTTGAATCATGGAATGGAGGTGTTCTATTGATGGTTTCTGGTTCTGTGCAAGTAAAGGATTTCATTTCCAGGAGGAAATTTGTGCAAACATTCTTCCTTGCACCGCAAGAGAAAGGTTATTTTGTTCTAAATGACATCTTTCACTTTATTGATGAGGAGCAAATTCACCCCCATCCAGCAGTCCTATTAGCCCATCACAGTTTTGATTCTAAACTCAATGCTGCAGCAACAATGCCAGAAGCAGGTATTTCCCATCAAACTTGAATTCTGAAATTTATGATTCTCCCTGTCAGTTGACCTGATAAAATGTTTTTGTTCTGAAATCCCATAAATTATAAATAAATTTTGAGGAATCAGTGTTACCGTATAGCTTGCATTTCTTTAAAAGAATTTACCATCTTAGAAAAAGTATTTCCTATGATGGCTTTGGATCTAATTCCTCGTGTTCTTTTGTGGAATCAGAGGTTATTAATTTCAGATTTCTTTTAATGTCCGGAGTGTATGGTGATCCTGAAGTATGTCGATGCATTATTTTCTCTCTTGATAATAAATTTCTCCTTAAAAATAGTAGTATGGATTTAAGTATATTATTTTGATGGATAACAATGATTCTCTTCTCAGTGTCAAGCTATTTGCTGGGTGGAGATATCCAGAGTCGGGAGTTTGTGGTTCCTGTTGACATCAAAGAAAATGGTCCAGTTGATGAGTATAGTTTGCAAGAGCAACAAATACAGCAAGCCCCAGAATCTGAAAGCATTGCGGAGAACAGTTGTGTCCAAGAGTCCAACAGTTCACTTCTGTATACAGTGCATACCGTCCAAGAGCATGTGCCTCCTTCTGTTGAGGAACCTGTTGGGGAACCCCAAAAGCACACCTATGCCTCTATTGTATGCTCTACATGTGGCAGTTATTTTTGTGTCATATATATGTATATATGTTCATGAATTTTTGGGTTTATTGAATTAGAAAATGACTTGTCTTAGTGACACTGATTTAATTTCTTTTGTTTTTTATGCATTTTTATTGAAGTTACGGGTTGCTAAAGGACAACCCGCACCAGCAGTTGCTCCTCAGATATCTGTTAACAAGAACATGCCACCTTCTTCTGACTGGGACCAAGCTTTCCAGCACAGTGCTCAGCAACCTTTTGTCTCCTCAAATGCAGTTGAAAGGTCTGGAGCCGATATGGTTGAGGAAGTTTCAGCCATAGGAAATGAAGGTAAGTTTCAAATGTTCTTATTATGTTTAGCTATTTTACTATACTGGATAATGACATAAGAAATGTTAATTCTCTTGAAATTTTATACGATTCTGTTGTTGCAATATCTCAAAACATTCATCTGGTTTGGAACTCTAGAAAGACACATGTTGTGTATAGTTTCCAAGCTAAATATGTGTAGTTAATCTGCTGCTTGTGTGTTTTAGGTGAAATAAAATCTGTTTATGTAAAGAACTTGCCCTCTTCTGTGTCTGAGTCTGAAATTGAGGAGGAATTCAAAAAATTTGGTGAGATCAGTCCTGATGGAGTTGTGATTCGTAGTCGCAAGGTTCACTTCGTAACTTTTCTTGTAGTCCCGTTGTGGTCTCTGCTTTTTATGCTAAAATATTTCATCTGTATGCAGGATGTTGGTGTTTGTTATGGATTTGTTGAATTTGAAGATATGGCAAGTGTCCATAATGCAGTCAAGGTCCGAATTTACATCAAGAACCTATCAAAGAACGTTTCTCTTATTGTAGTAGTTATGGATTCTCTATGGAAAGAGTGTTCTGCAACAATAAGCATAGTTTTCAATAAATTTTTGGGAAAAAAAAATGGAAGAGTCTTCGGCTTAATTATAAGATTTGAAAATCCAAATTGATTTGTGCATTCTGTGCACCTTGAGAGGAAGTTTGACATTTTAGTAAAATTTTCTATGTCTCTGTTTGTCACTCCTGATTTTTCCTCTCTGCATACATAAATTCCTTATCGAGATGAAGACAAACCTTTAACATTTTTAACAATGAAAATTGATAGTCATCTTTTAGTTGCATCACCAATCCTGCCTTACCATCCATTTTTCTTCGTTGTTCCCACCTGCCAAGAACTCTTTGTCAATACTTTCACCTTCCTATTTGGTCTGGTGTTGAACAATATGATATCAATATACTTTTTAATTTATTTTCATATAGGACTTTCATCTTGATAGATATTGTATACTAATTTAGTCAAATCCTATGTGGGCATATAGGCAGGAACTGCACAGGTTGCTGGACGACAAGTATATATCGAAGAGCGGAGACCAAACAACTATTTTCCATCTCGAGGAGGAAGTATGTATTTCTTTTCCTTTTTTTATGGATGTAATTCTTTCCTATTAGTATACTTTTTACTGTGAAGCAAAATAGTCCCCCTTACAGCTCTCAAACGGGTCGCCAAGAGTCTCATTGATGGGCAATCTGTGTGGTGTGGAATGCAACACAGGCATATAAGACCACATACACTTATCATTGTCTATTGCAAAATGGCCCTCAATGTGCTTTTGCTGATTTATCAATGGCATCATTACATTGTATTGTAGCTTGGTTTAAAGTAGGACATATCGGTGTCTCTCCATTTGTGTATGGTATACTTTTGTCATTTTTCTTTCCTTGACTTTTTACTTTGTAGGCATTAAAGGCTGAAATTTCTTCATAATAGTAACTTGTAGATCCTGAAAATGAAATGATAACTGCAGCATCACCTTAGAAACAATTGATACTATTTGTTTCTCTATGACAAATGGAACATCAAGAACTGAAATGGTCTCTTGGAAGCTTTCGAATCCATTAGATATTTTGATTGATATCTTTGTTTTCTCTTCTTATCCAGCGGTTAAAATGTCCTGGACAGGGAGGGATAGAGGCCGAGGCAGCTATCAAACAGAAGCTCCAAGGGGCCGTTTTGGTGCTCGAAGTTATGGCAGGGGGGGTGGCTATGAAGTAAGCGAGCGAGACTACAATAGATCGAGAGTAAATGGTTTCTACAGGCCAACTCCTCACCAAGATAGAGGGTAATCTGGCCAACAAATATCTAGAATTGGACAAGGTTCATAGTCAATATCTTTATCTTCTATGAAGGGATCAAACTTTTGGTTCCATCCACCACAAATCCAGCACATTTACCTTTTGTTACATTCAACGACTATATATCGGTGTTATCATCAGCTAGTTTACTTCAATGTGTTTGGAATAGGAATTACATTTTTTTTGGCAATATGTTTGTCATACTCAATTTGTTCTTTCAATATTTAATAGGCAACATGTTTGCAATTTTGGGCATATTGCTTTTTGCTTTGGGGTGCCTCAAAAGTTTGATCTATTCAGTCTAAAGAAAACAAGTCCCATTTCTTCCTTTAAGATGTTCCTGCTTGATCAAAAGTTTGATTTTTTTGGCCTAAGTAATTGGTCCAGCTTAAACTAATAAGTTACTAATTTGTTTATCTGAATTAATAATTTCATTAAAGATAGTATAGAGTTTAAGAATTTATTGCCATCAGTAATGTGATTTGTTAGTAGAATGCCAAACTCTAAATTTTAGAGATCAGGTTCAATTTTTTTTTTTTTTTGGTTTGGGGGAGGGCACAATCCTTACAGGAAGAAAAATGAGAGATCTTGACTCGAAACTAGGACCTATGTCTTCGTAAAGCCTTTTCAACCACTAGATTAGAAGGTGGAGGAACAGTTGCGTTCAATTTTAGGTATCCTAAAGACCAAAATAAGGTTAAAAAGTTTTTACATGGAGTAATTCCTTGTTGAAAGCTAATTCTGAATTTCTTTTATTAATACTAAAGATTAGCCTAATATAACCTATTAGGCCATTACAGATGATTATTCCACCTTATAAAAATACCCAATAACTAACAAAATTTAGCTAAAGAATAAAAACATAAATATAATTGTTTTATTTAAATTGTCTGACCATTGACAAACATTGGAGTTTGGACGAATGATTTTGTACCTAATATTTTCAGCTTTTGAATGAAGCATTAGAATGTATGACCTCTGAGATTATTCTAGACAAAGCTCCATGCTGAAGAGAAACCTGAGTTTGGTCTTGCCTTGTGTTATCATCTCCATCTTCTTCTGTTCCCCTGAGGAAGGTAGCAAATGCTGCAAGAACATGGTTGTAAAGTACAAAACAGTGGGATAAGAATTTGCCAGGTAGAGCATTAAAAACATACCATCTTTTTTTATTGAGAAACTATTTCTTCTTAGATTTCCAAGATATTGCATTAGAAATAAGAGTTGAGTTGATAAAAAATAGAATTTGTTCCATAGAGTTTTTCAAGCAACTGAATTAAAAGTACCTATCTCCATGAGTACCTTCAACAGCTCGTTCAAAGTAATGGGAGGCTTTATCATGGTCATGGTGAAGATCTCACACCAATTTGGCATATTGTGACATGGTTTCACCTTCCCCAGGGTTAGCTTGTATGGCTTGTGAGTTGTATTCCTCAGTTCCTTAAAGATCTCCTTTAGGCTGTCAATCCAAGAGGACAGTTTCACTTAAAAATGTGAAAATGGCAGTCAAATGAGAATCGTCCGCTTATGCTGATGAATGCAGATTTCTGTTGCATTATGTTCTCCTATGCAGTCATGCAGATGTTAAGCAAACGAAGTAATATGCAAAAAAAGGTGAGTGCCTGAGTGGGCATAATTGCTTAGAAACGGGCTTAATTGCTTAGAAACAAAGGGTTGCAAGCATGTTCCTGAACAATCCTCCTAAAATAATCCTCAACATCGACATCCTGGCTATTTGCATTAACCCCAAAGCCTGCTGGATTTGGAGGGTGCAAGGATAAACTAGCCGGCTTAGTTTCTTGTTTAGGTAGTGAGTTCTTGGATACCCTCAGAGTTTTCTCCTCTTTAACCTGAGAAATGCAATAATCATTACAGCCTTCCCAACAGTATGTCACATTTTAGTCTTCAAGTATCACCTTCAGGTATTCTTGTTGTTCTCCATGTTCCTCTGCATCATCCTCTATTTCCCAGAGAAAACTAACATATGCTCCAAGGACATTGCTGGAAAAAGGAAAAGAAGCAAATAAATTAAACTTTAGCTTCCGGAGCTTTTCAACAAAATCCTGTAGCTAAGGTTTGCATTAAGTAATGTAACTGTCTGAGTGTGTTACCGGCATTATTTTCGACAATGAAATCAAGCCAGTTGGATGACGAATTTCACAGAAGGATGGTAACTAGTTCGAGAGAAACCGTAGATAACCTATTTTAAAGTTCACAGCCAAGTATAGATACGTACTGACCTATCTTGACTAGAATCTTGAACTACACGTTCAAAGTAACTAAGGGCTCTTTGTCTTGGTGAAGGTTCCATACCATTTTGGCATACTGCAAGAGAATTTCACCGTCTTCAGGATCTGCTAGTGTCGCGCGATGACAATACTCCTCTGCTCCTTGAAGATCTCCCTTAGACTGCTGGAAGAGATTTAATCATGTTCCATAAAACTGAAAGATCATGTTTTCTTTTACTCGAGAAAAATCTATGTCGCATGAGCTATGAAATGCAATCTGAAGGAAACTCTATGGTGATATGAAAAGCCAGAATTGCCTTTTAAGCTCCAGCACTAATCATCCCAGGGACGATGAGAAATAATGGGCTACTTTTCCCCTAGGCTCTTCTGCTAATATGTGCTAAATTAAGACTAAACTAGAAGCAGCAGTGACTTGAAAGGTACACAGTTAGACATTGTCTAGATGAACTTAAATATTTACCCAATGACTGGACTAAAATAAAAACTACAACTCATGATCAACTTCTCTAGTTTCTACTGTGAGATGGATAAAAAATACACCAAAAAAGTGCTAAAGCCAGTCAATTGCCGATGTATGGATTGTGAGAACTTGTTTATTTCACATACATCAAACAGATTACCTTATCTACCGCGAAGGCTCAAGCATCTGAAATCATAAATGACTAATATGGTAAGGTCAAATTCAATATACAGGAAAAGTATATAGAATTAATTAGTCTCACCTGTAAGAATTTAGCATAATTCCTTAGGAACAGAGGATGACAGGGTTACTCATCAACCAGCCTCCTATGCAAATCTTCAAGATCACCACCCTCATCAAGAACTCGTTGAACTTAAATCAACACCTACAGCCATGGCACCAAATCCAACACCATCAATTCCAAGACCTGTAGCGAGATACATGGGAGGACTAGGTGGCTCGAGTTCAACTTCCTCTTCATTGTAAGAACTTTGAATTCTGTTTGATCTTTCTTCTTCCTCCTCTCCTTCCTGAATCAATTCCATACACTTCTTTGGGAAGCTGATATCTGCATTTCCTACAGCATCAATGTTCTCTCCAATTGTAACTGTTCTCTCTAATGCCTCCTCCCTTACTTGTCCATCTTCAAGCCCTTCATTAAATATCGAAAAAGATGGTGCACTACACAACATTGTTATATGATGCCTGCAAAAGATTTCTTTGGTGTTCTGGAATCAAGAAACTGAGCTATATCATAAGAACCAAAATCTAATCTTTTTAAGCTTCGTTCAGATTTAACTCTTCAAAAGTCTCTAAAGCGAAAACCACCAGATTCTTGATTGAATTCAGAGAACCCTGAGGTTGAATGAGACACTGGAGATGAACTATGTGAAAATAGTGTCAAGTTGAAGTTTTCCTGACCATGATAGTAGTCTTTTCCACCATGGTTACAATGAAGTAACCTGTAAGTAGTATCAAGATCTTGGTTTGGACTATCAGAGAAGGCGAACAGGAGGCTTCCAGTAACTGGGGTTGATGAGCTTCTTAGAAGCATTTTTTCAGGAGCCTTAAATACTGATCTATTTTGCCTACCTGAGAACATAAAATTCTGGGCCTATGAGCTGTTGAACAGCAAAAAATGAATAAACTAAACTCAATTTGACTTCCAACATTAATAAAATAAAAGAGACTCCCATATACACATGTCTGCAATGATCTTAACTGGGGTTGCAATCTTTCTACGTTTCTAATGTTTCTTCACCCCTACTCAAGTATCTCATTCCTTGATTTCATGAAACAAGCCCTAAGGGGAAACATAACAAACTCAAGTATAACAAGACACATGTGATTCCATTCCATTTTTGAGTAAAAGACTTAATTTATCACATGAAGTTTGCCCAATCAATTTATTTTTGTGAGTTGCATTGTGATTCTGAAACCAGAAAAGCAAGTATACCACCGACTGCCAACCTCTAGAGCATGGAAACACCAAGTCAAGAAATTCAAAAGGAAAAATGGCATGGGATATCATACATTTGACACTGTAAATATTTTACTTTTCATTAAATATTATAATCAAATGTTTTAATATTTTAAAATATATTATAATCAACAATGATCAAGTTATTGAACAAAAGAAGAACAAATTTTCCATTTTAAAAATGGAAGCTTGAACATGAAGTAAAGAGAGACAAAAATAGAAAAATGGTGGGCAGTTCAAAACTCCCATGCCTTAATTTATGATGATAAATCCTAATTAAAGTTCTTAAAAAAAAAAACTTGTTATTCTTGTTTCTTATCACCTAGTCAAAATTCCCACTTTGTTTTTTCCAATGGCTGTCATAAAAATAACTAAATCGCAACGGTTTCCCTTTTTTACCACAATTCACGCACCATTTCCATATGCCTCCATTTTTTTTTTCTTCTTGCTCCTTTGTTTTCTCCCCGATATTTCCCTTTTCCCTACCCTGGTCGTCTTCGACGACGAAGGTGGGCCCCCCACTTTCGTCGTTGATAATAACACTAACATTAACGACGACGAAGAAGAAACACCGACGACAAAGCCTGGAATCATTAAGCATTGATATTTAGCAGTTTTTTTTTTTTAGCCAAAATTATGAGCATTTTGGCACCGTTCCAGTTGTTGGAACTCAACGTGATCTCGGCCCAAGACTTGGAGCCCGTCTGTCGTCGCAGAATGCGAACCTACGCAGTGGCTTGGGTCCATCGGGAACGCAAGCTCTCGACCCGTATCGACACCCAAGGCCACACTAACCCAACATGGAACGACAAGTTCGTTTTCCGTGTCGATGACGAGTTCCTCAACGGTGACACGTCGGCCGTCATGATCGAAATCTATGCCGTACATTGGTTCCGTGACATCCTCGTGGGAACCATCCGAGCCATCGTTGGAAACGTTATCCCGCCAATTACTCGGCCGCGACATCGCCACGAAGTACAGCTAGGGATGAGGTTCGTGGCTCTTCAGGTTCGGAGACCATCGGGTCGTCCCCAAGGGATTTTGAACATTGGGGTGGCGCTGCTTGATAGTTCAATGAGGAGCATGCCTTTGTATTTGCAAATGGGGTCGTCCGCGGTTGGTTATCGGCATTTGATGGGTGAGGAAGACCCGTTTCAAAGCTCCAATAACAATCCTCTTTCCACCACTACCAAAAGCAATAACGATAACCATCAGCTTTTGCTCAATGGGTTGATCAAACCACAACTTCGACGGACAAAGAGTGATTCGAGTTCGATTTTCGAGTCAGATATAAGGCCAAGGAGATCCATTAAAGGTTCGTCCATTATCAATGATGGGTCAGTGGTCTACGGTGGTGGGTCAATGGTTAACGGGTCAGAAATCGGAAAAAACAACTATAAGGTTAATTCAAGGGGAAGTTCCATGGTGAATTACACGTTCGAAAAAAACAATAAAAAGGGAAAGCCAAGTTCAATTGTTAACGGGTCGGAGGATCCAGGAAAAAAGGGTCCAGGAAAGGGCAACAAAGATGGAAAAATGGCGTTGAAAACACCACCTGGCAAGTCACCGAATGGGTTAAGATACAACGGGTTGGATTACGAGGCTCCGAAACAAATACGTGGGCCGAACATTTTGACCGATTCAGAATTGGGTCCATCACCATCCGAAGTGGCAGCTGCGGTGGCCAGAAACATGTACCTTAACAGAATGGATGAGACAGAGAGTTCAGTGGGAGGGTGGAGTTTAGATGAAAGTATCGAAGGGCTTCGGTCAAAACTAGAAAGGTGGAAAACCGAACTCCCACCAGTGTATGACCGAGGTAGTGAAATTTCTAGTTATGTGTCTACTGGGATTCCTAACACAACCAAGAAAACAAGACATGCCAGAAGACACACTGACAATGGTGGATTGTTTTCATGTTTTGGTAAAATTTGTGGCTGTGAAATTTCCATTACTTGTGGTGTGGCAGCTGCAGCTAGGAAAAAGAGGAAATTGCATCGATCCCCTTCTGATGATAACTTGAGTTTCCTTTGAAATTGAGCATCTCGGATGGACTTAAAAATGGCTTTTGAAGATTGACCAATTCATGAAGTCGGTTAGGCCATTCTTTCCCACCCTTTTCTTTTTTACTTTTTGTTATATTTTATTGAATTACATGTACATCCATGTTATACTTTGGGAAAAAAAATGAAAAAAAAAAAGTGCTACTAATGTTTGTGAGTCCATGAGTGTTGTTCATAATTCAGAATATTAACATGTGTTTTGGGGGGCTACCGGTTTTTTTTTTTTGGGGGGGGGCACAATTCTCTTCTTTCAATGAGATCATATTGTTGTTTTTATATCTTGATGAACTAGACCTATATCAGATGCTGCATTTTTGTTGGATTAGGGGTTCTGAGCAATGGAACTTCCCTTTTTTAACAGTAATCTGGTTTTGCTTAGAAATGCAAAATTCAGACAAGTTAACCTGCATAGGCATACTGAAAACAACAGGATTTACAATTGATGCATTGTTCCAATTACTATATCTGCTGTAGTTAATGAGGCTTTGGTGTTAGCCATAGAAATGGCTGGCTGATATTTTTCAAGAAAACATGTTTGATAAAAGTTGTGCAAGCCTTGAATGGCTGTAAATAACAGTTTTGTTGGCTGTGTTTTCAGGATCGAATTTAAGTTTGGTTGTATATTTGCTTCAACAAATTCCTCCTGTATGCCTCAACAAATTTCTACTGCATAATGGATAGATATGATAATTTATGTACTCGTATCATGTTTAATTCATGTAAAACACATGTTTTATACAAAAATTACATGTGATAATTCGTGTTGAGACATCAAATGTAAAATAACTTTTTTTTTGTTTTTTTCAAATCTATATTCAGTTTTTATTAAAATTTTAAATTGTGTGACTCTTATATCTTTTTTTATATTGTATTATCATTTCGTTTTTTAAATTACCAAATCTAATAATGGAGTCTTATCATGTGCTATATCACACTATATGTTGCTGGATGAGATCTTCATAATAATGGAAAACTCCCTCATTAATCTAGTATTATAACATAGCTGACAAAGGAATTTGAATGCAAAATTCAGAAAAAATTGTATAACACACTACTCACCTTCAATTAACCAGTATATTATTGACCTCTCTCCACCCTAGATCCATGCAGTTGAAGGAAAAACAAGGAATACCTAAAGCTTGTTCATTGGGTTTCACATAGATCATATACCAGATGTTCATTCTGGTGATTGTCTTTAACTCTTTATATGTAGACATCAATAATCATATTCCAGATGCTCATTCTGATGATCCTGAAATAAAAAGTCAGGATCAGTATTCATGGCTTTCCCCAACAGAAGGTCTTTTTTCCATGATTCTCATGAATGACAATCACACATTTTCTCCTCTAATATTTCCTGATTTTTTTTTGTTTTTCGTAACACCGTCTTTAGACGATTTTAAGAATACATTCTCTTATATTGATGACAATCGATCTCAGAAGTATAAAATATAAGACTTAATTTGTTGTTGTTGTTATATTCTCTGATATTGATCTAATCTAATGCATTTAGAATTTTACGTTTCAATCTATGCCTCATTGACCAGAAAAGAGAAATGAGCTTTCTCCAAATTTTTTCCTGATTTGCTCTTTGTTTATGCAGCTAATCTTATCCAAATAGAATCTTTGATAACTAAATTGGCTTTCAATGTCAAGACCCCACCATGCACCTTCAGCCTTGAGCATAGACAAGAAAATGTAAATAAATCAATCTTATTGCCAATATCATATAAGAATAGCCCCATTTTAATTCCTGTCTCCATGTCTTAAGAAAATGACTTTTCAATTATTTTACTCCAACATTTAAAAGAGAATAATTTGAAGATAAGTTTATCAGATGTGCAGTCATTGCTCTATGTTGTGTGAATCTTATCACCTTTACATATGCATCCTATGCCTAAAAGATTCTGACTGACTCTCAACTTTAATTTTCCCATTTTTCATTACAGTTCTTATCAATAAGAATGCTACCTTTTTTTTTTCTTTTTTTTTTATGAACTATTTTGATTTATTATATTGTTTATGTTGAGCTCTGAATGGACGGATAGGATGTTGAAATCATAAGAGAAAAAGAGAGCAATTGAGAGTAAAGGAAGGAGGTATTCTTTACGTTTGTGTTCTTAAGCTCAAATTAAAAGTTGAAATATGAAAGGTAGGAAGGAGAGAAAAACAAGAAAGTAAAGGAATATAATTAGATTAGATTAATAGTATTTGAGTAACTCTATTTATAAGCAGAAAGTGAAATATTTATGAGATAAAATAGTGATGTAACCAAATTGACTTGAAATTATACATATTAAGTTGGCCCAAAAATAAAAAATATTGATAATTATCTGTTGATAGTCTATAATAATAAAAAGGATTAAAACGGCTTTTAAATTTAAAAATACTCCTAACAATATTCTTTTTCAAATAACTAAATTATATCCAATTATAATAAGGGAACTTTATTTTTCAAATCATTCGCATTTGATCAAAAACTGTTTAATAATAATCAAAATAAAAAAAAATTTTGAATCCCACTCTTCGAATAAATAATTAAATACATTAATTATTAAATCCAATGTTCTATGCAAAGAATATTTCTTTCCCTTCTCTTGTTTAAATGTTTTCAAGCTTCATTAATTACGGATTTTTTTATTTTGGGAAATTAACTGGGAAGTCATATTCTATCAATATTACCCTTTGCATCCCCCAACAAACTTGCTAAATTTCATTAATAAACAACATAAGGTTAGACTCCTCGTTGTCTTTACTTTATAGAAAATGCCAAATCTTTTTATTTGCTCTTTTTGGACAATTAGTTTTGCTAAATTCCGTTCTAATACGAAAAAAAAAATGAATTTCTTGAAATTGAACTGAATTAGGATTTTAGTCTGTTAGATCTTTTAAATTTTATGATATTAGGGTTCTTGATTTGTTATGAATATACTTTATATATGCTTATAAATTATGAGAAAGTAAGATTTTAAAATATAATTTTAATTTATATAGATGTTATAACTTAAAAATAATAAGTATTACGTTCAAGATTTGATGAAATCAATTAAATATTTTAGATGATTAAAATTTTTGGTTAGGTTAATGAAATTTTAAAAAAAAATTTATTAATTTGATCTGGGTTTTGCTCAATATCTCTTATCTAGATTGATCCAAATAAATTTATTTATATCAAATTTAATAAATTTATAAAAATTTATGGTCTCATAACATTTCAATTAATTCAAATCCAGTTAATAAATAAAAAAAATTTTATTATTATTTTTATTGTTTGAACCAATTATCTGCTAATAAAAAGTGACAGTTTGTTACTAACCAAACAAAGCAAAGCAACCAACCAAACAGAAAGCTTTAGTTAATCTTGAAAAGGAATGTTCAGCCTCTGTCTGTCTTTCTCATTTGTGGTCACGTTTTGAACCCACTCTTCCGCCACTTCCGTTCAAGGAAGTAGGGAATGGCTTTGAGTGATCAATTGTCGTATCCCACGCGCTTCTTCACCTTGTTTGGACCTCACCGTAGCCTTCTCAGGGATAATGTCCTCTATGATCACGTAATTCGTTGGATTTGATATTTAAATTAAAAAAAATTATTAAATAAATATCTAAATTTTGAAATCATGAATCAATTTGATTCAAAAATTAACTTCGTTAATCAAATTGTTCACTTGGTTATTTTTGTCAATAAAAATTCACTATTTGAATAAAATAACATATCATGTATATATTCTTAAAAAAATTTTAATTTCCCTTTAAACTGTAAATTTCAAATTCAATACTCAAACCTTATACTTCAAACTAGATTTTTACATGGGGTAATTTTTCTTGAATTTTTTTAAAATTTTTACTTGTAAATTTTCCAAACCAAACATAGGGTAAATTTTATAAGAAAAAACTTTGCCAAAATCCCAGTTTGTCTACACCCAAACCACTAAACCAAGAATTACCATCATCAATCTCATCCCGTCGCCACTATCACTAATTCAGGAACTCATTGAAATTACTACCCAATCAACATCATCACAGCCTATCACCAATCCTGAAGCGACCATTCCCATCAATACCAAATAGCAGACACCACTAAGGTACCACAGTAGCCAGAAAACATTTTTTTTTACGCAAGCAAATGCACAAAAAGAACGAGAGTTTCGTTTTGGGAGAATTTTGAGTGGGTTTTGGGTTTTAATCCTTTAAAGGGAGGAAGGATCAAGGAAATACCAAAAAGGAGGCCACCATTGGTAGCCGTTGTTAATAGTGCAGAGGAGTGGTGGCAAAAGGAGGCTTGGGTGGTGCAATGTTTTGGAGATCTAAGAAGGTTGAAGAGAGGAGAACAACATAATAAAAGTACAAAAGGATTGGACAGTGGAAGGAAGAGTTTGAAGTTTTGGGCTTCAACTTCAGATCTAGGAGTTTTGAAACGTTTCGAGAGAAAATCAAGTAAAAAATGGAAGGAGGAGGAGGTGAGTTTTGTTTAGCTGAAATCGAGGACCAAACCCGCATCGACAAGCAACAGTTGACAGTGGTGAGTCACCGAAATTTGGGTTAAGGGAGAGGTGATGCTCACATTTTTTTTTTTTTGAAGGGAAGATGAATTTTTTTAAAGAACGAAATAAATGAATTGAAAAAAAAAACTTTTTTGCTTTGGCCACATAAACATGATATGTAAGCAATAATTTAAGATGACATGTCATTTTGTGATTAGATGTTAATATTTTATTAATTCAAATGGCCAAGTAAGTTATTCTATTAACGGAGTTAAGTTTTAAACTATATTAATATATGGATCAAGAGTTTATGTATATAATTAAGAAATTTTTAATTTAGATATCAAATTTAACAAATTACAATAATTTAAATGTCATATAAGACATTATCCTTTTTTTAAAAAAGAAAAAAAATTAGAGACAAATATTTTAGATTTGAGTTATAAACTTGTAATAAAGTACAATAATTTTTGGAAGGGAAAAATGCACTCAATTATGCTATTTGGACATAAAGTTATTGAATTTTTTCAATATATTTTTAAATATAAAATAAAGAAATTGATGAAAATTTATCATTTTCATCGATCTAACATTTTGTAAAATATTTTAATAAAATTGAAATAATAACAATAAAATTTGTCATTTACATTGATAAATATTTTTGTATAATATTTTAATTTGATTTTTTTTCAAACATGACTAAATTTTATTATATTTGTAATTTATTTATTTAATTAAAAATTTTAAAATATTATTTATAATTATTTATTAAATTTAATAAATAAATATAAATAAACAAAAATTGAATCAAACTGTTTACCAAATATTTTGTTTATTTACACTACTAATATATTACATGGCAACAGATCATCAGTCTCATGTTGCCAACAAGGTAAATCATCAACTAGACTATATCTATTAAAAATATATAAAAATAAACTCATCAAATAATTGAAAGTTTCATCAATCACCTATGTAATTGTAACCCAAGACTAAATGAAAACAATTAAAGAATTAAAATCTATTGAAAACCCATCAAAAATCAAATTTATTCAAATGGGTATGTCAAACTTCTTCACAGTTTAAAGAAAAATGGGCATTTGATCACCATTATTTACGGGGTGTAATTGATCGAGTTTGAATCGATATAAAATTAAGTTTGAGTTAGAGCTTGATTTGAAATTCAAGGATCGAAATTCGACTCGAATTCGATTGAATTTTATTTTTTTAATTCAAGCTTGATTCGAAATAAAAATCGAACTATTAAAGTTCACTCGATTATGTTCGATTAACATGTAAAAATAAGCTTGATTCTTATATTCGATTAAAATTCGATTATTTATACTTGAACTCTAATTCGAAATATTTTATTAATTAAAATAATAAAAACATATTAAAATATAAAAGCTCAATATGATCGTGAACTATTCGAGTTTAGTATAAAAATGCTCGAATTTGGTTCAATCGATAAATCGAATTACTCGAATTCGAACTAGACTCGATAATAATCCAATCGAATCGAATTTTATTCAAGTTGAATCCAAATAACTTGCTAATACTAATATATTATTACACCTCTTACCATTTTTCACTAGACTTTCTCATAAAACTTTTTGGTTTGCTTGTAGATTTGTAAATCAAAGAAACACGATTTCAAGACAATAAAGCTTTGGTCTCTAGTTCCAATTTCACATAAAAGAGTAATTAATTTTTTTCGTAAAAATTTTTAAATATTAAAATTCAAATCATATATTTATTAAATATCATATTTTAAAAATAATAATATAAACAAAAAAATAAATCTCATAATCCTAACGACTTGTTTTTAGCTATATAAACAGTCCATTAATGACTTTTCCAAGAACATTGTTTAGAGTTAATGATCAATGGTTCCATATTTTTGAGGCAAATAAGAAAAAAAAATGCAACTTTAACTTTTTTCTTTTCGTTAATTTGCCTCCTTAAAGGTCTTTCTTTCCCATGCTTTCTGATATTTTATTTCCTAAATAATCACTTGATTAGACCGACATTGGCAAGCTAAATTATTCTATGTTTAAATTGTGATCCAATTATGATATTTTTTTCTAACGATAAATATTTATTTTTATAAGAAATTCGAAATAAATAATTTATTTAATTTTTTAAAATTTAATTTACAAAAATTATATATTCGAAATTAACGTCAATAAAATATTATCGTATGATTCAAACTCAAAATAATTAAATAAAATTTTTAATTTAATCATTAATTTCGACTTTCTCTTTATGGTGGGGTTGCCACTTGGAATTGTAAATCTCTTTAGGTCTCAACTTTATAAAACAAGGTTTTGTGGCATTTGTCCTTGAAATAGTAGACAGCACAATAGGGAAGAAAAGAGAGAAATTAACATTAGAATATGCTTTTTTGGCACTTGTAAAAAGACTCAATACCTTTATACTTTAACCCTATGCTTTTTTATTCTAAAAGCTAAGAGACATCTAAGCTTTAATTAAAGCCTTTCCTATACTTTAATTGAGTATCATAATTATCATCAAGAACATTTGTTTTTTCTAATTATCATTAAGTAATTTTTTGACTTCATATTTTATATACGAATAACAAAATTTTTTAATTTCATAAATAGAGTTAAGCGATTGTCATGTGTCTTATTTTTTAATTAATTTTTTAAATATATTTTTGAGAATTCATGTGCATGTGTCTTATTTATTTCATGTTAAACATGTATAAAATATAAAAATTATTATATCATAATTCGTGTCGATATTTTAAACACATAATACTTTTTTTTTTTGTTTTTGTCAAACCAATATGCATTGCTAAAATTTAAATCGATTCGTTGATATTAAAAGTGATTGAATTCTACGTATTTTATGTTAATCTTACTTGTAAAATCTAAAAACTATAAAAAGATGAGATAATTTTTCATTTTTTTAATGTAAAATTTGGCATTGAGTAGATGTGCCTTGAGTTAAGCCCATTTTTCCTACATTAATCATCATGTATATTTTTTAGGTCTCAAAGCATGATTAACAATTACTATTTAACTTGAGAGCTTTCTTTATAAAAAGCATAGTTCTTTTTATAAATTAATCTAAAGACAAAATCAAAAGTAACCATCCCCTTTTGCTATAGAAGACTTAAGAAAGGTAAAATTTCCATGTTAGTACAAAACATGTTACCACATAACCTTTTAAAAATTTTTAATTAAGGATTTAATTGAGAAAAAAAGTAAATTTTTAGTAACAAGTGAATAATTATTTCTCACATAAAAGCATACTTTATATACTTTTTTGTCTCATTTTTTAAATTATTTTTCAAATTTGAATACTTATGCTTTTTTTTTAATTAAAAATTTAAATTAAAGTATCATATTAATATTTATGTCACGTAAAATATTAAAATTTATATATTTATTTTATATTTTATATAAAAATTATATATTATAATTAATATTGATACAAAAATATAAAATTTAATTTTTTTATTTTATTAAATTTATATATAATTTTATAATAATTTTAAATAGTATAATTTTTTAATCTATTTTATAATCCCAATATCGTGGTTTTAACTGTGAATTTAGCTTCACATTCACAACCATGTGAGTTGGAAGTTGGAATGGAAACGCGACCATCAGACCAAGGCATTCGTTCGTGCTTCCTAGACTTCCTAGTTATGCCCTGCCTCTGCCTGTTGTCTACAGAATTAGAGTTTCTTTTTCTTTTTCGGGATTTCATTTTTTCAACCAACAGGGGAGAAAACCAGATTCCAAAGAGACATGATCATGTCGAGGAATTTTATTTATTTATTTATTTATTTGAGTAAAAAGGATGGTGACTGGTGAGAGTGCAAGGCGCACTAGCAGACATATGGGTCCCATCATCATCACACCCTCCACCACCTTCCCCAACCTCCGTTCCCTCCTTTTGCCTCTCCTACACTTCGGTCTCTCTCTATCTCCACCAAAATAAGCCTTCTTTTTGTCCCTCTCAAAACTACTTCTTATTTCTTCACCTGTGCCAAGTCTTTAACTTTCTTGCTTTTCTTAATTGCTTGTTTGTGATGGATGGTGGCTTAGTTTTACTTGGTGGTGGTGGTGGTTCTTCTGGGGTTTCTACAAATGAATCAGCAGTGTCTAAAGTGGAGGTTGTTTCTGAGGCAAGTTCATATCCAGCTGAGAGTGAGCTGGAGTTAGGCCTGGGACTGAGCCTTGGTGGTCCTGGTGGTGTTACAGGGAAGACAAAGGCCGGTAATTCTCCATGGGGTGAGTGTGGTAGAATCTTGACTGCAAAAGACTTCCCTTCAGTGGCTTCTCATAGAGCTAATACTGGTGGTCCTTCTTCTGTTGCTGTTTCTGGGATCAAGAGAGCTGCTGAGTCTGTCCCCCATGAAGGTGGATCTCCAACTGGTGTCAGGTTTGTGCCTTCGAGACTTGTTTTCATTTATTTTATCAATATCATGGCTTGTTTGTCAGGTTCCCATAACAAGTTCGAAAGAAAAAGAAATTCCGGATTTTTTTGCTGCCTTTTTTGGCATAACCAGCTAGTTAATGTTAGAGTCTTAGGTTCCTTTTGAAATGTCAAGTAGGTTATATTTACCTCCAGCTTTGTTTATCTGTATGTGTTCATCCTTCTCTGGTTTTCTTTTTTTGGCAAATATTTCCCTTTTAATTAGTTAGATTATTTATTGTTCCATGTTGTTGTTTTGGAAGCAGTCAAGTTGTGGGATGGCCCCCCATAAGGGCTTTTAGGATGAACAGCTTGGTTAACCAAGCAAAGGCTCCAAGAGCTGAAGAGGAAGAGGGAGTTGGTGAAAAAGATAAACCAAAGGATGCCTTGAAAAAGAAACCTTACAATGGCAAGAAAATCAGTTCTGGTGTTAATGAAAAAGGCCATCTTGGGTTTGTTAAGGTGAATATGGATGGACTTCCAATAGGGAGAAAGGTGGATTTGAATGCTCATTCTTGCTATGAAGGTTTGGCCCAAGCACTGGAAGATATGTTTCTCAGATCTGCCAACTCAGCTGGTAAGTGCCCTTTCTGTGTTCTGGCTTTAAGAATTTTGACATGTCATCAGATAAAGGATACCCTTTTGTAGGTTCAGAGAAGGAACAAGTAACAAAGCCCTCTAAGCTTTTGGAAGGATCATCTGAATTTGTTCTGACCTATGAAGACAAAGAGGGAGACTGGATGCTTGTAGGAGATGTCCCATGGAGGTATGCTTCTATCTTTTGCTAATTGTATAAATTTCCAAGATGAGAAAGAGAGAGGAAAGGTGGGCAGAGGGTTAGGAGGATGGGGACATGCAATTGGAAGCCGATAAAAACTTTAATCTGAAAGCAACAGCAAAAAAGAATCGAAAGTAATTTGATACTTCCATGGTTATGATCCTATTCATTTCTTGTCGTGTTTCAGAATGTTTCTAAGCTCAGTCAGAAGGCTCCGAATCATGAGGACCTCTGAGGCAAATGGACTTGGTATGTAGAAGACGCATAGTAAACAATTTTTATATTTAGTTTTGAATTTTTGTTTCTAACTCCTGTTATTCATCTGTTGCAGCACCAAGATTTCATGAAAGGAATGAAAAGCAAAGAAACAAGCCCATTTAGCATCATCCCCATCCGTCATTGTCATTTCAATTGCATAAAAAGAAAAAAAAAATTCACAGTTTGAACACAGAAGTTAAAGGAAACTAGAGAAGTTGATGAATTGAAGCGTATTGCCAAGATTGGTTTCCACTGCTTGTTAAGAGTATCAAATCATTTTATGGTTCTTGGTGCTTTTTTTTTTTTTTTTTTTGGTTTTGTTAGGCCATAATCAATTTAGTTTTCTCTCTTATACAGTGCCATGATACAGTCCCGCGGCCTTGACTAAATGCTGTTTTTTAATACTGTAAATATGGGAGTACTCGAAATCTAGAGTGTTTTGAGCTTTGCTGCAATCAAGCAGCTCAGTTTTACTTTTGTGATACAAGAAATGTTTGTGTGATTCCGATGTTAGCGTTTTCATACTGTTGGTTGGCCATGTTTTCTTAATTTGTCATAGTTTAATCTAAAGTTCTGAGTGTTTTATTTTCGGGAACAAGATCTGATTAATTGAATCTTTTGTGGCTAAATATTTGATCGTTCTAAGCTTCCACACCGCACCTGAAGCTGTTATTTCATGGAGGAATCAAGCACACCTTCGCCCTGAAACAAATCTCAAGAAAGTTTAGTGCTTATAACACAAGAAATAATGGAAGAAACATAACATCAAAACTTGGTGTGTGGCTTCTAAGGACAAAAGCATCATGAATTGTCTTTTACATCATGCAATTTGGCATGCAACCACCAGCTCAGCTATTAATGGAACGTAACTTCATTGCAACAATTGGGTATAATCTCTACTCGATTATGAAACATGATAATACGATCTTCAAGCCACTTTCATATATAATGAAATAACATGTTAAGACTGTGTGATCCTTCAAGTCGGGAAAGAAAGATCATTATCTGGGGCAAATGTAACTCATTATCTTGATGAGAACAGGTTGCAAGTGATAAAAAAGTATTCAGAAAGCAAAGTGGAACAGATGCTAATATTTTGACGTTTGTCAAAGAGGAGTACTGTTCAGGCTGTACTGCACTTAATATTTTGCTGACAATTCTATCAATCAATCAGCTTATATTGGAACCTTAATGAGCAGGTTGATTAATCATGTGTAGTTCTATTATTCTCTTTTAGTTTGTTCTTTGAATCAATGACAGAGATGAAAATTTTTTGAGGGTCTAATCAGTGATTTGAAGCCATGGTTTTTGAGGTCTAATCAGTGATTGGAAGCCATATACCATCTTCAGGATGAGATCTAACAAACTTATCCACAAAACTGGAGTTACTGAAAGAAAGACGCATGACAATACTCGAGTTTGAAGCTTTGACAATAATAAACACTTACTAGGTTTAAGCAATTTCTGATTAAAAAAAAAAACCAAAGGAATTTTGTGGTGGAGAAAAGAGACAACCATAATGGACTTTGAAATAATAGGAAAAATTATGCAAGTGGTCCTAAATATTTCATTTTTGCCATCCAATTTTCCAGTTTTTAGGTCAAGTCCTAAAAGAAAAGGTGTTTTCTTCTGGTGCTTGATCCAATCAAATGTAATCTGAGCTATGAGAGCTATAAGATACTGCTCATAAAAAAGGGAGACACACTTGATGCTTAAGATTATGCAATCATTTTGATTTTGACTGCAGATTGATTGAGATACAACTGTTCTCTACTATGGGTCTCATGCTTAGCCCTCTGCAACTTTTTTCTTCTCTTTCTCAAAATTCTCCTTGTTCATTGCTCTATATTGCAAAAGTAAAGCAAAAACAGCAAAACTTCTGGTATTTATGAAGATCTTTCGCCTTGAAAGAGTGCTTCTTTTCCGTTGCCTTTTCAACCTTTTTCTTCCCAACTTAGAAATGGAAGTTAAAATCTAAGACCCACCATCCAACACACATTTTCTCTTTTTTATCCCAAAGCTTGTTTTTCATGCAGGCTCATTGAAAACAGCAAATAATAGCATTGGAACCCCAACAGCTGGAAAGGTTTCAAGGCAATGCATATCATCTCATGAATATTCTGGCTCCACCTGCGATCCTAGGAAGCTCTTGATTGCCTGAAAAAGAAAAGATAGTTTCACAATTATGTTTAATTGAGTACTGAAACATTCAATGAGCTAAAAGTATATGTTAGATCAATTAGATCATTATCTTTAATTCATTCTGCTGCTTGTTCCGTATAATTCAAGTGCTGAGATTTGAATTTTAGACTTGTTAGATGTTATAAAAAATGGTTGCACGAATTAGCCGAACAAAGCTTGAGGTTCACTACACTAAGTAATATTAAAGGTGAAGAAATATGATAAAACAATATTACAGTATTAAAACAACAGTGCCAACACCTGAGCTGCATCTCTCTCTGTGGACTACAAGTAGTATTTATTTAGTATATACATAAAAGTAGTACAAATTGCTCACAAAATGTCATTTGGTCCTGTTTCCTACACAAAAACTCCTTTGGATCAGTGACATAACCGGTCAAAGCTGATGCAGCTGCTGTGTATGGGGAAGCAAGATACATCTGCCCTTCTTTATGCCCCATCCGACCATGGAAGTTTCTATTTGCTGTTGAGACACACACCTGCAATTAGGTTGATCCCATTAAAATTATTGCATTAATAAGAACAAACAAAATAGTGTAAATGATTGCTACTGTCCTTCCAAGTTCGGGTTTTTTTTTTCCTTTATATTTAAAATAAGTAATTTACAAGCTACAAGACAGAGAGACTCAATTCCTTTTTGGTTAATCATCAGAGAATCGTAAAGGAGGTGGGTTTTTTTTTTTTTTTTTTGGGTTTGTTTCGTGAGAAAAAAAAAATGGAGAGAACGTCAAACACGACATTGCCAGAGAACTGTGAGAAATGTTCTGGGTTGTGTTCTTGAAAACTCTGCAGCAGCCACTTAATGCAGAAAACATTACCATTGGAAGCCATTGTCTGCTTATTTGGACTCCAGTTCTAATCTGCAACAATCCTAGAGAGCTTAGATCAAGTTTCCGAATGCAGAAAAGAAAAAGATAATGTCAAGTACTTTCTACAGTAGTGCTCTTCCTGCCATCTTTAACTTCCTCGAGCCCTCAAATGATTCAGACATTTAAGAATTACTAAACATTAGTTACATCATTCTTTTACAATTGTAGGACCAATTTTCAACGGCTTCCATTACGACCCTTTAGTTCTTATTGATCATTTTCATTAGCTACAGTTCAAGTTTGTAAGTAGGATTCTACTCTGCCGTAACTTCGCTCGTTTGGATATCATAGCACATCCGGTCCGATGAATCCAGGTTAAGAGTGGAAGGACAGTCGGACTGCCTTTTGGGACAATCGAGTATCTTTGATGCAGCAGTCACCATCATATCCATTCTCATTGCCACCGCTAATGATAATACTAATGATCCCGAAATTCTTATTACGACAGTTGCTGGCGCAAGCATCCTTCACCATGCTACGGAATAACAATTTTATTATTGAAGCTTAAGAAAGAGATGTTCCAAATTTAGCATTTCTTGCATGAACACACCAAAAATGAAATAAGAAGATACAAAACAAAATCTTACAGAATTAGCACAAAAGTACTCAACAGTAAAGCTCCATTTTCTTTCTCCATTTTTTTTCTTTTCAGCCTCCAGATACTCGTGTGGGCAAGTTACTCAAGTTTCTACTGCAAAAACTCCCTTGGATCAGTGACATAACCGGTCAAAGCTGATGCTGCTGCTGTATATGGGGAAGCAAGATATATCTGGCCTTCCTTGTGCCCCATCCGGCCAGGGAAGTTCCGGTTTGTAGTCGAGACACAGACCTGCCAGGGTGATTTCAAGAGCAAATAAAAGTATAAATGGTTGCCATTTTCATGAGATATATCTATAAATTCTATTCAAGATCCAAAAGGGTAAACTATAGGCAACAAATTATATGCTCTTGAAGGTATCCTGCTGGGAAAAGAAAATTAATTACCTTCGGTTCATTCATACGTGCATAAGTGTCTTTAGGGCCACCCAAACAAGCACCACAGCTAGGGCTTGCAGGTGTATCACAGCCAGCTTCTTCAAATATCTGGAAGCACGTCTTCCCACCAGATCCTGGCACAGGAAGGGTATAAATGTCTATCCAAACCTGCAAATTTTACCAAATCAATAGGCACATTCTTTTATCGCTACCTTCTTTCTTCCTGAATTCTAATTGCAAACTGATTGACATTTTAAAATTAATGATACAGAATCATACCTTTTGCGTAGCAGGGACAAGGAATGTAGGAACTTTGACCTTCTTTCCCTGCAGTTCAAGAAATTAAAATTTTTGAGATTAAGAAAACCACTTAATATTAATTATAGTAAATAAAATATGCAATAATGTCGAAGCTCTTCCTCTCTCTCATCTTGGTTCTTTCCTTACCCACAGGATTATCAGTCTCAACTTATTCCAGCATGTAAAACAAAAAGGATGAGAAATGGGACTAAATGACTCTTACTGAAGCTAGAAAGACTTTAGCAGCAGCAAGAAAATCTTCTGTTTTTCCACCGGTACAAGATCCAATATATACTCTGTCAATTTTAACATCTTTGCATTCTCTTGCCAAAGCACGATTATCAGGAGAATGTGGCTGCAAAGTAGACTTAACAAATTACTCCAGTATACAGACAAAGATACATGAAAAAAGAGGCCAGTGGGTGGAGGCGGATATCAGAAAAAAGAGCCCATCACTTGATTTAATAGAAACACCCACCTTAGCTACCAAGGGCTCCAATTTTGAGATATCAAATATGTACTCAGAAAGAAAACTGAAAGCCAGACAATGTAAATGTGTAAGTACTCATCTTAATGCACTTTCAAGCATGAAATTACACAACAAACATCAACAGAACAATGAAAGAACCTTGAAAAGGCACAAAACCATGAAAGAACTCGACTAAACTCAAAATTAGACCCACTTATCCAAAAAAATAATAATAATAAAAGAAACAACATAAAACCAAAATCCCATTTCCATCTGAAATACCATAATATATGGGTATAAATCTTAGTGACACATACTAGGATTTACAAAACTAATTTTATTTACACAATCATTTTATTCTAATCAGCTGTAAATTGTCATATGAGAGAACGATAGCTCAAAGACCTTAATAATAAGAACTTGTTATCTTGATTAACCATTTAATCGTAAAAATCTACCTTGCTTGTGCATCACTGTATACTGGTTCATATGGCACAGATGTTTTATCCTGCTCAAAGCAAAAGATATAACCCATAAGCTACTGCTAGGCGGAAAAGCAGCAATAGACATTCAAAGAAAACAACTTTGTGCTAGAGTAGACGTTAAGCCAAGCAGTGAATTGCGACCAAACGCACTCGATTTTTGCACTCACCTCAAGGTACTTAAATGTAGTACTATCAGCGGGAACAACACCATTCTTTCCACCAGCTTCGACAACCATATTGCATAAGGTCATCCGTTCTTCCATCTACCAAATACAAGTAATCAGAAAAAATTAAATCTTCCTAATTTCTTCCATTGAGAAAAAAAATTAACTAAGAAGATTTTTGAAGGACTTAATTTTACATCAGTTATGGATCATTTGAAGTTCACTTACATTTAAACTTTCCACAACTGTTCCAACAAACTCCATTGATTTATATGTTGCACCAGCTACAGATATTTCACCAATGATCTGCAAAATGGCAACCATTTTAAGACAAAACAGAACAAAAAGCTACACTCATTCTATGACCTATCAATATAACATGAACAAGTGTAATATCCCAACAAGAACACAGTTATGACTTCATGCTTATCAAAATGGAACAATTGCCTGAAAATATATGCTTTTACCTGCAAAATCAAATCCTTTGCAAGCAAATAATGAGGCATTTCACCATCCATCACAAATCTCAAAGTCTGTGGCACCTGCAATTAACATGCAACAAAACCACATATAGGTATTATACCACCTAATCAATTGTAAGTACAAGTCTTCAACTCATACAAACCATCAATATCCATTCGTAAAAGAAAAAGCCAAGATGGTCATCAGATCATACTATATGCTGAGAGCAACAAACATGAAGGAGAAAACCACCCATCAAAGCACTAAAACTTTGCCAAAAATCCTTCAATGACTTTGGGTAACAGAGTTGGATCACCTTAAACCCTCTTATTTGGTGAAAAGTCAATAATTCTATGGGGAAGCATAATGCTAAGGAGCAGACAAGGTAGCCAAATACAATGTCTGACTGACACAAGTGTCCGCCATCCAGAATTAATGCAGAATCAAGTCTTCCATAAAAGCCCAATAAGTCTAGCCATGCAAAAGCCCAAATTAACGAATAAGATGCTCCAGTCCAACTGATCCGAATAAGCAAGGCCCAAATCCAATCTCCGCAAGGCCAATTCTAGAAAAATACACGATACATAGAAAGGAATAAATGACCCAAAGTTCCAGTCCCACTTTGGGGCCTTGGATGCCCTTAGATACAAACTAGATTGCTGGAATTAAGGTTTGACCATTAATGGGGTTCCAGCCACTTTACTCTTTTATAATTTGTGTCATTAATAATTCCTAGCATTATAAGTATGTTTGTAACATTATAATTGTGTTCCTACTAGCATATTGATTGTGTTTGTGCTGATTGTGTTTGTCTTTGACTTTGCTTTTCCTATTCTTGGAGTGATGTTCCAAGTTCATCTATAAATACCCCATATGTAATGAAATTTCAACAGATTGCATTTTGAGAAAATTAAACATTGTGTTTGTCCTTAAGTTCTGTATATCTTAGTTATATTTTCCCTTAGAGTGGTGAACTTCTCAAGCTCTTATCTTTAGGGTGGTGATTTCGGTATCTGTAGAGTGTGAGTTATACTTTCCTATTTCTTTGGGGTGGTGAAATTCTGCATACTCAGGGGAGTGAGAGTATCCTTTTTCTTGTGAGTGTTGTGAGTGTGATTACACTTCAAATTCACTTGATTTTCAATCCGGTATCACTAACTAATTAGCAAAAGACATAAAAAAAATGATATTAAGGAAAGCAAACATTTACTAAGTTACAATACTAGTATGAAACCAAATGAAAATCAAAGAATGCACAAAACAAGATAGAGACACATTTAATCAAGTGAAAAAACATTATTAACAAACCTTGAGCAGAAGCTTCCCAGTGCCTAATACAAAGCCTGCATCTGTATTTCCAATTCCTGTAGCAAATTGACCGAATGCTCCAGCAGTACAGGTGTGAGAATCTGTCCCTAACAAAACCTGAAGGCAGTGATAAAGAACTTAAAAGCAGTTCAAAAACATAGGGCATAAGTTGTATTTTTACAATTCAACAAAATTCTGGTGAAGAATTGATACCTCTCCAGGCCTGCAGTGACCTTCTTGGGCAAGTGCAACATGGCATACACCTTTATAATCAAGGTTTGCCTGCAATGTTATGAATTAGAATTCAGTTTACGTCAATAAACAGAGAATATACCCAAAGTTCCTCAGAATAGTAGACATAATTATGAATTACAAGACAAATAGTGTCATACCTTGAAATTACTAAGATCTTTAATATCATAAAAATACTTGATATTTTGCTCAGTGCAAAAATCCCTCAAAATATCCACGTTACGATTTGCACGTTCATCACTTGTGAATATATAATGATCAGGTATAATAACAATCTGTTCACGGTCCCAAACCTTCAATACCAAAATGATGACACATGGTTAACGAATTCAGCAACTGTGAGTAGAGAGCGGTAAACACACCTAAACACTCACACAGACTCTATTCTACCAATATAATATAATACTTAAGTTACCAAGCTAAAGGAAATTTGAAGTATTTTATCTGAAAACGAAATAAGTAAGAGAAACCAACAAAATCAGTTTCCAATCTTGAAGAATATCCAATTGACAAGAATCTTACAGCAATTACATAGCTACTGCTACTTCATCAAATCACAAAGTTCGATTTTGAGTTTTTTGTAAGCGCAAAAAACTAATTAAAGTCTAAAATACATCAACAAGACCAAGAGCTCAATTATGCACAAAGCTAACCTAAGAGAAAAAAAAGTAGGATAGTAGCTGAAAGGAATACCTTTGCATTTTCACCAAATTCTTTCTTGAAGATACCAATGGAACCAGGACCACAAACATCATGTGTCATCAATATATCAACATTAACCCAAACATTATCACCTGGGCGCAACTGTGGTTTCTCAGAGGCTCTTGCAAGAATCTTCTCTGTCATTGTCATTCCAGTCTTCACCTGCAAAATAAAAGACAATAAAGAAAAGACCATCAATGAAAGTCAATTAAACAATCAATAAAAATGAAATCAATGAGAATAAAGAAGGAACTAACAGAGCCAGTGGTGGCTGGTTTACGCTCTGATTGCTGGGGTGCCATGACTGAGACGATTTTCTTGGAAACCTGTTTCTTGAATTTGTGAATGGCAAATTGAGATGTCGAAGGAAAAGCAGAAAAGCCCAAATCTTTCTGGCCAACCAACAAAAATGGGTTTTTGCTTATTAGTCAAAATAATTAACAAGAAGCAAAATCTAGAACTTGGGTAATCGAAAACACCTACCTTGTTGCTGATGAACGAAGAAGCTGGGGAAGAAAAGACCAAAGAGGATGCCATAAGATTCAGCTCTTCTAATTAATCACCACAGAAATGTAAAAGGAGGACAGGGCTGTTGATTTTCTGTACTCCTGAGAACACAAAAAAAAAAATGGGAGGCGGCGCAGCGCAGAGAGAAATGGATGAGCACGAGCGTAGGGGGTAGCGGCAACGAGCGCGTGGTAGTGTCGTGTGGTCATTAGTTAATTTAGTAAAATGGGCCCCACTTTGATTTTTTTTGTTCCTTCGGGCAAAACCAAAGCTTCAAAAAATTATAACAATCAACGACTACAGAGACACAGTCAAAGACAGCCTCTAAAGTGAAATTGTGTTCTGTACTTCTATTTGGCAAATGTTAAATTTAAGGGACAGGAAATTTCGATCTGCCTGCCTTTCTTTGGGCTGAGTGTAGGGCTAAGTAGGATTCTATAGCCCTCTTCTACCCGAAATCAAAAACCCTTCAACTCTCCCGCCCTGGGCTTCACCCTATCTCAATCCACCTACTTAAAAGCTCCCGACTTTCAAAACCCAGGAAAAAAAAAACCCATCTTTCTCAATCCAACTCCAGCGTTTCTTCATCTCCGAATTAAGGTACAATCTTCTTTTTCTCCTTTTAATTGTTGTTACAAGTCTAAGTTTTGTAGCTGGACATGTGCAAAATTGTTGATTACTTTCTTTGCTGAGATGATTGGTTTTAGTTGGGAAATTTGTCTATAATTTGTAGCTTGTTCTCAATTTTGTGGATTAAAAATTGGTTTTTAAAACAATCCCATTTCAAAATGTGGATTTAATGGGTGGTTGTCTATTTGGTGTCTCATTGCCACTGAATCATGGTCATGAAATAATTCTGGTTCTCTCTGTTATTGCTTGGAGTAAATTTTGTCCTTTTTTCGTGTGTGTTTGAGCCCTGTGGATTTGGCATAGGAATCTCTCTCTCTTTGAATGATGAATTTGAACCAATTCTTGGATAATTAGGATTGCCTTTGGTTTAGCTTTGCAGGTAAGGGCAAATGATGAAGCCCCGTAGAGTTTGTTTTTAGCATTTCTCATTTATTTTACAAGCTTTCATTCATGATTATGAATTTCCTTTTCAGAATCCCTTGCCTAGTCCGCCTGGCTTACTGAGAAGTGAAAATAGGTCCATTCGTCCGATGAATTATTGCTTCCACCATTTTGTAAGCCAAGTGGTTTCCTCCTGTTGATTATTGCACATATTGTAGCCATTTCTTGTGCCGAAGAGAAATTAAAGATGCATGTTTTAAACATTTGAACTTTTCTTTTTGTTTCATGGTTCTTGGTTGATAGACAATCCAATCATTTGAGCCGTTAAATTATTAAAGCTCTTAATTTATTTGGAAGTTGGTGCTATATTTGAACAGCTTTCTTTGTTTACTGTTCAAGAGAGCCCTGCAACAGTAAAACCAATCTTCAGTGTTAGATTTGCCTTTTTGGAATCTGATGGATTTACATATTGTGGAAGCAAATGTTGCTCTAGAGGATAAATATTTTGCTTTTGACAATCTGAAACTCAGGAAGTTGCATTTCCCCCACACCTGTGGTATTGTGATGGATACAAACGTCAGTGGTGATTCTTCTCCAACTACCTAAATGGGGAAAAGTTGCATGTGGAGGGATGCAACCTGGTTTTGATGACAATCACAGATGCAACTTTCCTTGAAGACGTGGTCATGAATGCTTGTTAAAAGAAACATGCTGAATATGATGCAAGATTCAATTTCTATCTCACAATATCTATGCATTGTTGCTCTTGTGGTCCTGGTCTGGACCTACACCCTTAGCTCAACCCTCAAAGAAAACTCCCTCTAGCTTCTTGATGTAAGCCATCTTGGTACAGGTTTCTTAATTCTCCTATAAACTGAAGAACTGCTCTCCCTCAACCTTCTTTTGCACCATGTCCTCAATGTTTCTTTTTTTACCCATGGTTTGTATGTTTTGGCTCCGATCTACCAAACCAAGACAAGGTCCATTAGCTCCGATTCCATTTGGGCACTTGCTTCATCTTTTCTTACATGACCATTCTGGTTCTACAGTAAGAGCTCCAGGGGCTCATAAGAATCCAAACCTGACTAGTTGTATCCCCTTAAATGCTTCTATTATGGCTTCAGTTTCCATAGCATCTCGACTAGCATCAAGGGTACACGTTTTTGCTATTCTCCTTACAAGTCTTACTCTTTGCACCACTTGTTACCTACTGTATCAAGAAATACTCTTTCTGTTTGCACCCCAGAAAAAGCTTGGGTGGATAGCTGGAATGATTAGCATAAGTTCAGCAATTGCAGGTCAAAACAAGTTAACAATAAAAGAAACCGTGAGATTGGAATCAGAACTCAAGAATAATACGGAAAGATCAAAAACAGTGAGTCCAAATATACAGCAAAATATAGGAAGAAGTCAATTTCTGCCTCATAAGCACTGAACAGAGACCGCACTGTTCCATTCTCTCCACTGTGGTTACTTGTCCAGGGTTTCAGCTATTCTATTCTTGTTTCTTAAGGGATTGTGAAGAGGGCGTAGCTTCACCTGTTGGCTGGCTTACACTAGCTTTGGCATCAGAAAGAAAATTTGGATCTGGCTCATGCTTATCAGTAGGTTCCTTCATTGCCATATAAATGTAGAATGCAATAATTATATTGACCGATATTACAGCAACGAACCCACTCACCAGTGTCATAGCATGGGGAGATAAACTTGTTGAACCTGTTCCAAACAAATGATGCTTCTTTGTTCAGTCAACTTGATTATTCTCTAGCACAACCTGATGCTATTGCAGCGATCATAAGCACTAATATTAGAAGAAGTGGCATTCAACTACTTTATTGATGTTGTATATTGACTTGCTAAAACAATATTGGAGCTATTTGTTTGGTTCACTACATCAACTGAACAGAAAATTACAAGATATTAGCATTTTAATTTTGCACTTGTGTGCATCTACATTATTCAATTCAACTAAGAGCTCCAAGTTTCAAAACCAGTAGGGTTCATTGTTTCATTTATATACCCACCAATAAATAAGCACTGATAAGCATATTAGGGTTAACATGGAGCGTCAAAACCAGTAGGGTTCATGTTAATGTTTTCACCATTTTACAAGTAGCCTTGATTTATACTACAGAAGTTAACAGTACCAACATATGAGTAGATAACAATCTGCTAAATTTGATGAAAGCACCCAAAATTTCCAATAAAAAGAAAAGAAGAGAGATTGAAGCAACATAACAAAGTATAATTCAGTAACAACAGCATATAACAAAAATCTAACAATTCTTTTCTACATTAAAACAAAAGAAAAAAATCATCCTTGAGACATTCAACTAAAAGTGCTTAATGGGTCTTACCAGGAAGTAACTTATGGTTAAAACCATACAAAATTGCAAGAGGAGCTATCCACATGAACATTGATGCAATAAAGAACTTTTTAATAACTCCAGCAGCCATATTTAATCCACCACAAGCTACAAAGTAAAACAGATCAAATGAATTGAATAAAAATATAAAGCTAATCACTTTATCATTGATACTAAGAAATTGGAAAATACCCAGAATGAAATGAAATTCATCCAATATATGGGTTGCCATGAAAGCATGGATAAATCTACTGGGAAATAAGCAATACTCAAAAGCAGGAAAAGATCCAAAAAAAAACCTATTGAAATCAATCAGAATATAAGCAAAAATTATGTCATATTAAAAAGAAATAGGAAAAAACCTTGAAAGGGAAGATCTTCTTTGCTTTTGGGTTTTTTTCTTCTTCGTTCTTAGTTATGATTTTGCTGGTTTGTGTAGAGAGGAGAAGAACAGAAGAAGAGGACGAGTTAACTCAGTTTTTCCTTAATTTTTTATTGTCAATTGGGCTCACTACAACTGCCCCAAGAGAAAACTTGGGCCAGCAAACAGCCTCTAGTTCTTTGTAATACATTAATTAAATCAAAAATATTATAACTCGTGGGCGGCAGGATTCGAACCTCCACGGGCAGAGCCCACATGATTCCTAGTCATGCCCGATAACCACTCCGGCACGCTTAGTTGGTTGTTTCTGCCTCCTAAATAAACAAAACAACTTGAACCGAGTTGGAAATTAATTTTCTGCTACCGGTTTGTTTTTGTGGTTTATGTGGATGTCTGTTGGTGGGCTGTTAATCCTCTCAGCTTCAGTTCAGTCTCCTTGTTGCTCAGACAAGTAAGTAGGAACCATTTTAGTTGCACCTTTAATCTTTGAAATTGTAAATGCCTTTCATATGTTTCAAAGTTCTGTCTTTTTTTTTATATATGTTTGTCTGATTCAAGCAAGCAAATAGGTAAATGAATAACCAACATGTTGTTGCTCGACAGTTTCACTTGGAATTCTTCTTCTATGTTTTGCATTAAAAATCCTTTCTTCTTAATGGGTACTCTTCAAAATCATTCCTTTTTGAGTTTTTCACTGAAAATCCTGCTTGGCATTTATTATGTATAATAAATGTAGTTCTTATTTATTTTCAAGTTTTAAGCCTGAAATTCAAACTGGGTATTCAACAAGTTTTATCTTTCATCAAATTTGTTGTTCAAAGTCTTAAGCTTGATATAACCTTTCTTTTACTTTTTGTCTCTCCTTTTGTTTTAGGCTGTGTATTGTAGCTTGCTGATGACCTGTTTGATGTTTTGCAGGGTGAGAGAGTCCTTGAACTGTATGATTTCATTGCTGAAGTGAACAATTAATAAGATGGCTTCCACACTATTTAGAACTATCCAAATCCATCCGTTTTTACTCTACCCAACTGCATTATTTAGAACAAGGAATGTTGTTCTTTACTGCACACAGAAAAGTACTCAAACTCAAACAGCTACACAAGAAAAGCAGCAGCCTTCCAAAGTCAAAGTTTCACAATATACTCAGAGCAAAACACTTGATAAGATCACAAGAGACTACGAGGCAATTATTGGAATAGAGACACATGTCCAGCTTTCAACTCTCACCAAGGCTTTTTGTAGCTGTCCTTACAATTATGGATCCCAACCAAATACCAGTATCTGCCCCATTTGCATGGGATTGCCTGGTGCCTTGCCAGTTTTAAACTCAAAAGTGATTGAATTTGCGGTGAAATTAGGTCTTGCACTTAACTGCAAGCTATCTCTAAACTCAAAGTTTGATAGAAAGCAGTACTTCTATCCAGACCTACCAAAGGGTTACCAAATATCTCAGTTTGATATCCCAATTGCAACTGGTGGTTACATTGACTTGGATCTTCCTCTTGAGTTTGGTGGTTGTCATAGGAAGTTTGGTATTACCAGGGTTCACATGGAGGAGGATGCAGGGAAGCTGGTTCATTCTGGAAATGGGGATTATTCACAGGAAATTATTTCTCTAACATTGAAGTATAGTTATTTTTCTGAATATAAATACAACCATATAGTATATTATATTTTTTCTTCTGAAAATGAAATTAGTTTCTTTTGCTAACAGCATTTCAATTACTCTTGCAGCATTCCAGTCATTAGTTTTGCGGGTTAACTCAAGTTCATTAACATGCTAATTCTATCATGTAGTAATGCATGTGTAGTGGTATCCCATTTTTTGGCACTTTAATAGAAAATAATTGTGCAAATTTCTTTATTCTTTCCTTTTTGCCCCCTTCACCAATTAGGAGGCAGGTTTACTGTCTCTGTCTTCCGCTTATTGGCACTGTTGGTTGTATTTTGCAGGTTGATCTAAATAGAGCAGGAGTGCCCTTGCTTGAGATTGTTTCTGAACCTGATATGAGAACTGGAATCGAAGCTGCTGAATATGCAGCAGAGTTACAGAGGGTGGTTCGATACTTAGGAGTTAGTAATGGAAATATGCAAGAAGGTTCACTTCGCTGTGATGTAAATGTATCAATTCGACCAGTTGGACAATTGGAGTTTGGAACAAAGGTAAATAATTGCTTAAAATATTGTGTGCCTATAGGAGTGGGATCTATGGTTTATCATATGTTTTCTAACAATGATTTAATGACCTGCAGTTAGGAAATTTAATAATTCAAAATTAAAATGTCAACTACCCACAAGTAAGTAGAATGAACTACAAACTGGGTGATGTAATTGTAAAGTGGTCATTGTCAGGTAATATAAGTTAGTGTTGTAAAATTTTTTGGTGGTTAGCTATCATTGGTCTTTATGGTTGTGAGAAGGCTTAATGATTATTGTGATTATTCTGAAACAGCTAAAATAAGCTGAATATGCATATTGAAATAGTCAGATATGATTCAAGCCTTGTTAAAAGTTCAATGGACTTTACAGTAGAATTGTTGAGAACAAACAACAAAAGCAAGTATTTCAAAGGGAAAGTTGTCCCTCTTTTTTGCTTTTTGTTTGTTTCTAATTACTTGAAAGGAAGTCTTGTTTTTCCTTAAACTTTAGACCGTAGCAAGATTAAACTAGAATGATCATGCGGTGACTGGCATTATAGGAAGCCTTGATGCCACAATCCAAAATGTTCAGAGCCAAATGCACCATTCCAGGAGGAGTGATGGAAGATTGGCATTGCTGACTTTGCTTCCCCTTTTTCTGGCTGTCTCTAAATGAGCTAAGATCATAAATGCTAAGCCTTAATACCTTTTTGCTATTGTGGCCCTGTTCTGAGATATATGCATTTTTCTATCACATTTGCTCACAAGCATGGAGTTAGTAAAATTTTCAGCATCTGACACAGATAATCTTATATTGCATGTGCAGGTTGAAATAAAAAATTTGAACTCATTTTCTTCAATTAACAGGGCCATTGATTTTGAGATATCAAGGCAGGCACTTCTCCATAGTCAAGGCCAAGGTGATCAAATTGTACAGGAAACTCGTCTATGGGAAGAAGGCGCTCAGGTTGTAGATGCATCTTAATATCAATTTAGTGCCAGTGTAAGATATATGGTTGAGCTGTCACTTCATTGTTACTTATGTACTCCATAAACTTTTGTTCCTTTCTGTAGAAAACAGTAACAATGAGGAAAAAGGAAGGACTTTCTGATTATCGATATTTCCCTGAACCAGACCTCCCTGAAGTTATTCTCACTCAGGAATATGTTGATAGCATTCACAATTCTTTGCCAGAACTTCCAGAAATGAAGCGTCATAGGTATGAGAAGATGGGCCTGAGCATGCAGGATGTTCTTTTCCTGGCAAATGACATGAATGTAAGTCCTCAAAGTACTATCCATCATCATCCAGTTAAGCATTAGTCTGTTGATTCAGGAATTCAAAATGCTAATGGCAACATCTAAAGAAACAAAAAGGAGAACTTGTATTAAAATCACTTTGAGTTGTTGGATTAAACAGAAACATAAAAGCTTTAAGTTTAATCTATTGTAGCTTCTTGCTCTTTAAATGATTCTTATTGTTATCCTTATATGATTAAGTGCTACTGTTCCTGTCTTCTCATCTCCTGAACAATTTAACAACATGAGCCCAATATCCCAATTTTATGATGATTTTTGAATGCATCACTTTATGCCATCAAACCCCTGGTTTTGCTTAGGTTTTATCTTTCTTTTCCCCTTTTTCTGTAAGTAGTGTGGCAAGCCTTTAGACTGTCTCTTGTTGAATTTTCTTTAACTTTTTACTTCAAATCCTTGCATTTCTTCTTAATTTATCCTGTTTGGGATCAACTAAAAATTATCTAAGTTGGGTTTTCTTCTTCAAATAATTAATGTCGTAGGTTGCAGAATATTTTGATGCAACTATTTCAAGTGGTGCTGACATAAAGCTGGCTGCCAATTGGATTATGGGCGATATTGCTGCCTTTATGAAAAATGAAAAGCTGTCCATTAAAGAGATCAAACTTGCACCACAAGAGCTAGCAGAGCTGATAGCTTTCATTAAAGGTGGGACTATCAGTGGAAAGATTGGGAAAGAGGTAAAGGTTTACTTCTGTTACTGGGTGAAACAGCTCAAAATTTTTAGTCTGACAGCTGCTGTTCAATTTGCAGATATTAGGAGAGACATTTTTATATTTTTACAAGATAGCTTTAGGGTATATATTTTGGAAGTGATACTGTCTTGTGTACAAATGAGTGAGAAATAAATGCTTCAATTTTATTTTGGTACAAAGGAGGCCACAGCCTAGGGGAGGGAAAGGGGTTGCCTGCCAGTGGTGGAATTCGAATCCCAGACCTGCTGGATGCCACCTCTTAAGAGTGATTGCATGAACCAACTGAACTAAACTTTGGACTCAAAATGCTTCAACTTATTTCTACTTATAAACTCCTTATTCTTTGGAAGTGTTATTGTTCTATTATTTTTGACAATTTCTCCTAAAATGTCGCAGATATTGTTTGAGCTCCTAGCCAAAGGTGGAACCGTCAAGGGACTCATAGAAGAGAAGGACCTTGTTCAGGTAAGTTTGCTACTTTGCCTATTAAGCTCCTTTAAACATAAATATATATATGTCTCTTAAGATTAACCCAGAAGTGAGGTTCTAGTTGTAAGTCCTGAAAACTTTGAACTTGGAAGGATAGGTTAGAAATTTGAGCAGGAGTGTACCCATGATTGGTGTGAACAAAGCAAAACTTTTTGGTGAATGACGTAACTTTAGATTACCAGCTTATGTGCTAAACTGCAGCTTTAAATCTTTGACCTTGGCTTGAGCTTGACTGTCGAAGTTTTCTCATTCCTCAATAGATTGGTAAAGTTGGAGTCACATTAAGTAATATAAAGAGGAAGATATCATATTCACCCAAATTCAAATAAGCTGATATGTAATTTCTTCAATTTTGATTGAAATAATGGTTAATAGAGATTTCAGAAGATAACTTCCAACCTTTGCAGATAGTAGATCCTGTTGAGATTGGGAAAATGGTAGATAAAGTGCTTTCAGAGAATCCAAAGCAGCTAGAACAATATCGCCGTGGGAAAACTAAGCTACAAGGGTTTTTTGCTGGGCAGGTACATTAAATTTACAAGAAAATTACACTCCGTTTGCTTGTATGAAGTTATTGGTGCTTTGTATTCTTCCTCTGAAAATAGTTATCATATGCAGGTAATGAAACTATCAAAAGGCAAAGCAAACCCTGGCACATTGAACAAAATCCTGTTGGAGAAATTAAATGCCAAAAGCTGAAAGTTTTATGGTAGGTGCCTGTGAATTGATCCTTTTAAAAAAATAATGATAATGAATTGTGAATACAGATGCATGTGCATGTACACATTTTTGCTTTTCGACGAAATTTTCTTGACAGCTTTTGTTTCTTATCTCTCCTTTCTTCAGCCTGATGATGGATTAAGTTTGGCTAATGGGATGTGAGTTTGTGATGCTCCACTGATAAAATTTTCACATCTTAGCTGCCATACAACTTCTGCTTGTGAATATAGGACGAAGATGGAAGTCTTGAGTCATTTGCTGAGTTTTCAATTCTCAGCTCATATAATACTTGGCATCATTCTGTGGACTAAATAAAACTATCCTCTCTCTTTCGACAATTTTTCTTTGTGATTAAGGATTATATATACCAATTAAAATGAACGAATGGTATGCAGAGACTGACAGATTTCTCTTGTATTTTTTACTGATATTTATTAGCAGATAAGAGGAGTTATTTGCTAGTAAGATGAGTTCTAAATATAATCTTGTATTTTAAGCAACTTACTTTTGCCAAGCTTGAGTTTTGTGCAATTTCAAAACTCGAGCTCAACAAAATTTCATTTTTCATACATGAACTCAGCTCATAATTTATTTAACTCCAATTCGATCCGAAAAGTTAGATTTTATTTTTGAATTAAGTATTAAAATACTTGAATTTAGTTTGATTTATTACTTGAGTAGCTGTTATTCAGCAAATTGAGTTCAAATAATTCTCTATTCCAAATACCTCTGCTTGTATCCTATTACCAATAATTATGCCATTGGATTGGTTATGCTTCCTAAAATGGGATTAGTAAAATGTTTCAGGAAATATAATGAAACCCTACCCTGATCCAGCCTGATCATTTTGTTTTGGAATTGATGAAAACAACATTCCTCGCTCTGTCAACAGTTTCTTTTGTTCGTTAGCAAAGATTTTGCTGGCATTGACCAGGTCTTACGCATTCACTAAATTTAGCACACAAAAATAGCTCAAAGCCATCAATCTCTAACTTGCGAATCACAAAATTAAAGCTGACTATTGGTTAATATGGTTAACTCCCCCATAAGCTCATAACGAAGATGACAGCCTCATATTACATGCTATTGTTTTTACCTCAATCCCAAGCCTCTCTTTCTTGGTGGTGGTCGTGGTGGTAGTGGTGGTTTTTTTTTTTTTTTTTTTTATGCTTTTTGCTGCTGGCTGTGGCCATTGATGGTGACTCCACCGGCACGAAAAGTGATGGTGGTAGCTGACCCGACTCCCCACTCAGCGGCAGCCCTCCAATATGCTCTTTCCCATGCATTGCTAGAACAAGATGAGCTGATTCTTTTTCATATTGAAAACCCCAATTCATGGAAAAACACATTCTCTACTTTCCTAAGGAGACCAAGTTTTCCTTCTGCTGCCACAGCTCCTAATTCCGTCCTTGAAGGAGCTTCAACTGATATAGATTTTCTTGACCAAATGAAACGTGCATGTGAAATTGCTCAGCCTAAAATCCCTGTACGTATAGAAAAAACTGACATGGATGGCAAGGATAAGGCTACTGTAATCCTTTCTAAGAGCAAAGCTCTAGGAATTGATCTCATTATCATTGGGCAAAGGCGGAGTCTCTCTTCAGCATTACTTGGGTGAGTTTCATAACCTTCTCCTCTACTTCTTTTCCCATGCATCAATGGTAAATATGATTAAAGTTTTTTAGTTAATCTCACTTCCAATCCAAATCGACCCGTAATCAAAAGTTTTCGATATATGAATATGCATATTTATGTTGATTCTTAGCTTCCTAAATTTCCTATAACTGTTGGGAACGTTTAGATATAGGCTGCCTAGCGGGTCAATGAGAGGACCAAAACTGATAGACACAGCAGATTATTTGATTGACAACAGCCCATGCACCTGTGTTGGAGTGCAGAAAAAGGGACAAAATGGTGGCTATGTCCTCAACTCGAAGACCCATAAAAATTTCTGGCTTTTGGCATAATTTGCACTTACATTTAATCAAGTACCATTCGATCGGTCATAGCTTTTGATTATCACCAGATCTCGCTATATCTTACAAATTTGTCATTTGTTTGCTAACTTTTCAATTCAATCCCTTCTTTTCCTTCTCTGTAGTGATTAAAAATGTTCCGTATGTATGTTTTTCTTCAGTTTTGAAGTACATACAAATTGTAAATATTTGGAATTTGGAAAGGACTTGCTCTTTGCAGCCATATTCAGAAAAAGTGAGATACAGCTGAAATCATCACCTTTTTCTTTTTTTTTTTTTCAAGCTTTAAACCTTCGGATTAAAATGGACAATGTATGATAAGTTGAATGCAGATCTCCATGTCATGAAGATTTGGATCATTCATCAATAGAACATTTTTTAAACTATATTCTTTTCTCATAAAAAAGAAAAATATAAAACCGATATATTACATGGATAATGATCTAGTTTGTATAACAAAAACTACATCACTTCAAAGTTCATAATGCATTGGTTGCCGTAATGCGATTCCCACCAGGGGAACTACATTGTCGAGAAATTGAGCACGGTTAAGACCATCTTCTACAGCTTTGCGAGCACCCTCTGATTTGCCAGCCATGCCGGCCATCATGGCTGCAGTAACTGTCCTCTGCAACTTAAAAGTATGGTGATACGCTTTGAAACAACATAAAGTACAGCACAAGAGAACAAGACGAATCCCACCATGAATATCACCCTGTCCAGAAAAAACACAGCATCAGCATTCAGCAGTGACATCCCCTAATAGTCAGTCCTAGAAAATAAAGAACAACCTGACCCTGCATTGTGGACAGTAGATTCCTGGTTCGAATCAACAATGAGTATTCACTTTCAGTCCATAGTTTATGTTCATCTGAAATCTGAACCAAATTTTAGAGGATTCATCTTCGAAACTTGTTCTTGAATGCTTCAAGGGTCTTGTTGACTTGATCTTGAATGCAAAATCCGCTTCAAAGGTTAGGCAGACTTGTTCTTGAATTCTTCAAGGGTCGGTGAGACTTGTTCTTGAATGCTTCAAGGGTTTTGTTGAACTGATCTTGAACAAACGGATTTGGTCTCCTTTCTTTAGAGGGAATAAGATCGAAGAGCAATATTTTGATAATTCTTGGAACCCAAATGCTTTGTTCTTCGAGTTCTTCTTCTCTTAAGAAGTGTGAATTGTGTATTATGACCAGGGAGGCACTCTATTTATAGTCCCAGCCTGCATTGTGGAAAGTAGATTCCTGGTTCGAATCAACAATGATAATTCACTTGCAATCCATGGTTTATGTTCGTCTGAAATCTGAACCGAATTTGCCAAACCAAACCAAAACAGAAGACTCATCTCAGTTTCAAGCAGAACATTCTCCCACAAATGAAACCTCATAGACAGACAGGGCAGCGACACTTGGATAGGATCATTCAGCAAAGGAACTCCACACCATTTTCAGCAAGTTAACAAGAAGACCTACCGGAAGTCATGTAAATGTAACGCAACAAAACCAAAATGAGAAAACCCATAAATTAGAACCACATTGTAAGACTATTGATGATAAATACGAGGAAACAGAAGAAGAAAAAGAAAAAAAAAAAAACCATTTTACTCGCCAGAGTTGAACATTTACATGCAATTGGAACACTAACAACAAGCTTTGCTAAATTGCCACCAAACCCTGTAATTATAAAAATAAAAACCATTACTAAAGGTTTCAATCTCTTTTAAAGAACCAAAAACCCAAAAGCAAATAACCAAAAATTTCACATCATTGCTTTTAAAAATAAAATATAACAAATTTCCATTCAAGATAGAACAAAAAAAAGGGTGTTAAATTTACCTGTGGCATTGACTTGTCCAAGCTTCTAGCAAAGCTTTAGCTGACTGGATATCTTCATCGGTGGGATCGGGAAGATCAAGATTAAAATATATTAAATGGATAGCATGGGTTTTTTTTTAATTTATTAATAGGTTTATTTTTTTACCAAATTTATCAAATTAAAAAAAAAAAGCGAAAGATAAAATAATCAAATAGGATAAGATGTGAACATTTTTATTTACCTTTATTTTTTCACAAACTTTATTTAATAAAAAATTAAAATTAAAATCTACAAAAATAAAAAAGGTGAAAAGTGAAAAAAAAAAAAAAGAAACAAAAATGAGTTCATAGAGTTTAAAATATTAGAAAATTTTATTGAGTTTAAAATATTAAATTTTTAAATTAAAATATTAAATAATAATTTTATTAATATAATATATATAATATAAAATTAAATTAATAATATATATGTATATATATCAAAATGTATTAGGATAGAGTACTCTAAATAAGTTTTCAATCTAATCTAACTTCTTTTAAAAAACTCGATACCTCTCAACTCGATCTTAATTTATTAAAAAAAAAAGATTAAAGAGTTAAAAATATCTCTAAACTATAATTTAATAATTATTTAAATTTTTAATAATTTATTATAATTAATTAAGCCTTTAATGTTTATTTTGATTGAATTGAACTTTTCAATAAACAAAATCTAGACAAGCTTTAATCAATCAACTCTTAATTTTTAATCAATTGAACTTTTAGATAGTATATGATATCATTTTCTAAATCACCACGATAATCTAATCACCATGGTGATAAGATCACCAATATGATTTGATCACTCGTGACTTTAGATTATTATATTTGATACAATATTCTAAATTACTAATATTTTTAAAATCATTGTGTTTAATATTTTATGAAAAGATAAATCATATGATACAAAATATCTCCAAAATAACCTTGCAAAAAAAGCAAAATATTTAATACTTATTGAATAAATAATTTATAAAATAGTTTAACATTATTTTATAGAAAACTATAAAATATAAATTAATTTTGATAAAAATAATTTCTAAAAAAATTATTTAAAAAAATTATTTTTTTAGTCAATATAAATTTATAAATTAGAGCATTTTTTTATAGAATAAGTGATTAAAAAAACCAACTTGTTAAAATGTTTGGTGTCCAACTTTTTTGGATAATATTAACTATATATTTTGTGAGAGTAAATTAGTTAGAAAATAAGATTGAAAATTATTTTTTTATAGTGATAAAAATTTTTCCATATTTTAAGTTGAAAATCATAAAACTCCCCAAAGCAAAGATCTTATTCCTTCATTTATTTAAGATCATTGCCAAGTAAGATTTTTAAATTACTATAAAACAAGATGATATAATTACTAAGTGTATATCATTATGAATTTTAAATAAAACATCTCATAGCAAACACTCTTTTAGAGGAATCTTAGAGAGAAAAGATTAGAGAAAACAAAGAAAAAGAAAGAAAAAAATTTATTTTATTTAACTTTCACATAAATTAATTGCATCATGTTGCAAATTTTAATTTATTTTATTGATGTCATATAGAATTTTATCTTAATTTGTAAAAACAAAATTAATGGTGTTAATTTTTTTATTCAAATAAAAGTTTAATTGAAGTAAATACTTATTTTAGGAATTGGTTGATTGCAATAAAAAATAAGAGTTTGGATGATGTTGCAAGTTAAAAATTTTTTGTTTTGTGATCCTATTAATCTTTTTTTTTTTTGCAAATTTACCAAATTAAAAAAAAAAAAGCAAAAGGTAAAAAAAAAAATCAAATGGGGTGACATGTGGACACCTTTGTTGACCTTTTTTTTTTTCACAAAATTTATCTAATAAAAGAATAAAAACCAAAATCTAAAAAATATATAAAAAGTGAAAAAAGAAAAAAACGAAACAAAAATGAGCTCATAGAGTTTAAATATTAAATAATTTCATTTGAGTTTAATTAATTTTTTAAAATTAAGATATTAAATAATAATTTTATAAATATAATATATAATATATAAAATTAAATTAATAATAAAAAATATTATATATATATATATATATCTTGAAATGCATTGAGATAAAATACTCTAAACACACTTTTTATTTGATTTAGTTTTTTTTTTAAAAAAAAAAAACTTGATCCCAGATCCAATTTTTTTTTAAAAAAAAGTTAATGGGTCAAAAATACTCATGAACTATAATTCAATAATCATTTAAATCTTTAATATTTTATTGTAATCAATCGAGTCCTTAATCATCTATTTTGACTCAATTAAATCTTTAATGGATAAAACCTAGTCACTTGATAAGTTTTAACCAATCAACCCTTAAACTATAGTCAATTGAAGTTTTAGAAGAATTTTAGAGATAAAAAGGTAAAGAAAACAAAGAAAAAGAAAAAAATATTTTATTTAATTTTCACATATATTAAATGTATTATGGGAAATTTTAATATGTTTTATTGATATCACATGTAATTTTATCTTAATGTTATTTTTTTTATCCCAATAAGAGTTTAATTGGATGTAAATAAATATTTGAAAGGCTAATTGATTGCAATAAAAAATAGGGGTTTGAATAATTTTTAATTATAGTTTGAGGGTTTTTTTTACCCTTTAGATTATCTGATTAAAAAATCAAAGAAAAAGTAAATAAAAATACAAAAGCAAGAAAAAAAAAAAGAAAAATAGAGGGGCTAACATTAAATGGGTTAAAAAAAGCAAAATAAAAAAATAATTATTAAATATATATATAAAGAAAAAAAAGAAATTGGCATTTGGTAAGTTTTGGTGAAAAATAAAATTACCAAAATTAATATAGCTGCCCTGCTCTTATGACAAAACAAAAATCTTTTATAAAGCCAAAATACATAAGATTTATATAATGAATTAAAAAACAAAAAACTTAAAAAAAATTATTAATCAATATATCAAATAAATCACGATTTTTTAAATAAATAATTTATTAAATATATTAAAAAAGTAAAAATAACACGTGGCTGATCCATTGCAAGTCGACCTTACCAATAGGATGACACCATTTTCTAATCTTCATTTTCTTAAATTTTTGAAAGCAAAAAATATTTTCTTAAATTTTTATTTTATTTTTTATCTCTAAATTCTAACACAAAAAAGGTAAATTAATGCATATGTTTTAGAACGTATTTAATATATAAAATTATGATAAAATATAATAAAATTATATTATAAAAAATTATATTAAATAAAGTGGTCCTATTTTATCTTTTAATTAATTTTACGCGCTAAACTTATCTTTTATGTGCCAAACCAAAACTTAATATCTCATATAATCTCTGCAGCAATTACGGGTACTATTTCCTTAGTCAAAAGATATCATAATTAGTCATAAACCCAGCAATTGTTGCAGTTTGACTAATTTTGGAGTTTGGAGTTTGGAGTTTGGAGTTCGGACCACATTAAAAGTTAAAATAGAAGTCCACGACATCTATCATCAGTGTATTTCACGCGGTAATGATGTAGCAGTTAGCAAGCGTGACGCTCACCGATAGAGGTCCTTACAAGTGGCCTAACCATAAAACTTCAGCAATAAAGCTCGAAGCTGATGATGCTAAGGACCAAGCACAGGACTGCGAGAGGAAAAGAAACAAGGGGAAAGATATGGAGATAAAGCAATCATGCAGGTTGAGATTATCTTTCAAATGTGTGACCATAGCTTTGAATATATTCAATATCTTAGTTGCTCTCTTCTTGCTTCAATGGTTTCTTTCTTCTCGTACCAAACTCTCCTCTATCCAACCCAATTCAGGTTCCTGTTCTTCATTGTTTCTCTGTTTATTTCTCTTTCTTTACTTTGAACCATTGGTTTAATGGCTTTGGATATTTGTGGTAAGACTTTTTTTTAAACGTGGGTAGTTGTTAATTTTGCTTCTGTGTTAAATATAGTGTTTATTGTTTAATGGGGATAAGGGATCATGATTAGGATTGTATTTAATTATATATTTATAAATGACTTGATCTCTTGCTTTTTTTGGGGCTTTAGGATTTTGATATGGAAGTAAAGTGGAAGATTTTGTTTGTGAATTGGGGTTAAACCTGCCAATTTCCTGTCTTCTTCATGTCTTACAAGGGCAAAACATGAAAATTGTCGTGTAGCACACACCAAATACAAAACATATTTTTTGGTTTTTAGCAAATCTATATATGATTTTTACTAAAATTTTAAATCGTGTGTTTTTTTTTATCGTTTTCGTATCTTGTCATTGTGTAGTGTGTTTAAAATTTGCAAGTCTTATTGGGATAGTTTAGGGGTTTTGGAAGCTGAATTTGGTTTATGCATTAATTCAGAAAGTAATTTCCAAAGCTTTCCTACTTCTAAGAAGAAGTTTGTTGATGTTGCTTAATGGGATTTGGGAATTCTGTGGCTTTTGCATTAGGAGTTGCAGGTATTTGGTTTCAATCCATTTTTTGGATCCTTCTTTCATTTTTTTTTTTTTTTGGTTTTGATTTGGCATCAAATCCAAATGTTTCTTTAGTGTTGAAACCTTTGTTAGGATTAAATGCCTCCTTTCACCTGTTTGCTTCTTTTTCCAATGGTCGTTTTTAGCTGGATACATATCAGCTTAACTGAATCAATTATCATCATAGATTTTAACCAATACCCTTCATTCAGGTTTGAATTCCCTCATAGGGATACAATCATGCTGTATCTTGTGAAATCGAATACTTTTAAATGCATAACTTGGCTTTAGTGGTTAGTGTATTTTGCACCAGATCCATCCTCAGCTTAGTTTTGTCGCTGTCTTGACTTCATTTATCAGGACAGATTCTCTCTTGTAATTTGACCATCTATTGGAAAACTGATTTTGGGGCTTCTTGTTGAGAGAATCCATTGTCAGAAAGCCCATCTTGCATCTATCCCTCTTGGATGGAGTTCACACGAAATGAACAATATACTGAACAAAGGAAAATTGAAATATTGTTTTTATCATTTTCTGTTATGATTGTCCTTGCCTGAGGAGAGTATATTGTTTAATGTTTTCAATGCAGCTGATTTCAATTACGTTAAGGAATCTCAAGAGATGCGCCTTGCGATGCTACCTTTGGAACTGATAAAAAGAGTATGTATCATAGACTCTAAACCTTGAATCTGTTCATGCCAAGGTCTGGTTAAACTCAACAAAGCATAAAGCAATGTGATGTATAAAAATTTGCTAGTATCTAGTTTATCATTTTTTCGCCACCACATTCGATTTATCAGGTTATAATATTTGAATAGCATAGTTCCATTAAAATGGATGTCTTGCATTTTAATGTTTGTAAGAAACAAACGTTAGCTGTGAATAGCTGTGAATGTTTGTTAAACATGTCCATATGCAGAAAATGGTTTTTTTTTTTTTTCCATGGTTGAATCTTCGGGTATTTTAGGTGAAGGAGATTCAGCAAGAGGCATATGCAGAACCAAAAACTGTCCAGTCAAATGATGCAAAACAGACTGCCGCAGTTGACCTTTCTAAAAGATTAAAGGATTTCCATTTTGTAAATGATGCTGCCAGCTTGAAAGGTGACCGACCGTTTCTCACTTGGAAAACAAGATTTCTCTATGAAATTAATATCAAACTTCCTGCTGATGATGATGCATCATCATTTCTTTCGCATTCAATTATTTCTTTGATATGTTAAATCTGGGATTCCACGTGGAGGATTCAGGCAAACCTTCATCCTTCAGTTTGATAGTTTGATACTAATGACGCATGTTTACTGCAAAATTTTCTTCTAGTTACTCTTTTGCAGTGTTCTTTTTCAGTTATACGCCGAACTGTGAAGGCACTTCGACTTAAATTTATAAATTTTGCAGCTCTAGAAGAATGGCGGAAAAGGAAGATGGAGCGAGCCAGACAGAGGGAGCTGGAGAAAAATGGAACAGTCACCTCTCAAGCTTAACCCCTATTAATGATGTAAAATTCGGGGTCAGAGTCATCAATTATAGGCAAATTGATATAGTTACAAAAAATTACTGCTATACATGTAGATATAACCAACTGTTCATGTGGAGCGCCATTGAACTACCCAGGATTGTGATTGGTGCTTCATGAGATGGTGATAGTGCATCTGGTTAATAAATGATGGAATGATACCATAGAATAAAAGTGCTTGTTCCACATCTGTTCATATTCTTTCTGAGTTCCTTGAATGACCAGAATATTATCAAAAGCTTTCAAATGCATAAGGTACTTGCCGTGGAAAAGCATGTACAGAAAGGCTTCATTTCAATGGTCCGGTAAAAAGATCATAAACTGTTGTCTGCAGCACACTGCAGCAGTAACAACCATAAACTACCAAAATTTTCATTCATCAATTTCCCTCTTTCTAACCGCTGGGGAACTAATGGAAGAAAACATAAAACCCCAACAGCAGATAGGAAAAATCTTATCTGACACCATTGTCACGTTTGCAGCAACATTCAAAGAGAATTAGGGGTGAGCAGAAATTGATTCAAACAATTAAATCAATCAAAACTTATGAAAAATGATGAATTTGATTTTAGTAATAATCAATTAAATTGATTAAATTAATCGATTTTTTATTTTTAAAATTAATAATTAAATCGATTGAATTAATTGACTTAAATTTGAGTTTTATTAGATTGAATTTATAATTAAATAATTATTCATAATAAAAGAAAAAAATAATAAAAAGTTTGATTATTTAACTGAATCAACCAAATCAAATTAATTTTGGTCGAATTATTTAAAAATTTCAATCACTTCGATTATTTGTTGAATAAAAATTAATTAATTCAATTATTAATTTTTTTAAATTTAATCGATTGAATCAATCAATTACTCATCTTAAGAGAATGATGAGGACCAAAAGTTAAAGGAACCAGATGGAAAACAGTATTAGATGCATGGTCCAATCCCCACCTGCAGATGAAGTGATCGACTAGAGATCAACAATTGCTTAATATGATAACAAGGCTATTACTAGTGTGTTACAATGGCAGCAGAACATTCAACAAGTTTTTCACTCTTTTGTTCATATTCCAGGTGAAAATAAAAATACCAAAACTTCTTACTAGTGTTTTCCTTTTTTTTTTCTTAAAAAAAACCCAATTTTGTTAAACAACCGCCTCCATGAAAAGGAAAAACCTCAATTTTGTGGGTATTTATTTTCTTCCTATTACATCATCATTGACACATTGACTGTTTAGGTATGGGACGAGAAGAACTTTGAAGCTGATCAAATTGATGGAATGGATAATAATATATTCTCGATCTGAAACACTGGAGATGCATGCACACCGTCTGCGATCTAAAGCTTCGAGAATCCAAGAGAGAAGACATCATTGGAAATGTAAACACCATTTTTGACAAGTGTCCTTCCACCTGTATCAGGTTTCTCCCATGCAAATCCTCACTGTTTTACACGTATGCCACATTTCCTGACACCTTTAAGTTTATTTATATTAGCCCTCCATTGCCAAACTCTCTTGTCCTTACCCAAAATCCTTAAGCTGAAGACAGGAAAATTTGTTGAGTTTGTCTAGTTTTTCTCGTGTTCTGTCTGAGAGGGAAGAGAACATTAGGATGGCTACAGTAGGAAGGAACATAGCAGCTCCTTTGCTGTTTCTGAACTTGGTCATGTATTTTATTGTGCTTGGATTTGCTAGCTGGTGTATTAATAGGTATATCAATGGCCAGACTGCTCACCCCAGTAAGTTATTTTCCTTTTTATCTCTTTAAGCCATGATCTTTAATGGTTGATTTTAACACAAGGGAAATGTTTCAGGTATGGGGGGAAATGGAGCTACTGGTTTCTTCCTGACCTTTGCAATCTTGGCTGCTGTAGCAGGCATAGTATCAAAATTTGCAGGAGTGCGCCATATCAGGTCTTGGAGAACTGATAGTCTAGCTGAAGCAGGGTCATCTTCACTACTTGCTTTGGCCTTGACTGCATTAGCCTTTGGGTGAACTTGATTACCAATTATACGTCTATGAAATAATTCCAATGACTCCATTTTCATCTTACAAAGAGATTGATGATTTTGCCCAAACTGTTTGCAGGTTTGCTTGCAAGCATATAAACATAGGAGGGTGGAGAGGATGGAGACTGAGAATACTCGAAGCAATCATAATAATCCTCACATTCACCCAACTTTTGTATGTCTTGTTGATCCATGCCGGTTTGTTCAGCAGCAGGTATGGACCAGGGTACCAAGACGCTGACTATGGCATCCGTGTACCGGGAGATGAGCCCAAGGCTGGCCCCGCAATGGTAGGGTCTAGGATTTGAAGGAACATAGTTTACTTGAGTTGATCAGTTCAATATGAACTTATTACCATTTTAAATGTAGTAGTGTAAATAGAGTTGCCGATCTTTTCATGTTCCTATGGTGTATGTGGCCATGGATTTGCAGCATATCTGGTGTGTAATGTTCAATGACTCTGGCCTTTTCTAATGGTACATTTGGTGTGGTTCAGTTGTTTAAATGGTTATTTGGAGATTCATTACTTCAATGGCTTTAAAATTTTAACAAACTTAACCAATTAAATATGTTCTTTTGACATTAAACATCACCAACAGTTAGACCTGCAAGAGTGCCTCATCAAAGAAAAATTGGATAGAAAGGATATTTACCTGAACTTCAGAAACAAAGGTTCCAATAGAAAACCAATTCCTCCTTTATCAAGTTTTCAAGTTTCATACTTGAAAACAGAAGATACTGTCAGAAAGGCTCGTTTTAATTTGTGTTTAAACAAGAAACATCTGCCAAGTTTTTGGGATTTTGGCAAAATATTCTTTCAAGTAATGATGTTCCATGGTTTGATGGGAATCATGGGATAATCCCTTGCAAATCCTTAGTTTAAATTCTTTCCTTATTCCATTTTTATGCCCAAATTACACAAGGAACTCAGCCATGTAACAAGAGAAATATTTACACAAGCAGTGCTTTTCCATTCTACATTGATCCATTCGTGCAATAGTTTTTTCTATCAATATTTGTCTAAACGAAGCACCCAAATAATTAGCAATGGTTTTTTTGTGGGGTAGAATAATAATTAGCTATGTTAGAAGCAGTATAAATTGAGATTACTGAAGCTCATAGGAGACTACTTTCAAAGGGCAGAGATAGGACCATAAAACAATCAGAACACAAGCATTTTGCAGTATATTAATCCAAATTCAGCTCTTGAATAATTGATCCACTTTCTTTAGGTAGAATAAAGAAGGGTAACATGTAATCTTCCTTGAGCAATAATATGATGTTAATGACAGCTCTATCAAAAAGGAACAGTCAAGAGACATATTGAGCCCATAGGCTATGGAAAAATTAAAAGAAATGAACCTCAGCTTGACCCTTCATTAATGAAACCCTCCTTCCGACCTTCAAACCCTGGCCGCAACAGCTTTTTCTCTCTCTTTGCAATCCGCCGCATCTTCTTCTGGTGAATTTTCTCTGATATATTCTCTGACCTCTTCTGTTGTTTCTCTGCTTTCAACTTCTCTTTAGTTTCAACTCTCGCATTCCACTTCTCAACATTCTTTTGATGCATCTTCTTCTCTTTCTGTATACTCTGTTTCAACAACTTTGGATCATCATGAACCTTAATCCCTGCAGCTCTATCCATAGCTGACTTCCATGATTGCTTCCTCGCAATAACCTCACCTTTCTCAAGATCTTTCTTAGCTTCTTCTAATTTCATTGCATTTTCAAGCTCCTTCAACTTTGAAAGTTTTCTCTTCTTCTTCTTCCCATGTTTTTCCTCATCCCCAAGTTTAACATGACTAAAAGTAAGTTCCTTTGCAGCCTCTTCCATATCCTTCTTTACTTTATCCCTATCATTACTAGTAGCACCTTTCTTTTCTTTGACTCCGCTATCCCTCTTTCGCTTCATTTGAACATTACCCTTCTTATCATTCCTCTCATTCCTCTTCTTCCCTTTATCCGAACCCGCACTATTTCTCCCACCACGAAGCTCCTCGATTTTCCTACGAAGCCTTTGCCTAAGTTCTTCATAAGTAACCGCCCGTTCCTCAGCACCATCTAAATCAGACATTATAGGTCTAACCTCAATTTCCTCCTCACCATCACTCTCCTTACTAAGTTTCTCCTTTTCCAAATTCTCTTTCAACAAATCGAGAGTCGTTTTCGACGACTTCTCAGGATCTAACCTATCTCTCCGGGCTTTTTTAATGTTTTCTCTTGATTGTTTCTTGGCAGAAGCCTTTTCGGCCTTGCTAAGACCCTGATACCAAGGTTTATCTTTTTCATCTGGAAGATAAAACCTTGCAGGGATTAACTCAACCAATTTGTCAAAGAACAAAGCATTTTCATGAATCATTGACTTTAAATCAACTGTCGATTCGGGCTCATTAAAAGTTTTTTCCTTTTTCTTCCCCATCTGCATAAACATTAAAAATTAACAAAAAAAATATTTTTTTAATCAGGAAACAATTCAGCAGCCATTTAACTTCTAATTTCTAATTATTTACACTATATTAACATCAAAGAATTCAGAACGATTCAAAAGAAAAAAACAAAAATTTTGGGTTTTCCTAATCAGCTTATATACAAAAAATATATATATAGGTACGATAATGAAAATTAGCTTAATATTTTGACGAAATATAGAATGAAAATAATCAATTGCAGAGAGAGGTACCTTTTGAGTTTGAATGAGAGTTCCCCGGAAACCCTAGAAACAGTGGAAGTTACTGGGAAACAAGAGGATCTTTTTAAATTGAGCCTTTTATATGAAGAGGTGAACCGGCAGTTTTGCTGAACCGGGCAGCTAAGTTAGAGTTTTTTTTTTTATTTTTTTTTAATAAAATTTACGTAACAATATAATTTGAGATTAAATGTTTTAATTTTAGTTTAATTTGGTAAATTTAAGATAAATTTATTTTGGTTCAAATTTTGTGTTCTTTTAGGATTAAGATCAAATTTATTATTATATTAGGAATTATTATTAAATTTTATTATTATACTGTAATTTTATTGAGTTTTATTATTTATACAATTTTATTGATTTTTAAATAAAAATAATAAAATTGATAAAATTTTATTATTTTGTATAAAAAATATTTCATGAACAATTTCAATTATTTACTTTTTATCCAAAAATCAATCAAAATTGAAAGTATAAAAAAAAATTTAATGAATTAAAATATACTGATAATACTAAATTATACTATTCTATCTTCAAACTTTTGTAATGCATTAATTTTCAAGGAATTTAACAAAAAAGTTTTGATTTTAATATATTTAATATTAAAATTTAAATTATTTTTATAAAATTAAAATTTCATAATTTTTAATATAAAAAAATAAAAAGAATCATAAAAAATAACTTTAAAATATAAAAAAATAAAATTTTTATATATTTAAAAAATAACATAATTTTGAGATATCTAAAATAAATAAATAAAAATAATAGAACAGAAAGAATGATATAATAAAGATTTAAAATTTTTTGTATGGATCTAAATAGATTTATTTAAGTCAAATTTAATAAATTTTTTTAAAAAAATTATTTTTTATTATTTTTTAATAAATTTGAGACACTTGAAAAACAAGATCTCTTATCATTTGGGCCAAAATCCGTTGATTCGTTTTATAAAATAATCTGTATACTCTATCCTAGCCAATTAGGCAAGTAAAGGATTCATAGACAAAAAATCAAACCCTCTAATGTATATTTGGACTTCAAGGTGTGCAACTGCCATACTACAGGATCAAACTATATGAGTTTGGTTGGGACCCAACCCAAGTCGAGTTTAGAGATAATTTTTAAAGCATGAGCTTGGTTTAATAAATTTTCAATGAAGGTGAATTTGGGAATCGAGCGATATTTCGTTTTTTTTTTTTTTTTTTTTACCTTAAAGGGTATAAAAAATTTCCTAATTATAATTAAAAAATTATACAAATTTTTATTTTTTATTATAATTAATCAAATTCTTCAATATTTATTTATATATAATTAACTCTTTATTTGGATGAAAAAATTAACACCATTAATTTTTTATCAATTAAGTTAAAGTTATACAAAATTTTATTTTTTATTATAATTAATTAATTTCTTCAATATTTATTTATATATAATTAACTCTTTATTTGGATGAAAAATTAACACATTAAATTTTTTATCAACTAAGTTAAAATTTCATGTAATATCAATAAAATAGATAAAAATTTATCACATGACACAATTAATATATATATATAAGAAAATTAAATAAAATAAACTTTTTCTTTTTTTATCTCTATTTTCTCTTTCTTTCTCTCTCTCTAAGATCTTTTTAAAGGTTTAATTGATTATAATTTGAGAATTGATTGATTTAATTTTATCATGTTACTAAATTTTATTCAATTAAAAATTTATTTGAATCAAAATAAAAAAATAAAAAATATGATTAATTACAATAAAATATTAAAAACTTAAATTATTATTATATTATAATTTAAAAATATTCTTTACCCTTTTATATACTATGTAGAATGAAAATGACACATACCCATAATTTTATTTTACTAATAAAATCTTTTTGCCAAGTTTGGGTGCTTTTTGTCTAGTGCTAATATTGTTGTTTTCAGATTAAAAGTGTTCCCTCTTTGTCTCTTTCTCATGTTAGGTAATGGATGGGAAGAGGTCAGCTGAGAAAGTTCATCATCATGATTAATGCCATCAATTTCCCACACTTGAAAATTTTATCAAGCTGATGATGAAAACTTTAAAAGGTGATGAAAATGAAATGAGTTTTTGTTTACCATTATTTAGGGGTAGGTCTTCATAACCCAATTTTAGCACCTCCAATGTGTGTGGCAAAGAATTAATCCAATTTTTTTTAAAGAAGGTCATAACTTATGAAAAACAAATTATAGGTGTTAAAATTTAAAATTTAAATATATTATAATATTATTTTTTAAGAGTGAATTGTATAAATTATCTAAATTAAGTCCGAATTAGGATGTATACATAAATGCATATTATATATGTTGAGTAGCTTACATCCATAGTGATGAATTTTGTTAATACATTTTATGTAATTGATAGATACATATGCATGCATAATTGGGTTATAATTTTAAAAAAATAAAAAATAAAAAAGAATAATTAGATGAAATTTTGGATTAATTAATGAAAATTAAGGAATCAAGATTATTCTAATGCTTGATCCAAATCCATGGTCAAAAAATGAGCAAACAAAAGATCTGAATGAGAGCAAATCGGTAACATGTTAATGGAAGACTTGATTTCGTCTAGAAAAAACGATCTTACACCTAGTAGTTAAAGATTGAATTGTAATTTTATAAGTAAAGATAATAATTCTCTTATTGATACAATTTTTTTTTATAAAAAACAAAATCGCGAGGGTAATTTTTTAAGCTTTTAAAACGGATAATATCTTATAAGGGATACAATTTTAACAAATCTTATATCAACAATGTTAATTTGTTACATTCTTTACATTTTACCCTTTGAACAAAAATAAAAGACGATAATTCTTTTCCATAAAAAAAAAAAAAGGCCAAAAGATAAGAAAGCAAACATTCAATTCTTTCATATAAAAAAAAAGTGGATTATTGTAAGGTTGATGGCAATATTTCCCTACCCAAATCCTAAGGGAGACGTGTAAAAGAGATGATATATATATATATATATATATATATATATATATATATGTATAACAAATATGTGCCCAAGGTTGACTGATTGACTCAGAGCAGCAAAGGGCAAAATCTTTGTCCACTCGTGGGGATAAAAAAAGAAGGGTTTTGCCTAAGCAATACTAATTTTTTGGAGGTCAAAGTTGATTCATTGAACTCAGCACTTACATTTGAGAGATTGGGATGAAAGAAAAACCATTTATTTAGATTATCTCTAATTGGAGTTTTAGATTTTTTTATGACATTCTTTGCAATTTAGTCGGTAGTGCCTAGCAGCCCTCAGTGTGATTAAAGTATATAGTAGATTGGCAAGAGCAAGTTTGGTTTTAATGATTTTTTCGAGATTTTTATTTAGAAGAATTAATTTAATTTATTCGAAATTAAATAATATTGAAAAGGAATTGGTTTTTCACTCTTCTAGTTTATCAAGTAAACATAGGAAAAAAATTAATATAAAGCTAGAAGTAATTATAAATTTTATAGATATTTTGACATGTTAATATGATGAGAATGATTCTTTATTACGTTTGTTCGAATCACATATTTTTTCAAAAGCCATTGAAACCTCAAGAATTCAAGGGTTTTTCAAGTTAAATGGGATAATTTTTTTTTTACTTAATTGTGAGAGGTTTTTGAGTTTTATTTAATAAATAAATATTATATTTGAATTGATCCAAATATATTTATTTACGTCGAGTTTAATGAATTTATGAGAAATTATCTTCGTACAACTATTAAACGACTTTAAATCCAATCTTTACCATTTGAACTAACTCCGAAATTCAAAGGTTTTTGAAGTGAAACAAGAAACTTTAATGCAATGAGAACGAATTTCGAAATATCAGAGTATGCTACCAAAAAAAACCTGAGAAATATTATTTAGAAGTAAGGTTTTATCAAGTAAACTTATAAAAAAAAATTGCATATCGTCTTTGATATAGAACACAATATGAGCTTATCTCATAATGAGCATTTGAAATTGAATTTGGATATAACTATGGACCATCATCAACATCCAAAGTCTTGAAAATGAAATGCCAAAAGCATGTTAAATGTCAAAATTTAGGTCCTTCCAAATGGTAACTCTGAAAAATCATGAAAAAAAATGTTGAAAAGGAAATACAAAGATCATGTTTACCATCAAAGTTAGGTCCCGAATCCAAAGTATATATTCCCACAAGCACCATTGGCCACTGTTTATATTCTAATCTTTTGGGACATAAATGACAGGTATAGTCAAAGTGAAAGGAAAGATTTTAATTTGACTCATTTTTCTATTGATGTTAGTCCATTAAGTATGATCATTTTCATTGATGTTTGATCCAAAATTACTCAAATTCTTTTTACCAGCCTATATTGATAGCTATGGCCAATACCCTAAACACTTTTTTAAGTCAAATTTGCAGTTCAATTTTGTTTATATTTAATTTGCCATACAACTATGGATAACAACCAACTCAAATGTTGAATCCAAATATAATTGTATAATGAAGATGTGGTAATCATTCTAATCTTAGTATATATTTTTTCATTTTTATTAATTTTTAATTTACTCTTAAATCTCCTATCTTAATACTTATCCTGATTGAAAAAAATATTATGCGCATAAACTCTTTTAAACTCGTATTTTTCATGTTCCAATTTTAATTACATGTTAACCGCTCCAAATTAACACTTAAAATTCATGTTGTCTTGTCAAAATACTTACTTTGGAACAATATATAATTTTAACTGTTGGCATCACTTCAAGTGAGATCCTAACTAAAGTACTAAAAGTTCCAAGAAATTAATCTTTTTCAATAAAAAAAAAAAGTCTTCAATTTAGATTGTTGAAAGGAGAATAACTCAAAGTAAAAGCTTGATGCAAGATATTCCTTCTAAGTGGAGAGTGCTAATCATGTTATTATTTATTTTCTCATTTACCCATTTCATCTTTTTACTTCTCTTTTATACCAAGCAAAATACAAAGTACTAATGTTGTATATTAAAGAATAAAGGAAATAAAGTCAAATTGGCCATTATAGTTATGATTTAATATTGAATTTGGTCATTGTATTTTAATTTTATCGAATTTTATTATTATATTTTTTATTTTGTTGATTTTTAGATAAAAATAACAAAATTGAATTTTTTTTTTTACAAAATATTTCATTAATGCAAGAAGTAAAATTTCGTTAATTTAACATTAAAATTTGAGATGAAGAAATAAAATTAAAGAAATAAAAATAAAAATAAAGAAATAAGAATTTGAAATTTAATTAAATTAATTCATATAGATATTTTTAATAAATAATATCCGGTGGTTATAAAATTTAAATTTTGACATTTATAATTTTTCAAAAATCTTTTTTATAAAAAATAAAAAAAATAAGAACCATGTAAATCTTACACTTTTATCCCTTTCTATAGACAAATTATTAATCACTAATTACAGCTCACAAGCTTACCTGTTAAACAAAGTTTAAGCAATATAAGTATTCAAAGGAGAGGTGGATTTCAGCTTCAACCCTTCTTTTTAGTGCGAAAACACATATTTATTGTGGCTAATTTGGATTAATTAAATAAATTAGCCATTAGGTTGCCGTCCAAGAAAATTAGTCACATGGAACCATATAATTTACAAAATTTTAGCTCCGATTCTCATTGTCAACAATTTTTTTTTTATGAATGATCTATAAATTTAATTTAAATATTCATTGAACTTGCTATATATTTTAATTTTGGAATGGGATATTCCCATCATTTAAATATTTTTATACAAATTATATAATTGAAAAATGAAATGGGAGGAGAAGATCATGAAATTTAGAGATTTTAAATCCAAATTACATTATGTATAGGTTTAATTCAATTATATATTGATTTGTTCGTTGATTGATTTATCGATTTAATTAATTAATTTTTTAAATGCAATGCTAAAAAATGATTTTAATTTTTATTATACTAATAAATTTATTTAAAAAATAAAAAAAATTGGCTCAATTAAGTATCTCCCTAGATTTACATATGACTTTTTCAAGTTGTGAAACTAGTATTAGTGATTGATCCATTCAAGTCATGATTGATTTATGTTTTTTTAACCTTAGGGTTGGTTTGACTCAATGGTGAGTCATAATTTTAATAATATTTTTTTGTGTTTGGACTACTCATATTTTATGCCAAGAAATCAATTGGTTTCAAAGGGAAAAAGGAAAATTTTTCATTTTTCTTGTAGTTTTGGTTGAAAACCAAATAAGCAAAAGAAAAAGATAGAGAGAAATGATGATATCCCTTCATGTTTTAGATTCCCATTGTCTCCGATGTGTATGAATCTCTCAAGAATCTCAAACAACTTATCAATTATTCTACCATGCATTAGCTTAAGAATTTTTTACTTTTAATTTTGGTATCCAAATTTTTATTTTGTCAAATATTTTAGTATTGTAATCGAATACCGTTAGTTAATTTATTTATATAATATTAATAATTAATAAAATTATAACATGTGACATAAATATTTAATAAAATTACCTTAAATATATTTTTTAATTTAAAATTAAAAAAAAAAAGTAACTGAAGAAAAAAATAACTTTTTTTTTACCAACATGACAATAACAAATTGATATAATGAATATTTATGATATATAACAAGATTTTATTAAATATTCGTGTCACGTTGGTCACTTAATTGATGATAAAAATACAAAATATTTAATATTTAATGAAATAAAAATAAAAAAATAAAAATAAAAATATTATTTTTTTAAGATGTCAAATTGATAAAAAATATATAATACAAAAAACATTTTGCATACTAACCCTTAAATGAAAGTATTTTTATTTTAAAATAAAATCCAAAATTACTCTTTTTAAGGAATTAAAATAAAAAGTTTCTTGGTCGGAAAAAAAAAATCTCTTACGAAATGGTAAATAAATATGTTATGTACTTATAGTTTCGGTGGCCATTGAAGATTGGAGGGCACATGGAATTTCAATGCATCAACTGGCATGGTGATGTTCCATGGTGACGTGCCATTCTGAAATCTAGAACAGAACACCTGTCCCTGTTGACATTCGTAAAACATCAAACAGTGTGAATATTTTAATGTGCCCCATACCCAACCTGGAATAAAAAAATTTTTATTTAATTAGGATTTAATGGAGATTACTTGGATCGATCTCCTTTAGAAGTAAGCAAATCCAACGGCTGTTGAATTGTCATTGGTCATCTATTATTTATTTTTGTCCTTTTCTTCTTAGATTAATATTATGCTTGTTGCACGCTATTAATTCCTAGCTTATACGTGTCACATAGCTATGAGATTTCTGTTTCCTTTTGTCTCATGTTAGAATCTAACAAAGATATGCTAATTGGATAATGCTCCTAATAAACATGCCACCCCACTGTCTCGACATTCCCATTTGTCCTTGCGAATTAATGTTGTTGACTTTAATGTCCTTATAGCCAATTTCTTTTGCTTTTTATTATCAGTAATTTTTTAAATAAATCTAATAATTCATATATTTATATCATATAAAATATAAAATATTCATATATTTATATTATATTTTATATAAAAATTATATATTATGATTTATATTAATACAAAAATTATTTATAATTTTTATTAAAATTTTAAATTATTTTATTTTATTTTATTTTTATGTTATTATATCGTATTTAAATTGTTAGATCTATTTTTAAGTATAATTTATTATTCACACTTGAGAATATATAGGTTGTTAAAACTTTCATATCAAAATAAAATGTGTTATAGTTTACAAGAATTGTGCATTCAAGATTAATAATAATATCATATTAGATTATTGATAAAATTCAAATTTAAATTTTATTTATATAAGAATAATTGAATTTATCTATTAAGTTAATTTTTTATTGGTATTAAAAACAGTTTCTTGATTTGGAAAATGTGACATCCATTTCAAGGTTACATGGGTCATTTGACAAATGATGAAGGTCTCTTAGAGATAAGCTGAATATAGATATGATAATTTCAAGCATGACACGGTAATATAATATGAAAGTGATACAAATAAAAAATATAAAAATAATATGATTTAAAATTTTAACAAAAATCATAAATAAATTTAATAAAAAAAATTATATTTTATATTTTTATATCGATACGAATTATGATATATTATTTTCATATAAAATATGATATAAATATACGAATTATTAATATTTTATATAACATAAATATAATAATTGTCAAATTTAACTGTACATTCACAGGGAAAAAAGACACAGGATGATTTTGAAAATGACTGATGGGGTGAAGCAAGAGGCCCTCTATAGTTTAGTGCATGTATAAATATGTGACACACTAACCCCAGATGGTATAGAATTTGCTAGACAAAGAACCTTCACCTTAAAGCATTTATCAAAGGGTATAGCTTCTTCTTTTCGTTATTTTTGTCCCTTTTCACATGTCTTGGGCAGTGATGGCAGGATTCTTGGGTGGGGCTATTATTGAAGAAGGCTGGAGGAAAGGTCCCTGGACAGCTGAAGAAGATAGGCTGCTTATTGAATATGTCAGGTCACATGGTGAAGGCAGATGGAGCTCTGTTGCTAGGCTTGCTGGTAAGCAAATATTTGGTCTTGGAGATTAGAAAATTTACCAAATTTGGCTTACAAAATATATTAATCAAAAGTTATGAATGCATTAAGTGGATCCTCTATGTTGGAAAATTTATGAAATTTATATCAGATAATTTATCAAAAAATTTACTGTAGCAAGTTTCATAAAAATCAAGTCAAATGCTGGACGTTTATGTTAAAAAACACTTATGTCTTGAGCAGCTGTTAGAACACTTTGATCTTATACTTGATTTACCAACGTATTAATTAGGAACTGTAGAGGATCATTCACTTTACTGCAGATGGGATTTTTAATTTTGGTTTATAAATGTTTAGTATCATCTATTCTTGGTGATTCAATGATTGCTAACAATTGCATTGATCTAGGCATGTTTTAACTTTGGAAAAAAATAATTTTTTAATAATCTTTTTTTTTTTTTTAATAACCTGTCTGTACAGGGTTGAAGAGGAATGGAAAGAGTTGCAGGCTGAGGTGGGTGAATTATTTGAGGCCAGACCTTAAAAGAGGCCAAATAACCCCTCATGAAGAGGGTATAATTCTTGAGCTGCATGCGAAGTGGGGAAACAGGTAATGATCAGAACATAAATTTGGTATGAAAACTTTGGGATTTTTTGTTCATATACTGAGGAACTTGAAACAACATATTTCAGGTGGTCAGCAATTGCAAGAAGCTTGCCTGGAAGAACTGATAATGAGATCAAGAACTATTGGAGGACCCATTTCAAGCAAAAGGCCGAACTATCATCAGATAACTCTGATAAGGCAAAAACTCGACTGCTGAAAAGGCAACAATTCCAGCAGCAGCAGCTACTGCAACAACAACAACAACAACTGCTGCAACAGCAGCAACAGTTACAATTGAATCAATTCGACATGAAAAGGATCATGTCTTGGCTTGATGAAACTGAACATAGAGCTCCATATGTGCCACAGCTGAAGCAAGAAAGGGCAGCTACATCATACCCCAACATGACAGAGGAACAAGGCTTGTTCTATCCCATGATCAATGGCAATGTTTCTGGTAGTGATACCTCGAGCGAGGAAATTCTTTGGGATGGTTTATGGAACTTGGATGATATCCATGGAAATATTGGAGCGGCATGTGCAACAAGCAAAGTTAGTTTGCACAGTCTAGTGACCCCTTTCTGTTAATTTCTTTGCTGAGTACCTAGTATTACTTTTGATCATCATCAAATGAGAAGGCTCTTAAATCTGAAGCCTGAGATTGATGATCAAGATGTGAAATTTGAGTTACTGTTTCGGGGCATCATTATGGTGGGAGCTGCACTGATCACACTCTCAAACAGGCTCAAACATTATACTTTATGAAGATCCTTTATCAGTACAATCACAGCTAACCCTCTTGTGCTGGCAGATGTTGCTGCCATGCACTCTTAAATAAAAACTATTTTAATAATTTTAAAAAATAATTTGATACATTGTTAATGTATAAATTCTATACATATATTATAATTATTTTTTATAATAAAAAATTATCAACAATTCAAACATTAAAATTTTAATTTCAACAATCAAAATTTAATTACAAAATAATTTGTTATATCTTGAAGATAGAATCTCAACATAAAACTAATATTACGATTACTACGACACATCAGTTCCCTTGCTCTTTGGCACTTATGTCTTGTCCTTGCTATCGACATTCGACGATTCTCCAACTATAGATTTTCCTTTAGTTATTCTCTCCTAGGTTTTTAGATTTTTTAAGTTTTTTTTATTTTTTTATTTTCTTATATTCTTTCTCTTATCTGCCTTTAATCAAAGCATAAAATTAGTGCCCCAAAGCCAAAAAAGTGCATATGGGTTTTGCATAGTTTGAAATAAGTACAATTACAGGCAAGCTTTTTGGTTGGATGTTAGGTCACATTCAAAAACAAAAGTTAGAAACAAAGTGCTGTCTGTTTTATTTAATTATTAGTAAATCTTATGTTAAAGATTATAAGTAGATTCTCTCTTGATTGCATTAATCTCCTATGTATGTTATCTTTTCTCTGATTTCCTTTTGTCATATGTTAGAAAAATACTTCATAGATTTGTCCTTTTCCTAGGATCCATGCTAGTATAGTATATATACTAGCTACTAAATATGCAAGTTAATCTTAATCAACTTAATTAATGAATAAATTTATTGATTCATACAAATCATATTTAAGAAATGGTATCTAACCAATGATAGATTCAAGATTGGAATTTTCTTATGCTACAAACAATATAGCAATGTAAATGTTCTATTACAAATCCCATTTATCTGCACATGAAGCAGTTGTTAGGTTAAAAAAGCCCCAAACCAATTAAATAATCAAGTCAACGGAAGTATAATTAAAATATCAATAAATCACATAAGAAATAGTAATTTAACGTGATTTGATTTAATTAATTTACGTTCACGGATGAGAAAAAAAGTTCATTAATTATAGAGAATTATAAACAAACATCAAATCAAATACTCATAATTAATATCCATAGACCTTTTCAATATCCTTTAATCTTATGAAGTATTTTTAATCCAAATAAATATATACCCATATGCACCCATACATTATACTTATTTGGATTATTTCATTCTCCTCTAATATACTTAAACGTGTATTCCTACAAACCTATGCATTATACCAATTTGGACTATCTTATTCTCTTTTGGTTTACTCAAACATACATTCTCATAAAAACATTAATCTCTTATAGCTTTATGGGATGTCTACTCATTAAAACACCACAATTTTCTTATATTTTTTTTTCATACCAAATTTTATAAAGACTTCATCTATTTATAAGCATACTAACTTACCTATCAAGAATTATTTTTCTCTTAGAATTTTCATGCAAGTTTTCTTATCCATCAAATAATATTTAGTCAATCTCAAACAAATCAGTTATAAAATTTGACTCATTATTCTCAACAATCTCCATCTTGACTCAAAATTTTTTAAATTATCGATTTTCATGCTAGATATACTTGGCTCCAACTGTAATGGAAGTCCCGTAATAATCTTCTCTTATGTCTTCACACTTTACGCAAATCGATCTTTAAAATACAAACTCAAACTCTTTCTTAAATCAAGTTCTTCTAAACTTGACTCTTTCTATATTTCAAACCTACGCTCTAATATCACTTGTTAAACTAAAAAAACCCAAACCAATTAAACAATCAAACCAACAGAAGTATAATTAAACGACTAATAAACCATACAAAATATAATAATTTAACATGATTTGATTTAATTAACCTACGTTTACGAATTAAAAAAAAATTCACTAGTTATAAAGAATTACAAATAAATACCAAATCAAACATTAATAATTAATACTCATAGACCCTCACAATCTCTTCTAATCCTATGGAGTATTCTTAACTTAAAAAACACATACCTATGTGTACCCATACATTATACCTATGTGAACCATCTCATTCTCCTTTAATCCATTCCAACATGCACTCCCGTAAAGACGTTAACCTCTTGTAGTTTCATAAAATGTCTACTCATTAAAATCCCATAACTCTTTTATATTTTTTTTTCTCATATCAAACTCTATAAAGACTTTACTTATTTATAGACATACTAATTTACCTATAAAAAATCTCTTTTGTATTAAAATTCTTCTCATGAAAATTTTCTTATTCACAAGTAATGTCTAATTAATTTTAAATAAATTTCTTATGAGATATGAGTCATTACTCCCCAACAGCAGAAATGATTACTGATCATAGTGAATCTATGGTGAACTTAAAACCTATAATTTGATTGCAACCGCAGCTTCATCATTATCCTTCGCTTTTAGGTTTCTAGATATCTAAACTTGGTTGGTCCCAAGTAATGGTCAAAAGCAAGACCTATTCGTATGTTGCAAAATTGCAAGCTAGTGCACATTGACGATCTGAGCTCTATGATGGTTGACACCAAAGGAAACTTGAGATAGAACTGAAATTCAGTTGGTGGCATCAACTCAATTAAATATGAGACTTCACCATCTAGCATTTTTCTTTTCTCTGCTCAAGCTCATTAGAAGTTCTCACTGCCAAATGTAATAACTTCTCTACTTCTGTGCCTCAGATTCTCTTTCTTGGTGGTAAACAAAAGCTGAACCAATCATAGCTCTTCCAATCCTTCTGTTTCTTTGAGTTCTTTTACTCAAACTTTTTTTTCTTTCCTTCTCAACAGGTTGAGACATAGGTGCTCGATGAATCCATCCTAGAGACAGTAGTGCTGTAAGGAACTGTATCAAAATTCCTGCAAGCAAGCTTAAGCAATCATTTTATATTAAGAAAAGTAGCCAACCCAATTCCCCAAAATCCACTGACAATTGACAATGTTGATGCTAAGAAAGAAGTAAGAATCATTTTACATCAAGAAAAGCAGCCAACTCAATGCCCTAAAATCCACTAACCCAAAATCCACTAACAATTGACAATGTTGATGCTAAGAAAGAAGTAAGAATCATTTTATATCAAGTAAAGCAGCCAACCCAATTCTCCAAAATCCACTAACAATTGACGATAGGCACAATGTTGATGCTAAGAAAGAAGTAAGAGATCAGATTTTTTGCAGACTGAGAAAGGAAAAACCTTAAATTGAGCAAGAGTTTCTTCTAAACCAGAAAAACAAAAGGCAAACACTTCATTGGGAATTCCCATACCTAGATTTGTTTGTCTTACTACAAGGAAGTCAAGAAAAAGGGAAGATGCGTACAAAACATGTACAGCACTAATCAATTTCCTCATGCCAATTTGTTTCCAACAAAGGTCTTAGAGCAGAGTCAAGGAAAGAAGCATCAAATGGCAAATTACTCATGACATTCCAATAACTGAAGGATCAAGATGTAGACATTGAGTTTGATAACAAAAGATTGAGCCTGACAGAATAGGAACCATGGAAATAGAAGCTATAATCCTAGTTAGCTAAAGGTTGCCAGGTTGGAATATGCTGCCCTCACTGATATCAATCATATAGCTGTTTTCTAATTAAAATAAACATTTAATTACTTATACTCAAGTTGTACAAAAAACAATTAATATATATATATATATAGGGAGAGGGATAGACTTTAAAACAAAAATTTATGTGAGAAGTATAAGAGATTTTAAAAAAAGGATCAAATTTAAGAATAATTTTGTTATTTGAGATTTATTTTTAAAATGAATAATTTAAGAAAACAAATTTCAACTCATATGCTAGAATCATTGTTAATAGTGTGAAGCATAATTATGTATTATTATTTTTTTAGTTAAATCCCTATTAGATAATATTTATAGTGTTAAAGAGCGAAAAAAAATAATAAATAAAATTAATTAACAAAAATATAAGCTATCAAAAATAAATATGATTATTTTTTGAAAAAATCAAATTTAATTAAAAATTAAAATTAATTAAAAGATACTTAATCTATTAAAAATAAATGTAATTAATTTGGTTATAATCAAATTAATTAAGAATTAAAATTAATTGAGAGAGAAATTTAAATTATTAAAGACTATCTATATGTCAAAAAATTATGTTATTTACATAAGATAGTTATCTCTTTTACTAAAAATTTTAACTATTATATATTTATCTAATGTTAAAGATAAATATTATTAATTTAAATCAAAATCAAATTAAATTAAGAATTAAAATTAATTGAAAGAAATTTAATCTATTAAAGTAAATGTAATTAATTTAGTTAAAATCAAATCAATTAAGAATTAAAATTAATTAAGAGAAAATTTTAAGCTATTAAATATAAATACAATTAATTTCATCAAAACCAAATCAAATTGAAAATATTAAATAATGGATACAATCAATTATTTAAGGTTATCCACATGTCAAAAATTTAGACTATTCACATATGACATTATTTTTTTATCAAAAGTTTTGACTTTTATATATTTATATAAGATACAAAATAAGAAAAAAATAAAGGGTCAAATAATAATTTTAATAAAAAAAAAGTACTAGACTTGCCATGCCTTATAAAATTTAAAATACCATAAGATAACATGACATAAAAACGATAAAAAAAAATACAAAGATAATACTATTAAAATTTTGGTTAACTTTTGAAATATAGCATGTGGTTAATATCAAAATGAAAGTGGTCCTAAGATTTAAAACATGACTTAATTACCTTTTGATTTGTTATATTATTTTTTTTTACTCAAATCTGTTACCTCTGTTTTTTTTTTAATTTTTTTAATTTTTTCATTTGAATTCATATTTTCTCTCTAGACCCAAACAAATCCACAAATAATAACTTTCAAATCATCAAAACCATCATGCCACCATCACCGTTATAAGTTCACATCACTACCAAACTTAATTGAATTCAAACTTTCTCGTTAAATATTCATACTCTCTCTCTTTCTAAAAACTCATTATCTTTCTTTAAAAATTCATACTCTATTTTAACCACTCATAACCATTACTCAATTGCTCAACACCTAAACTACACAAAAATCAATAACACATATCTCTACCAAGCCTCCACATCCAACACCTAATCACCACCATTGTCCAACCAAAACACAGACCCAATTTCCAAACCCCACCCAGCCATGAAATCACATTCATCCAATAACCAAAGCTTAAAATTGCCTAGCAACCAAAGTAAACATATTCTGTTTAGGCAAACAACCTCATAGGCAGACAAAATTAAAAATTTAAAAACCTATTTGGTTGAAAACTAAGAAGATTAAACCATTTTTAGAAATAGCTTTTGGGGAGACATTAAAATTGGTGGACGATTGATGGTGGTGATTGATGATGGCTGACAGCGGTTACAACGATAAAGGTATGCCAAGTTCTGAAAAAGCATTGAATGAGTTAAGGGTGAGGTCCGCTGATAATGTGAACTTACAATGGTGTGGTAGTGGTGTGGAGATTTTGGCGATTTGACAGTTGTTGTTTGTTGATTGGTTTGAGTTTAGAGAGAAAATTGATTTGATTATAGAGAGACATTATTAATTTAGATGAAGAAAAAGGAAAAAAAAAAAGAAACGGAAAAAATAATGGTTTAAAAACAAATCATAGGATAATTTAGTATCATATTTTAAATCTCAAAGGCCACTTTATTTCGACTTTAATTATAGAATATATTTATGAAGTTAACCCTTAAAATTTTAATAAAAACTATATAAATTTAATAAAAATAAAAAATATATTATATTTTTGTACCGATATGAATTATAATATACAATTTTCTTATAAAATACGAATAAATATGCAAAATATTCTACACTTCACGAATATGCAAATTGCCAAGTATGGCTACGCCCTTAATCTTGAAGTCATAAATTGGAAGTTGGATCCTTATAAATATGAAGAGAGCAGCCGTTGAACTTAACTGAAGGAAAGAGGTTTAACTTCAATCATTCAAGAAACAGTTTTCGAAGCAAATTTCACCTATAAATCTTTTTATTATAATTCTTATAATTAATCAATCATAATAAAAAAATATGTAAAAATCAATCATTTATAATTATAAACTCTATAAAAGTTTTAATAGATCTCACACAAATTTAAATTGTGATTGATATATTACAAGAATTCATGATTAGTAATTTGTTCTTAATTTGTGTATGTATCAATCAATCAATCATAATTCTTATGAATGTTCTTAATATACTCCTCAATACTCAAGTATTAACTTGAATATTTTGAGTTCAGTTCAGTAAATTCTAGAAGTAACCTTCTGTAAAATGAGAGTTTCCATTTTCTTAATTTTGAATATTCATTACTTTTCAACCTCACAAAAATTTTGAATTATGGAACTTTTTAATAAAGATATTAGTACTTCTTCAACATGATTGAATTCATGTAAGCAACAACAGAATTTGCCAAATATTTCTTTACAATTGGACATGTACATCTAGAACAAAGATTTTGGGTTGCCCAGCATTACAAGGGACATGAACAGCAAGGCACCAAGACTAAAGTACACCACCATGGACAGTAGAATGATGTCTCCTTGAATATTTTTTTTCTTTGGAACAATGGCGAAATAATATCACAGAAATTATTTAGTTTAGGATCCTTACCAGGCAAAGCACAACTGTTAGCTGCTCCATTAAGTGCCAAACCATTTGTCAACCATGGATTTGGAAATCAGGGTCTAAGGTCAAAATTGGATTCCAGAAGGGAGTAAACTTCTTTCAGGGAACACATCTTGAAATCTGGTGTTAGATCCAGGTCGGCAAAATCTTGAGAGCCATACATCCCATTTTCATCAAGCAAGCATGTCAATGCTCCTGCTTGTTTCCCACAAGCTACCTGCAAATACATTAATTATAAATGTTCAGAGTAAATTTGGCAGTCATAGCTTAAAATGATAAATATTACAAGTTGTGCGTCCGTGTGCCTCATCACCATATTGCATGTGACCTAACCACAACAAAAATGTAACAAAAGCCAAAGCTAAATGGTAGCCCTGAAGATGATAAGGAGCTACATCATCATTTTTTGTTCTTCATTTATTATTGTTGCTTTGGAAGAACCACTCACGTCGTCTTTAAGATTATCACCAACCATCATGACCTCATTTGGTTGAACTCCCCAAGTCGAACAGATATGCAGCAGAGGAGCAGGGTCTGGTTTACAAGGACAAAACTCCCGACTGAGTGCTGGAGAAAACATCATCTGAAACAACGCATGTTAGAAAGATTTCAACCTCCCAATTCAACAAAATGTCCAGAATAGTTCAGTTTCACACTTCTAATAGCTTACTCCAAACCGTTGATGAAACATATCAACTGATTCTTTGACATTGCGAGTGATTAGTCCCCTTCTGAAAGAAATGGAAGCTTTGATTAGCATCTAAACATACCATGAAAAAAGTTTAGTCAACAAAACACACCCAGAAATATTTAGAATTTCATGTAATTGAATTGAAAGCAAGAGCAGTTGAAAGATCCAAATTTCAAAGAACTGTTAGGAGTAAACAATTAGCATGCCGATGTCATTTAGCTGATACATTAAATTAGTCAACAAAGCAAAATTAAACCTAACAAAAATAAGTATAATATAGCTATAGTAACTAGACATATAAATAAACTAAAGGTCAAGCTGCCACATGGGAGATATATGGGAAACTCAGTGATTTAGTGTGAACCAATAACCTATTACGTCTGGAGCCATCTGTATATATGAAAAACATATAAGTATTAGGAGGAAAAAGCTAAGGCATGATGGAACTTGACCTTATTTTCTTTCCATCAAGAAAACCACAAAGTTCTGCTGCACCTGCACCGTTATCAACCAAATATTACGACTTAAATTGAATACCATGTAAAATGGCAAAGATATGAATTCAATTAGCTGAAAGAGAGACAACTGTCGTGGCTAAATTTTGAACCAACCAATCCCCATCTCAACTCAAAAAGGAGACTCCCAACAAGAATAAGGTAAATCCAAAACAAACAATGAAAAGAAATCAAAGGAAACACCAAGCCCAAGATTGGCATTACAGGTACACCAATATACTCCCCATCGTTTGCTACCATAGAACTATTGGGAACACATGGAATACATCCAAAATTTCCCAAAAACAAAGCATAGAAATAGCTAGCTAATGTAATCTTAAATCCGGTCCAGTGAAAAAAATTTGCATGAACAGTATAACAACTCACCAACTGAAGAATTCATCAGCAAATTTTAAAATAAACCTCAGAAAAGACCTACATTTTCCCAATAAAAATGGACAAATTGCCATGAATAAAACCACAAAAAACAGAAACAACTCAGCGATTCCGTCTTCAAAAGGGTATCTTTACATTTTAATCCTATCACTTGAAACTAAAACTTGATTGTCTCAGGTTCGAAAGTTGAAATAAAAATCATATAATAATTATAAAAAGCACTATGCTTTGAAACCCCAAATCTATCCTTTTCCCGCTAACATTGTCCTCTCACTTTCCCAGCAACCAGAAACTAACCAGGCATGATTTGGAGGCGATCAAGGCCCTGTATTTCGAAATCAGTAACAATCTGATAAGCTTTTCGCTGCTTATCAGGACTCCAATTCTCAATGTGGTGCAAAATATCAATCCCATACGGGTTTTCAGCTTTGACCCTCTCGTACTCATCGTCTCCGAGGACAGCCTTGTGCATTGCGGCGAAGTCGATGACGGGGGCGATCAGGGTGCCGTCCAAGTCGAAAACAACACCGCGGAGACGGGATTTGGCGGGGAGAGTGGACATGGAAAAGAGATGGAAGAGAGCGGATTTGGCCAACAAACGGAGGAAGGATTTGAAGAGAAGAAATGAGAGAATTGAGAATCGGTGTGAGATCTTTATTGGCATTTATAGCGTTGGCGGGGTTTTTGGATTTTGATAATGAGCAGGTGAGTCATGAAAGAGTGGTCCAGTTTTATTTGAAAAAAAAAAGTGAAAATTTCATAAAAGTATAATTTAAAATAAATTTTTATTAATTGATATTGTAATCAGAAATAATTAATAAAAAATAATATAAAATAAAATTATATTTATAATTTTAATATTCAGTGAATAATTAATTTATAATATACATATATTGAAATCATAAAGTTATTTTTAAAATTTTTTATTAATTTTTCATATAAATGTAAAATAAGTTTTATTAATTATTTTTCATCATGATATCAAGTAATAATTTTTTTTGTGGACCACATTATTTTGTAATTTTTACTTAAAACAAAGCCAAAAAGTTATAAAAAATGATAAAAATATAATGAAACGGCACAGCATAAAGCATAATTAATCTTTGGCTTAGTTTTCCATGAGAAATCTTTTTTTTCTGTTCTTTTCCTTTGTGTGAACTTAGCATTGGCCTTGGAGCTGAACGCATGTAGGGGTTTATGGGGTTTTAGTTTGTGGAGCTTGCTATATATTTAGTTCTATCATTATTGTTTTCAATGAATTCGACTTAAATTGTGTAGCTAAATTGTGTGCTAAGGTTTACAGTTGGAGGGTTTAAGCTTGTTCCTAGTTCATAACTCTTGTTGTTTATAATGAACGCATGTTTTCTTTCCATTGAAGAGATTGACAAAGCTGATTATGGTTTAGACGAACCTGGAGCTAAGAAGAACATATTTAATAAAACATTGAAACCAAAGAATCAAAAGCTTAATGAAGTCACTGAGGGCTCTGGTGTAGATGTTGAAGCTGAACCTGCAGAGGGAATGGCAGCGGAGAGGATTGTAAAGGCCAGAAAAGTTTATCACTTCCATATGTTAACATGTCAACAATGATGGGTTTCTGTTGATTTCTGGGTTAATATTCAATGCTGCCATTGTTGATTTGACAAATGCATCGATTTAATCAAAGAACCTTGAGGAATCTTTTATTAAGTTCTTTTCTTTTCTTTTGCTAGCTTGCTCCTTGAACTCTTTTACTCACAAACATAGGTTCACTTACCAATTTAATTATTTTGCAGCATGATATTTAAAGCTTAAATTTTTATATTTTGAACTTGCAAGCATGAATGAATTGTTTGCTATGCATTTTAAAATGCTGACTGAATTTAATAGTACATTACTCAAACCTTTTTTCCTTCCTTGGCTTTTCAATTTTTTGTTTTTACTAAAATGTATCTTGGGTAAACCTTGAAATATTTGATCCTTCATTTTCAGGACTGTATCTTCTGCTTGCCTTTTCATTTCTGTACCTACCCTTTTTTTTCTTTTAAAATGAATTGTCACTTGCTATAAAATATAGTTTTATGACGGCAAGCCTTGGTGCAGTGGTAAGGTTGCTTCTTTGTGATCGGAAGGTCACGGGTTTAAGTCTTGAAAACAGTCTCTCTGCAAAAATGCATAGGGAAAGCACTTTTATAACATATGGTATTATCATTTAAGACAAAATGATATATGACTCTTTTTTTTTTCACAAGAGAATGAATTTGTGGCTATTGCCTTTGTTAATTGCCATTTTAGTCAGACATCCTTGCGCTTTCTTATAAGTAAAGTTGAAAGATGCAACTTTCTAAATTAGAGTAATATGTCTACATTTATGGGATAATAACGTCGTCTTCGTCTAGTGGAATAATGCTTTATCTTGAATTCTACAGATGCAGGGAAGAAGATAAAGATGCCTATCTGTATTATATTTTGAGTATTCATGGAGAAGGGAGAACAATTGTTTTCTTTACATCAATTGCAGCTTTGCATTATAATTCTTCCATCTTGCGCATCCTTGGCATCAGTGTTTCAACACTTGATGCTCATATGCAGCAGCGAGCTCGCTTGAAGGTTTGTTTTCCCTTGCTTTGTTTATAATGATTATGCAGTTCTTTGTACATAGCCTGGTCTGAAGATTTGTTGTGCTGTTGCATGCCCAAGCCATTATCAAGATTTTGCTTTTTCTAGGCCTTTTACAATTGCACATCTGAGTCTGTGATGAGAAACCTGTCTCCTTCTCTATACAGTTTCTTCCAGTTTTATTGGTCATAATTGATACTATACCCAAATTTTGTTGCCTTCTTTTTTTGCTTGAAAGTAACCTGCATCTGGTTCTCTTTTTGATGCAGGCCATTGACCGTTTTCGTGCAAATGAAAATGGCATACTTGTTGCCACTGATGTTGCAGCAAGGGGCCTTGATATTCCTGGTGTTCGAACTGTTGTCCACTATCAACTTCCTCATTCAGCAGAAGTAGGTCAAGATTGGATGCCTATTTGATAAAATTCTTCTAGTCTTTGTAACTGAATTTTTATTATTGTTGTTTGGTTTTAGGTTTATGTTCATAGAAGTGGAAGAACTGCTAGAGCCTCTTCTGATGGGTGTAGCATTGCTCAAAGTTTGCCTGTCTGTGCAAATCATTTGCTAAGGTAATGTTTTTGAAGGAAAATTTCCCAATTCTTCTTTAAACCTTCCCCATCTTATTATGATATCATAGTATGAACTATTTTAATTGTACTTGTTAAATTTTAAAATTGGATGAATAATTTTCAATTGGTAGAATTTTTAAAATAGTATTCTCTTAAATATTTGTCATTTAACTTATCCCAATGAATCTAAGTAAGCATTTTTTACAAATTAAATCATTCAATTAAAAAATTTTAAATTAAAAATCAAATATTTTATACCGTCAAGGCTCTAATTAGAATAAAATAAAAGTTTATAGGCTTAATTTCATGTAATAAAAGATTGAGGGCTTATTTGCATTTTAGAGTAAACTTTCAGGGCTTATTTGGGTACTACACCTTTTTTTCTTTCTTTTTCTTTTTCTTTTTCATATCCTATTCCTTGTTTTAGTTCTATTTAAGTTGGAATTTTTCCCATTTTATTTTACTTTTTTTGTGGTCATTCTCAAACTTATTTTGTTTTCCTGTAGGAAAGGGTGAACGAAAGCTGGTTGGAACAGGGTGCTGAGTCTTTAGAATTAGTGGTGGAGAATTATGACAGGAGGAAAGGGTGAACAATTTGAAGCAAAAGAAAGCCAGCTCCATTCAATTAAAGAAGTTACAGCAGGTTTTAACTTGCTATGAATGAATAATTATTGTACTAGACCTTTGAACTGTTACAGCTAGAGCACTTGGATAATCGATAAATGATATTTCTGCGGGATCGGTTCCATGAAATGAGCTTTACATTGCGGGAGCTCAATTTATTGCTTTCAAGACCGTTGCGTCCAAAAACATTTTCACATCGCTATCTAGCTGCAGTGTGTTTTGGCAGTTTTCTTTGACATTGTCATCAGTTTCCTTTGCCAATGGACTAGTTTTCCTGGTCTTGATTTCCTATACACACTTTAGTTGTTGGTTACTAATTGAAAGTTTCAATAAAAACATCATGGCAGAATTCAATTTCCCAGTGCCTTTTCTCCTAAAATTATGCTTCAATCAGACAACTTATCATTTTTAACATCATCTGTTAATATTTTTTTTCCAGGCTGGTGTTACACATCTTGTACAACATCAATTTGAAGAATTGGATAAGCAAAATGTAGGTGGCAACTTGGTTTCAGGTGAAAACAAGAGAAGGAAGATGGTGGTTATTGGTCAAGATTGTGTGGAACCACTCCAGGCACTTCGGAATGCTAGTCATGACGCAGTAAATTTAAAGTTTATCTTACTTTTATTTGCAAAATTCTGTTCTTTCCCTGGAAACCTTCTCTTAACAGAGTGGATTTATATTAATGCTGATGTGCAAATCAAATTATTGAAATGGGAATCCTATCATATCTAGCCCCTGACATGTTTTCACATGTTTGAAACCATGATAGATGCAAAGATGCAATCCAGTTAATTCGTATGATAATGGATAAGCTACTGGCATGCCATTGTGCTCGATTCTGTATCAAGTTTATGATTGAGTAAATATAGCTGGCCTATATTCAGTCCAAGGATGAACAGCTCATCTTATGTACCCTTATTCCAATCCCCTTTTTTTTCTTTAATGGCAAGTTGAATTTGGCTCGATTCCAACATTCGAATTTTTTTTTTATTATGCAAAGATTTATCATATAGACAAGCTTTTTTTTTTTTTTTGTACAAAAGAGATTATAATCTAAAGATAAAAAAATAGATTTGAAATCTAAACTTGTTGAATGTCATCTTTTAAATGTGATTATCTGAACTAAAGCTCCGAGTTCATACAGATAAGAACTTTGAAATATTCTAATCTTGCTTCCATTAATATCATGATGCAAATTAATGATATGAAAATAGCACATCTTCAAGATTTAATTGGCTGCTTAAGTTTACTTGCTATTGTCATGTTAAGATCAATATGAACACGAAAACCATATTGTCCAGCTATGCAATCTGGGAGTTCGTTCAATTGGGACCCCCAGATTTGGAATCTATGTGGGATCCATTTGACATTCACTGCTTAATTTTTATTTAAACTTGAATTACTTTTAGCTGGAGATTCTGCATCATGAGCTCAATGTTGTAGATTTTTGTGAGAAGTTGGCTTTCAATTCGTTCTTAATTAGATTATGTCTTAAAGATAGGAATAGTTTAATTTTGTCCTAATTGAATCATTTTTACTTTCATAAAATAAAATTAAGCATGATGATTAACTATGATCATTTTTTTTATATTTTGGAGAGACTCGCACATAATTTACAAAGTATTATTCATTTTAACTCAAAGATCTCACAGTTTTATCTCATAAAAAATATCTTACAAGTATATAGTATTATATATTCATATTCTTCAAATATGCAAAAAAAAAATTCAAAACACTCTTATTTAATATTCTTACAAATAAAATTTTGTTATGGTATTTATATGATAATTATATATATATATATATAATATATGATATGGTACAACATTCCTGGTTTGATTAAAGATTATTTATATGATAATTTGCTTCTGAGTTTGCATTAAGCAATAATTTGATGATTTAATTATCATTTGTTGGCATAAATTTCGTAGAAATTAGGAGACGTAGAAAATGAAATGGGGGCAATAAGAAATTTTATCTTCTCTTGTTTTGGTCTACGCAAAACATTTTGTAGCCATTAATCAAAGCATTACCACAGATTATAAGATGAGGAATAAGCTAATACAAATACCCTTAAAATGGTAAGAAATCATAAATTTTGCTTTTCTTTTTTCTTTTTTTTTGGTTTAGAGAAAATCTGATATAGGATCATTAAATATTATAAGTTATATCCTTGACAATTTATATATGTTTCGTATTAAATATGTATAAAATATAAAAATTATTATATTATAATTTATATCAATATGTTAAATATGAATTTTTTAATTAAATTCGTATATAATTGTTAATCAAAATTTTTAATTATTTCATTTTATATATATTTTATATTATTTATATGTTATGTCATTGTACTGTATCTAAAATTGTAAGCTTAGGTAATTAAATATTGATGCTAAAGTTGATATAAAATCTTAATGTTTGCATCATTCCTATAATACTATATTATCAAATTGAGAAAATATGCCATTAAAACTAATATCGTATAATGAAATGTTTCCAGCGAGTTTCCCCTTTCATTGCACTGTGACGTTATGTCAAATAACATTTCAATTAGGGATGTAAATGATATATTAGTACTCACAAGTTATTCAGATTTGATTCGAAGAAAATTCGAATTCGATTCGATTATTATCGAGTCGAGCTTGAACTTGAGTAGCTCAACTTATCGATCGAGTCGAATTCGAGTATTCTTATATTCGGCTCGAGTAGCTCGCGAGTCTAATCGAACTTTTATATTTAAACATATTTTTATTATTTTAATTAATAAAATATTTCAAGTCCAAGTTCGAGTTCGAGCATGAATAATCGAATTGTTATCGAATATACGAATCAAACTTATTTTTACATATTAATCGAGCTTAATAGAGTAAGCTCGAGTAGCTCGAATTCGTTCACGAATCGAGTTCGAACTTGAAAAATAAAACTAGATTAAGTTTGAACCGAATATCAAATCCCGAGTTGTGAGTCGAGCTCGAGCATCTCACTGTATCAACTTGACTCGACTCGATTATACCCCTAATCTCAATCAAATGATCCTACCACGATGAACCATAGTTTATAAGAGGAAATAAAGATTATTTCTTTTTCTAGACAATTTGGTGTTGAATTTAGCTTGTTAGAGTAAAGATTTGCCATCCCATCCTAATATTTAGATATAATAATTTATATCATCGTATCATTTAAAATATTATATTTATATCATATTTTATATCAAAATTATAGATCACAACTCGTAACGACATAAAAATATAAAATATTTTTTTTATTTTATTAAACATATTTATAATTTTTATTAAAATTTTAAATTATATTATTTTTATATCATTTATTTGTATCATTTTTATATTAATCATCCCATCGTATTTTAAATTTATAAATTCACTAATATCATAACCACTAGAGTTACTAGTGGTTCTAAATTTTTGTAGCATCTCTTTCAACACTTTTAATCAATCAAGCAAAACATGTGGGAAAGTTGCCCTTTTCTCTCTTTTCCATTTTTGTGTAATTTTCTTTATCTAAGGTATGTATTTTTGTTCTTTTATAATTCCAATTTTAAACATCCAACAAAATGGAAACAATTTTATGGACATAGTGAATATGACGAAAAATGATCTATTACACCTTCATTTATCTCAAAATTAAGTTGTTCAAATGGATTTTCAAAATCAAAATTAAGCTCTACAAATGAGTTTTTAAAATTAAAATGGACAATCTTACGAATGGTTTTTGGATTTTAATAAAATATTTTAATGTCATATCTGAATTTTAAAAATTTTTAATATGATACTTAAATTATAAATATATTAAATAATATGATCTTAAAAAATTATTTATTTTCTACACGTCGTATTTTGAAGTTAATCACTTAAGAATGAATATCATATTAATTAATAAACTTATAATTTAAATATTACATTAGATATTTTTAAAATTTAAATATTACACTAAATATTTTATTATAATTCAGAAATCATTACTAACAATATCCCAAATCAAAATTAAGTTCTACAAATGGATTTTTAAAATCAAAATTAAGCTTTATAAGTGAGTTTTTTAAAATGAGATTTTGATTAACTTGTTTAAAAATGTAAGTCATCATCTATAAGTACTCATACCAATTTTTTGTTTTTTAGACTAAAATTGAGGATTAGAACTTAAAACCTTCAATTTTAGTTCCAATAACATTGAGTACTAATTGCTAATTGAAATGTGCTCAACAATGTAATAATGACATTTCCTTCTTTTGTTTTCAACAAAATGAACATTTTATCTTATGTTTCTTGTGACCAAAAATTTAAATGAAAAATGAGTCAAATTTTCAAGATTTCATTTTTAAAACCTTACCTACTAAAAAAAAATTTAGTTACTGATTAATTTCTTAACTTCCAAATTTAGCAGTAAATTGAAATATAAAAGGAAAATATGTCTGGCATTTACCCAAAATAGAACATCCTTCTCTCCAGGCTCTGCCACTTCAAAAACAACTGTAAAGGAAGAATTTTCCTGCCTAAAAAATTCCCTTCTAAGGTCCATTTTTTTCCTTTCCTAAATCATATTATTTACCAGGAATTTCTATGGCAAGTTATCCATTAGGGAGGATTGATTTTGAAATTAGAGATTAATGAAAATATGCTGGTGGTATTTGTTAAAAGAACAAGCAAATTCTAAAAAAAAAAAAAAAAAATTCTATTACAAAACCCATAATTTTCTTTTATCCAAATTTTCTAATCCAAGTAGAAATTTTCTTTTTATTATAAGAAATAAAAGTTTAATAATTAAACACAAAAATAAATGTAACTTTAATTTTTTTTTTTTAACAAAATGGTAACCTCAATATTTTGTTACACCATTTTTATTATTTTGTATATTGTTAGTAAAATTTTTGGACTTTATTTGCCAACAAACTTAAAATATTATCATTTTTTATTAATTATATTAATTTATGAATTATTTTAAATATATGATAATTTTTAATTTCATATATAATTTAATCACCAAAATATATATGAAATAATTTTTTAATTTTCTTTTATTCTATCTCAAAATGTATACTCAAAACAAATTCTCATATTAAATAATAATAATAATAATTAGTATTACTAAATACTAAAATGTAGTTTTTTTTTTTTTTTAATCCAAAGGCAAAAGCATGTGAAATTGAAAAGCCTTCCTTTTTCCCGGAGTCCTCTCTATATGTACATCTTCTCCGATTTCTTGCTCTGCCCATAACTCTTTCTCTCCTTTCTTCTCGTTTCCTTTGTTTCTTGTTTACTCTTTTAGGCCATGGCTACTTGTTCAGCGGACCTTGCTTCGCTGCTAGGCCCCAACGCCACCGCGGCAGCCGACTACATATGCAATAAGTTCAGTGACTCTTCTTTTGCTGTTGACAACACTTACCTTCTCTTCTCAGCCTACCTTGTCTTCTCCATGCAACTTGGCTTTGCCATGCTTTGTGCTGGCTCAGTCCGTGCCAAAAACACCATGAACATCATGCTTACTAACGTCCTTGACGCTGCCGCAGGTGGCCTCTTTTACTACCTTTTCGGCTTTGCCTTTGCCTTTGGTTCCCCTTCTAATGGCTTCATTGGTCGCCACTACTTTGGCTTAAGATCTATTCCTTCCTCTTCTTTTGATTATAGTAATTTCCTTTATCAGTGGGCTTTTGCTATTGCAGCTGCTGGGATTACCAGTGGCTCCATAGCTGAAAGAACCCAATTCGTTTCTTATCTTATATATTCATCTTTCTTAACCGGTTTTGTTTACCCTGTTGTTTCTCACTGGTTTTGGGCGAGCGATGGTTGGGCCAGTGCTTTTCGAACCGATAACGACTTCCTTTTTGGTAGTGGGGTTATTGATTTTGCTGGTTCGGGGGTTGTTCATATAGTTGGTGGTGTAGCCGGCTTATGGGGTGCTCTTATAGAAGGGCCGAGAATAGGCCGATTCGACCATTCGGGTAGGTCAGTTGCCTTGCGTGGTCATAGTGCAACCCTTGTTGTTCTTGGAACTTTCATGCTTTGGTTCGGTTGGTATGGGTTCAACGCGGGTTCATTTAACAAAATCTCGAGCTTTTATACTTCTGGGAACTATTATGGGCAGTGGAGTGCAGTGGGAAGAACGGCCGTGACCACCACTTTAGCTGGATGCACGGCGGCATTGACTACTCTTTTTGGGAAAAGGTTGTTGACAGGTCATTGGAATGTGACTGATGTTTGCAATGGTTTGCTTGGTGGCTTTGCGGCTATAACTTCAGGGTGCTCTGTAGTTGAACCCTGGGCTGCTATTATATGTGGGTTCGTGGCTGCTTTAGTTTTGATTGGTTGCAACAAGTTGGCCGAGAAAGTCAAATTCGATGATCCTTTAGAGGCTGCACAATTGCATGGTGGATGTGGTGCTTGGGGAGTTCTTTTCACAGGTTTGTTTGCTTCTGAAAAATATGTCAGGGAAGTTTATGCCAGCAGGCCGGTTCGATATGGGTTGTTTATGGGAGGTGGAGGGAGGCTATTGGCTGCTCAGATTATCCAGATATTGGTTATTGTTGGGTGGGTGAGTGCTACAATGGGGACTTTGTTTTATTTTCTTCATAAGTTTGGGCTTTTGAGGATCTCAGCTGATGATGAAATGGCTGGTATGGACTTGACCAGACATGGAGGTTTTGCTTATATTTACCATGATGAAGATGACTTACATAAGAATGGGACTCAGATGAGCAAAATTGAAAGTCATCCGACTCCAGTCTAAAAGTCTACTGTTTCTCTCCTTTTTTTATTTAATTTCTATTTTCCAGGTCGGAGATAATGAAAGCGTATAACTTCAAAATGGATTGTTTTTTCTCTTTTTAATTCATGTAATGTTGAAAAATGTGGCAATGTGAATGTATAGATATTGATTTTGGTGGTGGACAAGTCTCTGGCAGATGGTTGAATCCAACCTGGAAATGCTTTTGTTTCATCTTTCAACTCTTCTTTTCACAGGAAAAGATGTGTTGTGGTCAGTGAATCGTCAAAGATCATGGCCTGCTTTGTTTTTTTTAAGTAATTGAAATGAGAAAACAAGCAATCACCATTATTTTTTCACATCAATGCCGAGAAGTTGGGTTTTTTCATTAATGAGCATGTGACTTTCTCATGGGTTCTCATGCCTGTGGGGAGAGAATCTTGTGATTTGTGATAAACTAAGCTAGAAACTTGGAACTGGTGGACCCTTACTAAATGGGATATTGAACTTTGTTCAGAATCTTAAATGAGAAAAAGAAAACTTGGGTGGAAAAATTGTCTGGATGAGAAAAACTAAGCATTCTCGTCATATTCTAAAGCACACCATCACCTTCCTTCCGTGAGATTAATTTTTAACTTAACCTGTAAGATTTACAGATTCATTTGTACTGATTGTACAGAAACTGATGAATAAGTTAGTCAATCCAGATCTGTTGTTCCAATGAAATCTCTCGTTTTAAGTTAAAAAATGGATAAATTCATTGAAAAGAAAACTAGTAATGTTTATCATTTGAAATTTAAATACAATTTAATTTCTACAATTCCACATAAAGAACAGAAACCAAAAAAAAGTCCAATCTGCAAATTTGTTTCAATATGAATGAAATCAAAATTTGTTCATATATTTTTCTGTTACTCTTCAGGATAGTTTAGCAATATCTCTCTTCAGACAAGCAGAATTTTTTTCCCATGAACAGGTTCACTGTGACAAGGACATATCCGTGCCATTCCCCCAGGATACAATCATTCAGAAAATTTCGAAATCAAGTGAACTAATTCAATCAACATTTTTTTTTTATTTTGCATGGAAGCCACAACACCACTCATCATCTTATCTTCTGAGACCAAGCTGGTTACTCTTTCACATTGGCAAGTAGGAACAGGACAAGTCAAGATTTTGTTTAGTAGTTTTTTTTTTACAAAGATTTGTACAAATTCATTTTGGATCCATCTACCAAGAAGCCTGGATGAGAGTAGTTGTTCTGGTCTGAAGTTGACCCGAGTAGGTTCATTGCCGGTTGTCTCTGTCATTGTCCCCAGGGTTAAAAACTCGGCAATGGAAAAGAACAAAAAATGGGAGAGGGACCAAGAAGAGGGAAAAAAAATAGAAAAACAAATGTTGTCTGCCCATTGGTCTCTCTCTGCCTCGCTGGCATTCATGTTCTTGCTAACTTTTTAGCCGATGAATTCAGCATGAAGAGCACGAAAATAAGGGATCTTCACTAATTTTATTTGCTGTCAAAAGCTGATCACAAGATTCTTTCCGTAACACCCCATGTTAAACATGAGAACATTATCAGATACAATCAGTCTGCAATTAAAGTCAATACAATTTTTATTAAAATTGTAAATCTGCGTTATTTTTATTTTTTTTTTATCAAATCACGGTTTAAAATTAGCTAATTTCTAAACACCAGGAAAATCATGGTGGAAGAAACTTTAAATTAAAAAAATAAGGAAAAAAGACTTAAAAACTTGTGGGAATTTGATTGATAAATATAGGGATAAGTAATCGATCAATTCGATTTAAAAAAATTAATAATTAAATAATTAAATTGATTAAAAATTTTTAAATAATTAATTATAATTATATCGATTAAAATTGATTTAATTCGATTAAATAATTAAATTTTAAATTATTTTTTTATTATAAATAATTATTTAATTATAAATTAAATTTAATAAAATTTAAATTCAAGTATTATTTAAATTAAATCATTAAAAAATTTAATAATTTTTTAAAAAATAAAATATTCATCTCAAATTTTTTTAATTTTACTTATTAAAAAATTAATTAATTTGATCGATTTAATTATTAATTTTAAAAATAAAAAATTGATCAATTTAATTAATTTAAAAAATAATTATAATTAAAATCAAATAAATCAATCTAAATTAACTAAATTCATTTAATTTTAATGGATATAATAAGGTTTTTTTTTTGGTAAAAAAAATTTGAAAATAGATAGGTTGCTTAATTTTTTATGTTAAAATAAGATATATCTGATAATTTAATATAATTAATTATAAATCGTGTATTAGAGATAATCTCAATAAATGATCATTAATAAGATTCGAATTTAAAATTTTTTTTAAAAAATAATTTTAATTGATTAAATTAATCACTGGTGATGTAATAAGTTAAAACTCACTTTTGCCCACCCTACGTAAACGCTCCTATTCAAAGTCCAGGAAGGGTCGCTGGTCGAACAGTTCATGCTTACACTTAAAGCAAAAGCAAACCGGTGTGAACGGTTTGGTACACATCACTGTCATCAATGGCGTTAAAAGGCTTGGAAATCTTTTGTTGACCAAAACAACTACCAGAAACTTTGAAATTTCATACTTTTCCTTTCCCTTTTTAACAATCAGTACAGCTTTTTTTTCTTCATTCTGCAAAATTTTAAAGTGCAAAAGCATCCCATCGATGATTCCAGTCAAGGTCGAGCAGAGTGGACTAAGCTACAAGTCAAGGATAAGCAGAGTGGACATCAAATCAAACTACCAAAAATTCATTAAAGCTTCAAAAATGATGGAAGGGTTTGCTATCTTCCCATGAAAAATAGCTTTGAGTGCTCACTTAATTATTAATGGACCCTTAATTGCATGCTTTTCGATTATTAGGAAAGAAAAGTGCATGCTTTAGCTTTATTGTTGAAAATTCCTCCTAGGCTTTTTCACTATTATTAACATGATAATAAATTAATGATTATCTTAATATCATTTCGAGCCCTTCTTCAATGATAAAAAAAAATTTTTAATAAATTTCGAATTCAAATTTTAAAGAAATTTTAAAAGACATTAAAATTTAAATTTTTCATCATTGAAATTAAAAAGATTGCCTCATATCTCTTTAGGTGTATTTAGAAAAATTAATATGTTTATATGATAAGTTAAAAGATAAATTGATAATTATTTAATATGTTTGTGAAATTTAAAAATTTTATTAACAAAAAAAATGTATATAATGTGAATTTAATGACGTTTTTATATTCCACAACCGGAATTAGATAATGCATACCCTTTAAGGTATATTAATAATAAAAAATTAATTAAAGAGAGAAATATAACATATTATTTATAATTCAAATTTGATCCATTATTATTTATGATAAAAGTTTTATCAAATTTTTACTAAAAATATCTATTTAAAATTATATATAAATTTTTTTATTTTTTTAAATTTTGAATACTTAATTTATGTAACAAGATATTTCAATATATCAATTTTAATTTTTTATTTTAATTTTTATTTAATCATTTTTAGTAAAAATTTTTAATGAATTTCATCTAAAAAATTTTATTTAAGTCTTTGCCTTTCTCAAAATCAGAGTAAGGAAATGAGGCCAAATTTAGTGGGCCATGGAATTATCATCTTAGTTGTTATGGATTCTGCAAAACTTATAAAACTTAGGCCTAAATCATCTTTAAGACTCATGTCCTGCCCACTTTTGTTATCTCCAACTCCAAGGGAGTAAACGGTAAGGAAACGGCGACGAAAAGTGAGTTTTAAAGATGTCTTCAGATTCTTCGACTAATGGTTAAGAAGTTTTAAGAAGATACTCTTCACTGCTAAATTTTGGGTTATAAAAAGAGTTAATCTTTACTGATTTTTAAGTAGAATTTTGAAAGTTGGCATGTCAATGAGTTACTGCTTTTATCATAATTTATTGTTCATGGGATGAGAAATGAGTGGCTGAGATGGAAATATTATGACTTGGACTGTTGTAAAGTTTTTCTTGATTCTTGAATATTATCATGAGAGTGTAGTTTTGGTTTATGTCTGTAGCTGTTTCTGGGTAGTTTGGGTTGGTTTTTAGAGCTTTTTTTACTCATTTTGATGGGTTTTGATCTTTGTTCGTATTGTTGAAAATTTTTGGAGCAGGAGTTGAAGTGATCTGCTAACTAATGTCACGGTCATGTATTGCATATTTGCATTTATACCTCCTTTATGGCATTGATTGTCTCTTTCTTCATGACTTGAATCGCTTGGAATGATTTCTGATCACACTATCATCAGCGTAAAGTCAATCTAGGCAATAGAATGAAAGTATGAAAGACCTTTTCTTTTTCCATCAACTATGATTCTTTCACTCTAACTAAGCATGTTCTGACTAAATCTTCCATATAAATTTGTAAATACCGACGTTATAACCGTAATGCGAAGCCATTCATAGTTTTAATTTTTCAAACGGATTACTCGCAGGTGCATCAATGGAAATCCTTTCCTGTAAGGATAATTGAAGCTTGTTTATTACGTCGGATATCGTGTATAAAGACGAATCTCAATGGGTCTGGAAGTGTTGCGGCAGTTCTGATGCACTTTATAAACATGAATTCTTGTTTCACCTACAAAGCAGACTGAATAAAAGCTTTGCATCTTAGTCTGGTTTCTTCGCAATACGTCATGGACACCCACTTAGATCCATGAAACATACAAGTAGTCTTAAAGAGGTGATGAGTCGTTCAGAAAAAAATTAGACAACATGTCCCTGTTGTTTTTGTTCGGTTAGTTGCTTCTATGTTGCTGGTTGCTTCAGTTTCCATTGCTGTTATCAACACGCCCTCATGTAAATTCTAGTTTATGTAGAATAGTCTCATTAGCTACAGAAAAAATGCACTTCGAAATGAACCAATGAACAATAGAGAAGAGACATGTATATGAAATATCTTCAGCAGTCATTTTATGTTTTGTAGTTTGCAACATGTAACCCAAGCAAAATGAAACAAATATATATATATATATATATATAAAGGAACTGCAACCAGATTAATATACATATTTGTGTCTGTGTTGCTGATTACTTTGTACTATATTATTTCATCTCTCTTATACCATTTCCATAAATGTTTACCTGATCATACATTGTAGTTAGGAATTAGTTAAATTATTACCTTGTAATCACTCCG